CATCACAAGCTGGGACCGACGCCTACGCCCCTTCCCGCAACATGTTCCGAGACCTCGACAGTCGAGGTGAGAAGGATCCCCTGGATGCCGGTCCAGACGACGGCGAAGTGCAGGAGGAATATCGTGAATCTGCAGCCCGTCGGCGATGGGTCTGGCTCTGTCGGATTCTCACCTTTTGGATACCGGGTTTCCTCCTTAGCAGTATCGGCAAGATGAAACGACAGGATGTGCGACAGGCATGGCGAGAAAAATTAGCCATCAACATGATCATCTGGTTCATCTGCGGTTGCACAATCTTCGTCATTGCTGTTCTCGGTGTTTTGATTTGTCCGACCCAGCACGTTTACTCGACCAGCGAGTTGCAATCTCACAACTACAAGGACTCGCCGAATAATGCCTACGTCGCGATTCGTGGCGAGGTCTTTGACCTGTCCCAATTTGCTCCAACACATCTGACGGCAGTGTCAGTCGTTCCTACCAAGTTGGTCATGCAGTACGGCGGACTTGACGCTACAGAGCTCTTCCCCGTGCAGGTCAGTGCACTGTGTTCAGGCACGACAGGTTCGATCAGTCAATATGTCACCCTTGATTCGACCAACACGACCGACCCGTACCGCCAGTACCACGATTTCAGAGCGTACACCAACGACTCTCGACCTGACTGGTATGAAGAGTCGATGATCATGCTCCGGTCTCGGTTCCGGACAGGCTTCATGGGCTATACGAAGAAGGATATCCGTAACATGGCTTCGGCGGGGAGAGCCGTGGCCATCTACAATGACATGGTCTACGAGCTCACAACGTACATCCAACAGAATGGTGGTGGTCTACTTGGACCTCGAGGCTATCAATTCACAGCTCAGGATCAGGCCGATCGACAATTCATGTCAAATCAACTTGTCCAGATCTTCACCTACAACTCAGGCAAAGACGTCACGGATTTGATCAATGATCTCAACTCGAGTCTCGGTGCCAATGTCGTCGCATGGCAGACTCAGTGTCTTCGAAATCTCTTCCTGATCGGAAAGGTTGACACGCGAGACTCGCCCCAATGTCAATTCTCGACCTACATTTTGCTTGCACTGTCCAGTGTCATGGTTGCCATCATTGGTTTCAAATTCCTCGCCGCGTTGCACTTTGGTTCCTCAAGAGCGCCAGAGAACCACGACAAATTTGTCATCTGTCAAGTGCCCTGTTATACCGAAGGTGAAGAATCGCTGCGTAAAACCATCGACTCCCTCGTCCGACTGAAATACGACGACAAGCGGAAGCTCATCATGATTGTCTGCGACGGAAATATCAAAGGATACGGCAACGAAAAGCCTACGCCTGCGATCGTTTTGGATATCCTGGGTGTAGATCCCCATGCCGATCCTGAGCCCTTGAGCTTCCAAAGTCTAGGCGAGGGGTCCAAACAGCACAACATGGGTAAAGTCTACGCTGGATTGTACGAGTGCGCCGGACACGTTGTACCCTACTTGGTCATTGTCAAGGTTGGTAAACCTACCGAACGACCGAAACCTGGAAATCGAGGAAAGCGAGATTCGCAAATGATTGTCATGCACTTTTTGAACAAGGTGAGGGCCTATTGGAGAGTGATCCAGCTGACATTGCAGATCCATTTCAATGCTCCCATGAACCCTCTTGAGCTTGAAATGTACCACCAGATCAAGAACGTCATTGGTGTCAACCCGAGCTTCTACGAATACCTCTTCATGGTGGACGCAGATACGACTGTCCAGGAGCTCTCATTGAATCGTTTGGTCTCTGCGTGAGTGAATCTAGGCTTGACTTTGAGCTGATTTTCAGGATGATGCACGACAAGAAGACGATCGGAGTCTGTGGAGAGACGTCGATAGCCAATGCCAAACAGTCTGTCGTGACCATGGCTCAAGTGAGTCTGAGATTTGAGCCCTTGCTCACGAATAGGTCTACGAATATTTCATCTCTCACCACCTGGCCAAATCCTTTGAATCGCTATTCGGCTCAATCACCTGTCTACCAGGTTGTTTCTCAATGTACCGTCTCCGCACGCCCGATACGCACAAGCCATTGTTCATCTCCAACGCAATCATTCACGACTACTCAGAGAACCGAGTCGATACACTGCACTTGAAGAATCTGCTCCATCTCGGGGAAGATCGATATCTTACCACTTTGGTCCTGAAGCATTTCCCGACGTACAAGACAAAGTTTGTGCGAGATGCGCATGCGCAAACAGTCGCACCGGATTCCGCAAAGGTGCTGCTCTCCCAACGACGTCGTTGGATCAATTCGACAGTGCATAATCTGGCCGAATTGGTGTTCCTGGATCAACTCTGTGGATTCTGTTGCTTCTCCATGCGATTCATTGTCTTCATCGATCTGGTCTCGACTATCGTGGCGCCAGTGACCGTGGCTTATGTGGGTTTTGACATTGGATCAAATAGCTGACCGACAGATCGGATACCTCTTGTATCTCGTCATCCACGATCACGCGACGATCCCCGTGTTGTCTATCATTATGCTATCTGCCATTTACGGTCTTCAAGCTCTAGTATTCGTCTTCAGAATGCGATGGGACATGATTGCGTGGATGATCTGTGAGCGACTACTGCATGATCTGGTGCTGACGGGTAACTTCCAGTTTATATCCTCGCCATTCCCGTCTTCTCATTCTTCCTGCCATTGTACTCATTCTGGCGGATGGATGATTTCAGTTGGGGATCTACCAGATTGGGTGAGCTATCATGCGTAACCATCGAAACTCAGCTGACGTCTTGTAGTTGTGGGCGAGAAGGGCAAGAAGATTGTCATTCACGTGAGTCTGCTCTAACATCGCTTGCTGATCGTCCCAGGATGAGGGCAAATTTGACCCCAAGTCGATTCCTCTGAAGAGCTGGAACGAATACGAGTGAGTGTCATGGGAGCTGCTGGACTGACTTGCTCAGAAACGAGCTGTGGGATCAGGAGTCCAACCACTCCGCAGGCGATTTCCACCTCAACGAGAAACGTGGCTTCGACTCTCGACCGTCCACGACATACGGCGCCTACGAAACTTACGAAAAGCAGACCATGTCCCGAGGCATTTCACCAGCGGCTTCGTATCAGGATATGAGAGCGCGATCGACTTACGATCCACCCCAATTGCCATACGCTGGCAGTCTGATAGGCGGAAGTCCAGTAGGGTCATTCGCCGCGCTGCCAGAGAGTCGGTCTTTCTACGGCGGGTCAATGTACGGCGGGGACAACCGATCGGTTCACGAGTCATTCTATGGCCAATCTCAATTGCTTCAACCTGGATCACGAATGTCTTCATACTCGTACACTCAGCCTATGGGTCGTCCCCAAGCGGATCAGCGTGTCTCATCGTACTCAATCAACCAGCCTAGACCAGGTGGACTCGGGGAATTTCATCCCCTCGGATCGAGCTACTCACTGTCCAGTCTACCTGGACAGATTCCGCCCCCGCAGTCACGGCCAGCAACAGAATACCTACCTGAGGTCCAGACATTTGCCAGCCCTATGAACATCGGTCAAGCTGGTGTCACGGATGACCAACTAGAAAGCAGCATTCGGAGGATATGCCACGGGGCAAACCTCGACCAATTGACCAAAAAGGGCTTGAGGAAACAGCTCGAAGGAGAATTCGGGATGGATCTCGTGGCGCGGAAAGAGACTATCAATCGGATCATTGAGAGGGTCTTGGCTGGTGAGTGTGCCTAACATCAGCCATCACGACTCGCTGACAACAGACAGAATGAAACGTACGAAAATAGACGACAACCTGGACAATTCTCCACACTTACGATTCGCATGATTCGATGGACGATTTCATACTTAATATGTAGACTAGAAGCACAAAGATCATGCATGCGCCTGTCATTTTCGACTTGTGCAATGTTGCGTCGTGTCTCCGTCCGCCATTTCAAGCCGTGGTCCTAAAGGAACCGCTTGTTTAGGACCCGCTTGTGTGGTTGCCAGGTGACGACCGCTGACATGCCTTGAGGCAGGGGCCAAACTACCTTTATGTTCGCTGCTTGGAGACTAGGGCTAGAGACGCAGCAGGTGCCCTACACACGACTATATAGGAGATAAGTGGGAACAGGTGTCTTCTACACCTCCTCCTCCTCTCCTCAACATCTCTCAATCCGCACATACGGTCAGGCGTCAAGTTTCAGAGACTACTGAAAACCACAAGAATAGTACGGCCACCAGTTTGACATCTTTGGTCTGATTCATTCTGTTTTCAGGATCACAATGCCAGCCGAGCCCAAGACACCGACCAAAACTCCTCGAACGCAACCCTACCCTACACCAGATTCGCGCTCGAAATCGTCAATCCCTTGGGGAGGCGTGAAGGTCGATCGAGCCACACCGACTCGAGTCATCGTCATCGAGAGCGAAGACGAAGGCGATGGCGAACAAAGTAATGGTCTGGCCGAGAACGACAATGACGAGGGTACCGAAACGTGGTCACCCCCTCAGACTCCTTCGTCGTCCCCTGAATCAAGCGGAGGCTCAGTCTTTGAAATCGATTCAGAAGAAGAAGTAAAGCCCAGCATGGAACCTGAATCAGAGGATGATGTCAAGCCCAAAATCAAGAATCCCAGGGCGGGAGCCAAGCGAGGTGCAGCAAATCAAGCAAAGGTCAAGAAGGAGCCGAGTGGTCGACCGAGGGGTAGCGGTGGCCCTGGAGGAGGCTCAAAGGGCACGCCTTGGACTGCCGAGCAGGATTGGGCCTTGTTTCAAATGAGGTATCCGAAGGCTCCTGTCAAGTGGTCGGATGTGGCACAAGCGGTCGGACGCGATGCAAAGGTGGGTCAGGGTGATCCTCGCTCCGCTGTCGACTTGGTCTTCTCTCAGCTATAGGCTGACTCACAGGTTAGTCGTGCTCCAATCGCGATGCTTTGTTTGCCAAGAAGCTTCCCGGATTGATAAAGGGCCTGGGCAACTGAATAGTTGCGAGCATCCTGAAGGGTGTCTGTCCGCTTAATCGCGGGAACACGATCATTTGGACACGCCATCTACTATCTCTCTATCTTTACATACATGCGTTTGTTTCTGATCTCGATACTTGCACAAACAGCGCGCGCGCTGAAGATCTGAAGTGGACAGACTATCACCACATGCCTTGAGGCTGTTTGCAGCGGATCTTGTCCATCCTCTTTTTGAGCTGTCCCCTCATTGTTTTTCCTCGCTTGACATCCCGCTCACTGTCCTCATCCTCAATGTTCCTGCGAGAGTTCAGGTACATCTCGTTGAGAATCCGTTGCTCGTACGTAGGATTCACAGGACCAACTGGGGTTTCTGGTCGAGGGATGGAGGCGAAGTGCTCTTCTGACGGGGAATCAGCTGAATCACCCTAGGCCGACTCACGAGGCTCATAACCATCCTTGTATACCACCTGGGATCTACGTTTGTAGATCGGCAATGTGGGTCTTCGAATGACAGGGGCGGGACGGGTGGATAGTGTCTCGCCAGTTTGTCCCCGATTCGTGGCGTCTAAAGATCGTCAAGGGAGGTTTCTTACGAGAGAGCCACTTACCTCGCGACTCGGCGGCCTCTGTTGGAGGGGATCGCCTCTTGAGTCCTCTGAACATGTTCCCAAGAGGTTGAGCAATATCGCTCAAAGTCAGTCGGCTTGCATTGGCCAGTCGCGTGAACCGGCTTTGAACAGCAGGTGAGGAGTCTGAGACAAGGCTCTCGGAACTGGAAAGAGGTTGAGTGCCCACCGCCACATTCACGCTGGATCTCGAGTGAAATGATGGAAGACAAGTGGGGAAAAGTTCATCTTCGAGACTGACAGCTCTGCCCGTAGGAACAGGTCGTTGGACAGCTGTTCGACGTACAGTGTCTGATGAGTCTCTAGCAGTGGTTGGCATGTCGAGAACGTGACCTCCAATTGGTGATCGCTCCATTGACACCGATGCCGCCACTATTCCGGTCATGCCCTCCGTCGCTTGAGAAGATGAAGGGGTTGGAGGGGGCGGTCGCAGATGCCTTGAAGGTCGAGGAGGTTTTGGCAGAGGAGAGAGTGCAGAGTCCTCTTTCTTGGACAGTGATGCGTCGTCCTCCGAGGAATTTCCTCTGCTTTTGCATTCATCAGAGGCAGCGTCGTGTTGCGCAGATCGATGAGGCGTGACCGGCGAATTGGTACCGAATGACAAAAAGCTTTGACTTTCATCACATGTGGAGACCAACCTCTTCGGAGGGAAGGAGCCATGCTGAATATCATCTGTGGTCATCAACTCATTCGAAGCTAGTCCTTTCAGAAGCTTGTCTGTGTACCGGTCTGAAGGAAAAGCGGAAACGGACGACGGAGGCAGCGGTGGCACTGGACTTCAGCTGCTACTTCCGAGATTGGTCCGCTCACGAGGTTTGTCTCGATCCACGTTTTTACCTGTAGGTTCTCGAAGTTGAAGAGGCTGGGCCGGTGGAGGAGCAGGCAGCGAAGTTGCAAAGGGGTGCTGGGAAGGGAGGACGTTGAAGATGCCGGTCTGGCCCAAGTTCAAATGGTCGCCGTTCTGAGTTCGCGGCGAGGTCACAGGAGTCGTAGTGAGGGAGGACTCCATGACTGGACCAAAGGAGAATGGCGACAGGGGAAGCATCTCCAATGCATTTTCTCCCAGAGCCCCGCCAGCTCGAGAAGAATTCATCCGGCTGGAAGGAAGAGATACGGCGGAGAGAGGGCGCTCGCGGCCATCGAATCGACTCTTCTCACTGAGAACAACGAGTCTCTGATAAACCTCTCGAGGCAGTCTCCTCGGAGCTGGGGGATGGACTTGCTCAGAAGGGATGAATGGGACTGCCTATCAATCCTATGAGTGAGGTGAGACTCGTGCTCACTCACTGCTTCGTCATCTGCTAGGTTCATCGAATCAAAGCTTCGCTGGACCCAGGAAGTCATATTGGGTGATCCGGGCGAGTCAGAATACCCAGTACCCATTGTGCCTCCTTCGACTACTCGACTTGTCATGGTCTCGAAGGACTGGATGGAAATCGTCCTTTCCATTCTGGCACTTGACGGAGCTCTGGTAAGATCAAACCGAGAACTACGAGGCGAAGGCTCAAGGTTATAGGTAGTGGTCGTACCGAGCATGGAACGCTGAAGAGCGAGTGACGAGGCAGGTGCGGTGGTGTGCCTTGTGTGCTGGGGTCTTCGAAAGAAGGGTAGTCCAGTTGGTGAGAACATCTGCTATGGTCGATTCAGAGGTATCGAAGTGAACTCGAAGATTTTCAGTAGCAAGGTATAGTGAGCAGAGATGGAAGAAAGAAGTTGGAGTGACGAAAGAGTGAGGCTCTTATCCCTATCTCATCCAGGTCTATCTCCAGATGTGCCAACTTTTCTTTTCGCCCTCCGCTCACAGGGCTTAGCTGAGACATGATGACACGTGCTTCTGCCCGAGAGTTGGATCTTCGGTCCTGATACCCTCTTCTCCGTCTCGACAAGAGAGCCTGGATCTCTTTGCTGCTATCCCATTGGTTCCAAGTCACGGCAGTCCCGCTTTGTATGCCACAGAGATAGCCCAACGTGAAAGCCTGGGAGCAGATTCAATGGAGCCGAGAGACAGCTTGGTCCCCTCGAGCGGTGAGCCACGGTAAGATCTCCGCCTAGTCCCCAAGCCTGCTCTCACATCTACCCTTGGGCACACCACTAGGACCTGAGTGAGATCTTGGCGACTCCTCAAGGCCAGAGATAGTCGCGGAAAGTGAGCTTCGTGAGTGAAGTACAGGCACATCAGGAGAATAGTGAGACATACCTCCATCCTACTGAAGGCGCCGGTTGTGCCTCCGTGCAGACTGCCAGCTGACCTCCCCGTAAACTGTATGAGCCCATGCATGGAGACTCCAAGAAGTACGCCTCACCTAACGTGCCCTTTCGCCACGCCGCCACCTTCCCTGGTCATATCCGCCCAACCATCGCGACTGATTTCTTCAATTTCTTCCCGATCGTTCAAACGCCAAAACAACGCCTATTCAGGGTTTAACATCTCCACGTGGGATCAGTGGCACAAACAACGAAATGAATCCTGATTCTCATCGCCTCTTACGCTGTATGGTCTCCAAAGACATTATACCGGTGAAGAGCAGCGAAGCATGGCCTAGAGACAGGCTGGAAGGATTCTTCACGATCCCTTGTACATAGTTGAGGCTCCCTCTACGCAATTGTTGACATCTTCATCTCGCTCACCCCACTGTCCGCTTGCCTGAGCGTAGTCGGTCTTGGCTCGTCACTGTCGCATCAACAACCCACCGATCCGCCATGACAGGCTCTATGGCCTACTCATCATTTCCTCCCTCCGCTTCCATCGATCGCTATGACGCTTATGATGTAGGAGACATCACCTTACAGAGCACCACGTCCAACATCGACGATGAGGTCTATCGCTATTCGGCAGAATTCGACAGACAGCAGTACTTTGAATCCATGCTCAAGTCACCTTCAGGGTTCGCAGGTCTCGGAGTCAGTATTCCAGGTATTCCTAGGTCTGGATTGTATGCGCAGGATGGACTATGGGATGAAGACGATGGCATCTCCGATTCGACAACCTTGAGACCCGTCTCTGGATCTACCGTGGGAACCGGTCAAACGGCTCGACATAGCTCGAAGGCCTCCCCTTCGACTATGAATGCTAGCGCAAGTACCAAGTCGAGGGATAGAAGCGGTACCGCCAGCAGCGCGGTACAACCTATCACCTTGGAGTCTCGGGAATCCAAGAGCTGGAGCTGGAACAGGAAGAGCGCAACGCCTGCAACACCAATTATCTCCGAGGTGCCTTCGAGTCCCGCAATTTCACAGACTCCTGAGTCAAAAAGGGGCAGAGTACATTCTCTCAAGAGTCAACGAAGCAAGAGCCGACTCCGCGGAAAGGGCAGGAAGGGAGAACTCAGCGTAGATGTCGGCAATGACCCGGATGAATCTGTGAGTAACAAATCGTGACGCGGCGTTGATGTCAGTTTGAGGCGCCGCCTCGATTGCCGCCAACTCCTGCGTCATTCGTCTCCTCTGCCTCTCCTGCCCTTTCAACGGACTCATTCCTGTCTCCAAACCTGCCTCTGCGGTCAACATATGATCAGGAGAACTCACCGCAGGTTCCTCCGTCGCAAACGGCGCAGAATCCGAGAAAATCCTCCTGGAAAAGAGGAATGGTGAAGATTTTCCGCTCCAAATCCTCGATCGCCTTGCGCGAAGCTTTTGGTATGGCCGATCCGAATCTACCGCCAGTTCCTACACGGCCTGATGGGCTGCCCAAGGCAAATCCGACGGTCCTCGGCCCAGCGTTCTCATCATCAACGCCGCCGCTCCCAAGTCAAGAGTCCAGAAAGGACATTTGGGGGCTGTATGGCTCCATATACTCTCCACCTACGACAGCGACTTCGAGCACCTTTGGTTTCCATCAATCTCACCTGCCACCAGATCCCTTTGCTAATGCAACTAGTCCCACCACCGCCGAGCCAATATCACCAATGCGGTCCCCCGTCGCCAGACATTCTCCCAGCTTCAAGGACCTGAAAAACTTCCTCGCTCCCCGGCCGCAGCTTACCAAAGCCAAGAGTCTGGCCAACATCCGCGAGAAGCTCGCGGAAACTACTACTGCACGACCCAGCATGTCAGACCTGTCCGAGCTCCCGCCCGTGCCGCCGCAAAAAGTCGCCATACGTACGAAATCGGCTGTTGCCTTGTCTTCACAGCTAAGTGCTCGTCCAAACGATGCCGTTCGCGGAGATAGCACCCTCTATCCCTTACCTCGACCTCACTTGACCAGGATGCCGACAGAGTCACCACCACTGTTCCCACCTCATCCACCATTCTTCCCGGCGTCGGGCTCTGGACCGTCGTCTCCCTCCGCGCCAAAACTCACCCTCGACTTATCCGTCTTATCTTCGCCTCCGCCTCCTTCGACTCCTCTCCCAGCTCCGCCAGTCTCTAGCCCTGTAGCGACCGTCCAGCGTAGCGCGTCTGGCGCGGTGCTCCTGCCTCGATCGCGATCGACGAGCATGTCGCTCAAGTCTCCGCCCACTAGCTCATCGTTCTTCGACCTTTACGAGCAATTAGGTATCTGGCCGACCTCGTCATCGGAGAAGAGCGCGTCGAGGGACGTCTCAGTGGATCGATCTCAAAAAGTCTCGGCAGATGCACGTCATGGTGAAGAGCATACTGCCCAGCAAGCGCCAGCTTTGCCGGAGCCTGTTCGAGGAAAAGCGCCAGACCTGGAACCTCTACCCGAGGACAGGACTATATCCACATCTCCCTCCGCCGCCTTCTCACTCGGAAGCTGGGAAGCGGCAATTTCGGCGTTCCCCATCATTGACGATGCGGTGCCAAATGCCGGGTCCGTCTTGGACTTTGGAGAACCGACCGTGGCGGACGATCTTGGCGTTGACAACCTGTTGGACACATCACCTGTAGAGTTGATTGATGATAGCCCCGGGATCAATGTGGCCGCGGTCCTGGATCGTGCGTCCAACTGCTCTGCCAGCCAGCGACAGGGAGCGTACCAGTCAAGTGGTGGGGGTCAGCAAGCTTCCAACAGGACCGCTGGATCTAGCTCACTGAATATGCCGAGAAATTACGGCAAAGGAGGGTCTGGTCTCGGCGGATCGGGAGGATCTGAGCGCAGCTCCAAAGCTGGAAGCCGCGATGAACGACTTGGCGGATATGAGCGTGGTCGACAGAGACTTCGACGAGGCAGTTCGACATCCTCCAGTGACTATGATGAAGAAGAGGAGGACGATGTGCCCTTGTCTCACTTGCATCCTGAGGCAGCTGCCCGGCAAGAGGAAAAGGCGAAACGCAGGGCTGCAAGACGTTTGGCGAGGGCTACTCGAAACCCTGGGGCCGGCACCGGCTGGAACGGGGAAGGTGGAGTACCTGCTGATATCCTGGCTAAGAAGCTGGAATTGGTATTGATCAAAGGAGAGGAAAGAAAGTATCCCTGGCAAAGGGCAATGCGGTCTTACAACCCTATGGAGCCTCCGGCAGCACCTCTGCCGACTGTGCCAGCTTCCGTTGCTCCGCAGAGAAGTCATACGGAGCCAGTACAAGCCGCTCGCGGGCCAGTGACTCATCCAGGCGGTGCTACACGACGGCCGATACTGCCTGCCGCTTCTGATGCGAGGGCAGATCGGGTCGGTGGACACTTGTCACCATCACCTGTCATGGTATCGAGCCAACCTCGACAGAGCGCCGGCCCAAGTCCAGCAAGCCAGATTAGTCCTCAGGTTCCGAGTGCCGCCAGTATCTCTCGTAGCGAGACAACGAGATCCTCGGCAAGCACCCAAAAGGGGCGACCAAGAGGCCTGTCCAACGCCGATTCGATGTCCCGCTTCAGCGACTCGAGTCACTCGAGAAGTGCCACCAATGGTCCCATCGCTCCTGTCAGGCAGCCGTTCATTGTACCAGCCATCATTGGTCATATGGGTGGACCGAGATTAATGCTCGAAGTCTACTCTGAGACCACGGCAAGAGACATTCTGCATAATGCGGAGCAGAGGGGTCAATTGAAAGAACCTACACCAGGATACGGCTGGGTCGTTGTGGAGATCTTTGGTGAATACGGTTGTGGTACGTTGCCTGAAGAGGGCATTAAGCTGAATCACAGAACGTCATCTCCGGGAATACGAGACCATCCAGTCTGTCGTTCATGGCTGGGATCCAGCCGCAGCGGGCAAGAACTTGTTGCTGTTATGTCAATCCCGTCGGGCGGCTTCAACGTGGGCGAGGGTGAGAGAGATTATGAGGTCACGCGTGCTGATGGCAGACCATTCCCACTACTGCGCCGTTCGTCGGAGGCTATGTCCAGTACGAGACGAAAAAGGGCAAGTGGAGCAAGAAGTATCTCGAGACCAGAGGTGGACAGGTCTTCCTGGCAAAGAACGAAAAGGTGAGCTGCTTGATGAACTCTGCTGAATGTCAAGAACAAAGAAGAGGTCCAGATCAACACACTCTTTCACGACGTCTATTCGTTGCCCAGGCCAAAAGGCGCTCCGAAGTCTTTCGTCTTCATGATGAAGCGCAGTGCGTAGACTCGTCAGCGAGTGACATGTCTGACTCTGCGCAGACGAGCAGGCGAGCCGATTTCCGAACCATCAAGATTATAGCTACACATTCTCGACTGATGATCAAGTGGGCTTCAAGCTGCTCACGGCTATTTATGAAGCGAAGGTGGGTCAATCTCGAGGAATGAATCTCATCATCTTTCTAGAGTCTGGCCATGTCTCAATCCATGCCACAGATCATGGCGCAGCAGTCAAGCGCACAGGCGACAAGAAGGCGGACGGAGACCCAGGAGAGCAGTCCGCTGATCAATCTGGGCAGAGAGAAGAAGGAAGAGCGATCTGCCTTTACAGGCAAGGGGTTGTTGAAGATCTAATTACATGGATTTACATGGTTGTGTCTATAGAAACATTGTAGTATTCACTTCTTGGCACTCTTAGAGTTATCACTGTCTATCTTGATCTATCACTGTCTATCTTGATCAAATTCGACCATCCATCTGTGATCCATCGCTGGGCGCCTGTTCTGATCTGCTCTTGCTCAATGCCTGCGTGCTGCACTGCCTCGATCACTTGCTCGTTGTTTCTGGTCGCTGTTTCGAGCCGTGATTGTTCTGCAGACAGTCGTCCTTGAAGGGACCATAATCTACTGTCTCGGGAGAGGGACGATCTGGCGAGAGCGCTGAGTCGTAGTGTGTTCTGAGTATTCGAGAGGAGCGGTACGAGGGATTGGGGCGACGCACTCAGAGGAGGAAGAGGGAGAAATGTGTACAGCAATGGAAGCAGAATAAGGAAGAGCGTACGAATAGTGTTTATGGTAGGTGAGAGCTGTGAACAAGACCGCTTAGCACTACTTGACGCTTGCTCCGCTTACGTGTGGGCATTCGCCCTGGACGGCTCGTACGGTCCAAAAGTATCGAGTGGCCACTTCAGCTGCAGCGGCGAGGACCAGTGACCAGCCGGAGAACGATCTCCAAGTCTTGGCCCTCCGCGCGGCGCCCTTGCCCGCGATGCTTTCAATACCCAAGACGCCAATCAGGACGGCGTTCAGGATAAACGGTGACATGGTGGAAGGAAGTGAGAACAAGAGATAGTCCATAGAGTCGGTACACCAGACGCACCGTAGGATCGTATCGTGTCCAAATCGAGAATATTGGTATCTCCCATCAAGCTTCGCAAGCTTTTGCAGGAGCAGCTCGAGAAGGGGATGAGTGTCTGCAAGTGTGGACAGGTCAGAATCACGAGCTCGTCTACCGAGGAGTCTCGAGCGGACGATATCTTGAGGTGCCAGGAGAGGGATATGATGGGCTTTGAAGAGATCGAAAGGTGGTAGGAAAAGGCGATACACTTGATAGAGCGAGTGCAGGCCAACGATGACCTTGAAGGTAAGTGACAAAGGCTCTGACGGCGACCGAGGACTGTCTCTCCGCCTGAGGACGAACGGCAGTAATCTAGGAAGGACTCGAGGAAGGATGATCGCCAGAATCAATGTCAGGATAGACTTGTACTGGGATATCGAGGCGATGACCGTCTGTAGCATCGTTCGATGATGTTTAGGCTGCCCGAGGGCTGGCCTAGGATGAAGTGACAATCATAAAAGACCCGGCATTTCGATTTCTCTATTTACGGAATCGACGTCAATCTTGCTATTGCGAGCGACACTTACACGGCTCAGGATGAACGAACATGGGCGAGAGCTCTTGCTTGTCTTGCAAGGGATACTCTAGGACATAGAGATTCTTGGAGATGGGCATGATTCAACGGAAAACCGCCTCTCGTAGGAAATACACCTGAGCTCAGCTGTGCATCTTGCATGAGTTGCCGGTGCAGGCGGCTCTCCACGCTTGAACGGCGCGCAGGTCTGCGTTGTCTCGTGAGCTCGGCTGGGAAGTGACTCTGGCTGAGCTTGCGAAAGCGACACGAGTGCCGGCCGCCATATCGCGGTCCCTGAAACTCGACGAGACCTATACGCTCCGCTAGCTCTACCCGATCAGCGACATCATACAACTTGGCCCGCCTCTTCGCTTCTGGAGCATGGACTGGACAATCTCTGCTCGTTTTAGTTTGATCAAATGGTATGACACGTATTCATCTCTCCTACGACCGAACAAGCTACAACACATTACACGGGGTACAGGATACTTTTACCAGCGCCCGGTCCCTGCATACAGATTATGAATACATTGGGAGGAAACACTCGGATTCAATCACCTTCCGACGAATGTCAGCAGCATACCACAGGTTGAGATCGAACGCCTCACTGGTCTACATCCATCGAACCGGAAGAAGCCAATGCCCTTGCTGCCTCTGCTTCTGCCTTCCGCTTTCTGTACGCCAGGAATTCGTTCCATCTCTCTTGTGGCACTCGCTTTCCAGTCCTTGGATCGACTGGCGGGATGTTTGACGGTTCCCGAGCCGCAGGAGCCGAGTTTGCAGCAGCTCTGTGAGCCTCTTCCAACTTGCGCCTCTCCTCGACTTTCTTCTGCAAGACTGCCTTGGATCCGTTAGTGAGCTGAACCCTTACATTGACTTACTGTGCCGCATACAAGGTGTCTGAAAGCGCGACTGACTTCCCGACCGATATAGGGCCGATTCTCAAACTGCAATCTTGGTGAGCGTTGAATGAGGAGCCGAGCGCACCTCGCGAAGCATGTAAAAGAGCTCCCGGGTTTCAATGATGGGTATCGGTGGATGTTCGTTGACGAGGTAGAAGATGTATCCGAGGGTATCAATGCCAATCTGTTTGTAAGGGGCCGCATCTTTCCGGAACCCACAATCTCTCCCTCTGAGCTTATGCGAAATCGAAACATCCTTTTCTTGATGGCATCCGCGAGCGACTGTGCGTGCTGCGCTATATCTGTTCGCCCTCTATCCGAAGACTACGCAGGTCGATGCTCGTCCTCCCGAATCCTTGACTCACGCTCAGAAAGTATGTGGTCAGCTGCCCACTGATCCCATCCGCATTCACGCCTAACCACCTCCACCGCCACACTGTGGATCTGCCTTCGTCCACTGTATCAACGTTACATGTTGCCCAGACATCCCCGTCCACCTGCGGATCGTTGAGCATGAATGTCAGCTCATCGAGACAACCATAGGCCGCTCTGTCCCAGGAGGTTGAATATCTTGGCTTGAGATTCATCGAGAAGCGATAGGAAGAGAAAATACAAAGAGCATGACCCGGAGATGATTTATAAATCCTACGTGTATGAATGGGCTATGAAATTCTCAGTGTCATGTGGACAGTGAGCTGTAATCAGCTGACTAAAGTGAGGTACATTTTATCACACTCACAGCTGGCTTTGTACGCGATGCTAGCCGTGCCGCAATGTCCTCACTGGTACAAAGGACTCGGCCTTGCTCAGAAGTCCCTTCTGAATTCGTTTGCGGATGGTTGGGGGTGCGATCTCTTCATCCCAAGCAAGCCCTACCGTTGTCGTCCTCCATGACTAGATGGGTGACGTTTCCGGCACAGACAGGTTAGAAGACCCGTTGATAGCGCAGAACCATCGTGAATGCATTCGCATAGTCATTATTCTATAGGGAGTCCACATTTCAGATCGTCACTACCATCGCCCAAACACCAACCCAATCACAACATACAACAAAGTCAACCTGTCATCAGCGACAGATTTTAAAGATCAGACTCACGGTGGAGTAAGCACAGCATACGACCAAAAGATTGTCTTTGAGATCAACCTCTCGAACGCATCACCAGATGCCGCTTGTGTGATTTGGGCCAATGTCAGAGCCGGCGGCTGGAAGTCAGAACGAGCGAAAAGGTCAGACTCACCGAGGAAATAAGCAAGACTGCGGAGAGGATGAAGACGGGGTCCTCAGCGGCCTCGAAAGGATCCAACTTGGCAATGAGACCGACTATCGGGACCATGATAGCAGGCACAATGACCATCCGGCTCATCACGGCTACCAAGACTGCCTTGTTTTCTCCTGGATATGATTGGGTCTCGGAATGACGCGTCAGAGAGTAAAGCTTGTTACTGAAGTAGCCCTTGATCGACCCGTCAGAGTGCGGTGGAGTTATGTCATCAGGAGGCAAAGCGATCGCCTGGGGAGGTGCAGGAGGGGTATAAAAGAACGCCCCTAGAACGACCAGCGTAACAGGAACTGACAATTAGTTCATGATGTTCCCCATTTCTCACTTGAACACTGTCCTGCCCCTTTGACTGCTTGTTGAAAGGGCTTGATCTTGCCCATCGCTGCTTGAAGTGGCGGTATCATGGCGATGATGATTGACAGCAGAGCGGCGTACATGGGCACAGTCATGAACGCGTGTATGCCCCGTAATATTGGCATGAGTCGGTCTTTGACCTTCTTCAATGAGGACTTGATGGCGCCAAGGCTGGCATGGCTCGCGTTGCGGCGAATGAAGTCAGTTCTGCCTCTCCCCTGTCAGGTCAGCTATTTACCTCACAGTAGACCTACGCATTCATCCTCGTCCAATTCTGAGTCGCTGCTGTCATCCTCGAGAATCTCATGCGAGAGCATTGTATTCCGTTGTCTCGGTGCCTCAGGCAGGCCCCAAAATTCCCGACCACTGTCCGTTCGGGTGGGTTTTCGTCGAGCCCCGGCAGTGTGCATCGAGTGCCGCCTTACTGCTCGTTCTCCAGGTCCCAAAAGTAGATGCTGAGAGACAGCGGACGACGATCCTGGTATCCAGTTCGATGATGGTGTAGGGGAAGGTCCCCGGGCAGAATTCAGCCCCGGGGCGGTCATCCTACGAGCTCGAGGCTCGTCCTCCTCATCCTGAGAGAGACCTCGCTGTGTTGAGAAGAAAGGGTCCGTCTCGCGATTGCCAGGGTGCACATCAAGATTCTCAGGCGACATGGTGCGAGAGGGTGCTCCTATCGTTTGAGGCATTGCCGATTCCACTTCCGGCGCTTCTTCATCCGCTTGGGACAGTAATTTTACGCCAACGGACCAACGGAGCTGACTTCAGCTGCAGCCGACTGAGACGTACTCACCATCATGCCGAGAGTTGAGTAAAGCACTAGGTAGGTCAGAGCTCGTCCCAGCATCTGATCCTTTGAGTCGTCGTCGTCCCACTTGAGGCCAGGAACCTCCACTACCAGCGACTAGGCCCGGTCAATACGGCATGGGGATAGGCCAACCAACCTGGATCAGGGCAATGGGAAGAGAATTGCTGGAGGTCAGTCTTGGTACCATCTCGATCCTTACCTGTTCTGGAACATGGCTGCACAGATAGCGAAGGCGCTGATCGTTAGAGCCAGCCCTCACCCCTCGACCTACGTCTGTGACCGAGATAATTTGAACAATCTTGCAAGTGTCCACGCTACTGCCGCCGAGAGTCCAGTCACTATCACGAAGCTGAGATATTCAGCTAACATGATGACTTGCTACCCACCCTACAGGGATGGTCCACATCTCCTTCAGCTTCGCCGGAGTAAGAGAGAAGGCCACCTGAGCATTAGCAAGGGAGTCGATGTTCACAGCTCACCTTTGAGAAGAGCAGGGCAGGGGTGAAAAGAGACACATTGATGACGTTGAGCTTCCTCTGAGTAGCTTTGTCTGTGACGCCAGCCCGAGCTAGGATGAATCCTGCCATACATAGTAGAAAGACTTCAATGATGGACTAAAATTCATGAGCGGCGTTGAATTGATCAAGGCTCACCTCGAACACGGTCACCAGGAGCGTTCTGACTGTAATTCGATCAGATCTGACTTCTTGTTCGGGGAACATACCTGGTACAGCATCTGTCTCCGCTAGCATGTTGAGCAGAGCCGCTTGCGTGGTAGACACAACGTTCAAACGAGTTAACAATCGAAGCGCTGCCAAGGTATGCTTAAGCGAACCGTCATCGATTGATTCATTACGTAAGACCGTCCAGCACCTGATCTTTAGACCTTCAAAAAGTTGCAGCGTGCTCGCCGAGCTATACGATCTCAGGCATATCGACGCTCACATCAGATCACTGACACGCTCTCACGCATCTCAGCGATCATCATGAATCCCATCAGATCAGCATTACGACCTTCGATTGCCTCTTATCAGGCAAGTATACACCCACCAACCCTCGCCTCCACTTCTGTCCTCGGCCGTCGACCACTCACGACTCCCACGAATCCGAGTCGAGCCAAAGTTCAAGAAGGCGACCCTCATGTCCGTGAGGATCCAGGAGAAGCTTTGGAGGGCGAGTTGATTGCTGAGAGGATGCCGAGTGGGGAAGGTGAGGTCATGTTTTAGTCTGCCCAGCTGACATTAGAAATGTTCGGCTTCAAAATGAACGAGGTGGTGGCGAAGACTGGTACTGACATGAAGGTGCCGGGAAGGCCAATTTACCTGGACATGCAGGTGGGTTTCGAACGAGCGATGCGATGTTCATGCCCAGGCCACCACACCCATGGATCCCCGAGTCCTGGACAAAATGCTCCCTTTCTGGACAGAGCAATATGGAAACCCCCATTCCCGAACTCACGCTTACGGATGGGAAGCTGAGAACGCAGTGGACGAGGCGAGACAGCATTTGGCAGACCTTGTTGGAGCCAATCCGAAGGACATGGTATTTACCAGTGGAGCTACAGAGAGCAACAACATGATTATCAAGGGTATCGCCAAGTTTCACCAGAGCAAGAGAAAACACATCATTACCACGCAAACAGTGAGTCGGCGCTGCTTGGTAGCTGCTAAGAGGGCAGGAACACAAATGCGTGCTCGATTCATGTCGATATCTGTCTACAATTGGTTTCGACATTACCTATCTGCCGGTCCAACCAAATGGTCTTATCAGTCTCGAGCAATTGCGGAACGCTTTGCGACCCGATACCTCTCTAGTTTCCATCATGACTGTGAACAATGAGATCGGTGTCATTCAACCGATGAAGGAGATTTCCGAGACTCTCAAGACTTGGGCTCAGGAAACGAAGAACCAGAAACCATACTTTCACACCGATGCTGCTCAAGCAATCGGCAAGATCCCTATCGACGTGGAGGAAATGGGCATCGATGCTATGTCAATCTCGGGACACAAGATTTACGGACCAAAGGGAATCGGGGCAGCTTACGTCCGAAGGCGACCTCGTGTCAGGCTGGAGCCTTTGATCCATGGTGGAGGTCAGGAGCGAGGTCTGCGAAGCGGTACTGTTCCAGCACCCTTGGTCGTTGGACTGGGAGAGGCGGCACGCCTAGCTAAGCGAGAGATGAGCCTTGACCATGCGAGGATCAAGAGTCTGTCAGATCGCTTGGTGCAAGGCATCAACAGTCAGGTCGAGCATGTAATCAGAAATGGTGACCCGAATGGATACCCTGGATGTGTCAATCTCAGTTTCGCCTATGTCGAAGGAGAATCTTTGCTCATGGCATTGAAGGTGGGTTGCCATATCTTCCACGGCTGATTGCCAGGATATTGCCCTATCGTCGGGATCTGCCTGTACCTCTGCCTCTCTCGAGCCCTCTTATGTTCTTCGAGCCCTGGGTGCTGCTGATGACATGGCACATTCTTCCCTGAGATTCGGAATCGGTAGATTTACGACCGAGGCCGAGGTCGACCTCGTCGTCCAGCGAATCGTCGCTGTCGTGTCGAGGCTACGTGAGATGAGCCCTTTGTGGGAAATGGTGCAGGAGGGTATTGACATCAATAAAATCGAATGGAGCCAGTGAGTCGACACGAGTGGGCTCGTGCTGACGTGTACAGGAGCTAGTTTTGTATACTCGGACAGGTGTATGTTGGCGTTGCATTTCTTCGTATTGCTACAAGCAGTGCGATTCAAGTATCCACAGCTCTATATCTGAGTTATCTACAGCCGTTCCGAATCGGAGCCTCGATCTTCAATCGAGATACACATCTGCTTTACCTCGTTGTACACAAAATCTGCGGATCAGCATTCATCGATAGGCTACGCTCACCTTCTGTAGTCTGGCTTCATTTCTTTCGGGTATTTTGGCAGCCCGTACTGGCTGGTTCGACCGTCCACTTGACCATCTAGGAACGTAAGAGCACTGCCGGCAATGCTGGATCCATCGTCGTAAGAGTCTTGGCCGCCTACAACACTGGGACTTTGATACATCGTTCCGCCCACTCCCATATTGAGGCCTCCAAAGGCTGCTGCGACGCCTGGCGAGAGATCGTCTGTGGTCGACAGAGCGTGCATAGAGACTGCCCTTGTCCGGTGGTAGGGTGATTGGCTCTCGACAGGTGCAGGTGAAGGACTTCGGCGGGAGTTTTGAGGCGGTGGAATCATGGAATGATGGTGTGAGTGGTGTCGACGTCGATGGACATCGCCTTGAACATGTACCCTGTCGGCGACAGCTGAGCGAGGTGTCAAGTTGATTGAGTGGTGCCGGTGACGTTGGTGCGGTTTTGCGACATGCTGATCATGTCGACTTCTGTGATCATCCTCGACCAGGTAGGAATGTCGAGGAGATCGTCTTTCCGCATCCTCCTCCAGCTGCCGGTGGTAGCTAGGCGACAGTGGCGATCCGAGGTGGCCGCTACGGACAAGTGACAAGGGAGACGGGGCGTTAGGCGAGCAAGAATGCGACTGTGCGTCCGCTGGCGGGCCGATAGAGGGAGATCGATGACGAGGGTGCTGATGGCTATGGCTTATTGCTCGTCGATGTTCATGTTCATGTGGACTAGATCCGTCACTGCCGGAATCGATGTCGACGTGGTCTGATCGATGACGACGAAGAGTCTTGGGACGAGCATAATAGCTCGCATCGGAAGCCCCATCATCAATCGCTGAGTGAGATGGAGATCGATGGTGACAGACTGGGGCAATGTTCGCTGTCATTACAGGAACCAGCGATGCTCTACGACTAGAGCGAGGTGCAGGCAGCGATGCTGACATCCATCCATCATTGTGCAGGGAAGATGAGGCGGAATGTATGGGTAGGTGCGCCATGCTCGGCGGATATGGCATCAGACTGCCCACCATAGAAGGAGCATGGAGAGTGGCGGAGGTATAACCTGCATCAGGCAAAGCTGGTATGGCACGATGAGGGCCTGGGTATCAGCACTGTACCAGATAATCTGCTGCTTACTGCTTATGCCGCCAGGTTGAGGAGGGATGATGGCGGAAGCAGCAGCGGATGCCGGACCACGGGAGATGATGGACTGGCTCGATCCGGGAAGCCCTTCAATCTCTTGGCGGACGAATTTGGGCGTGTAGGGTAATTGCTGGTTCGCGAAGGGCGGAGGTGTGACTGAGCTTGTCAGCCAGGCCTGCGACACGCATCTATCTTACCTTCGATAGGCATCTTGGAGGTCTGTATGCATCAGCAAGGGCTATAGTGGAAAAGGCTTAGGTCAGAAGACAATTTGGGAGGGGACGTTTGACTGAGGAGCATAGGAGCTACTAAAGCCCCGCAGGAAAGATTCTCGTGGTCGACAAAACGCAGTAAGGCTGGAACGCTCCAAGAGCATGCCGTGTACGGGCAGTGATAAAGCAGCTATCCGGGACACTCCTTTGTTCAGAGTCGTCAAAGGGTAATTGGATCTGTGGATGGGTCTGGCCCAGATCCCACGGAACTTTCTAGTTGGAGAGAGTAAGAAGACTGTAGAGGTAATCTGAGGCATAATCAGGCTGTGATCAGTATATGTGGTGGTCAGTGAGTCGAGGCCTGAGATTCAGGATCCGAAAGAAGAATATGCTACATACAACAATGTGGGTTTCCCGTGCTTTAAGCTGGCTCGACTTCTCTCTCCAAAGCAGCTTCGATTTCTTGCTGCACTGCTTTCTGGATGTGCGGTGGGATCATTTCTGTAGACGTCAGCGACCAGATACAGGCAGCCTTCTCCCAGAGCGGAAGACTCACTGTTGGCTTGAGCGGAGATCTCCTCGAGCAATGCCTGAAGACTCGGTGTCGACTGGGCTCGGACACGTTCTATAGCAAGTCAGTATCTTGACTCAAGCCTTTGACCCACCTTTAGCCAAGTCCTTCAGTTCGTCCTCCCATCCTGCCTCTTCGAGCTGTGCACGCAAGGCGCGAGATATGCTTAGAAAAACGTCAGAATTCACCAAGCGCATGTATGTCGATGTCCTTACCGTTCCCAATCTCCCGTCTCAAGAAGTCTCTTCTTGATCTGATCCATCACCTCCTCATCTGGCTTGGCCCCTGACATGCTTGCCAGTCCTGTCCTTGAGTACTCTGGCGAAGATTGACTTTACCTCCAGACCTCATGGATGCATCCAATCTCGGTTCCGAAGTGTCAGGTCCAAATCACGTGCCTGCATAAATTTCTGAAATCGTGCCGACCAAGATTCAGGATGGATCCTGGTAAGGTGTACTTGTGAACGTCCCCAGCGAATAGCAGCAAGATGGCAACTCTTCTACCTCCTCCAAAGCGGCAGAGATCGGCATACTCCAAGTCCATCAAGCCTGACCCTGTTCCGGAGGCTGTGGAGATACCTAGCATCGTAGTCCAATTCAAGAATGCAGAAGATGGCAGTAGCTTTGGACCGGCCGTCAATCTTCCGGCAGATACAAGTAGAGATGCCTTGCAGATGCTGGTCAACAAGCTCAGAGGAGAGGTGAAGCTTCCCGTGCTGGACTATGCTGATCAGCACCGACAGACAGAAGATCCCCTACCTTATTCTTTCCACATTCTCGGCAAACCCAAGAATGATGCTGCATCCACTCGAGTGCAGATTTCCTCTTCCATCTTTTCTGATGCCATCGCTCCGCCTGCCTCTACCTCTACGGCTCCAACGTTCTCTCCGGAAGACATCTTCGAGCTCTGGTGCGAACCTCAAGCTGTATTCCGGGTCAGAAGCGTTGGCCGCTGCAGTGCGACCCTGACAGGTGAGGTCAGGCTTCTGCCCTAAGCTCATGAACAGGTCATGCCTCACCGATTTTATGCTGCGCGCACTCGCCTACTGGTCGTTATGCTGCGACTGGGTCCGGTGATGCCACCTGCAGGATCTGGGACATGGAGACCGAAACCCCAAAGGTGAGTCCTCCTGCCCGAACATCAGCTGATCTTGCCCAGTGGAATCTGACTGGGCACAAAGGCTGGGTACTCTGTGTAGAATGGGATGCGCAGGAAAAGATGGTGGCCACGGGAGGTCACGATGGACAGGTGAGCAAGTAATGTGTACCGCGCTGACCAGGCAGGTCCGGCTATGGGATCTCAAGACCGGACAGGCTGTTGGGCAACCTTTGCTAGGCCACACAAAATGGATCACATCCCTTGCATTTGAGCCTCTACACCTGACCAAGGGCTCGAGCCAAAGGCTAGCCTCCGCGTCGAAAGATGGGACGATACGTGTCTACAATACCTCTACCCGAAAGCTCGACTTCGTGCTCTCGGGTCACGGCGGTAGTGTCAATGTCGTTCGATGGGGCGGGGAAGGTGTCATCTACACCGGGAGCAGTGACAGGACGGTCAAAGTGTGGAGCGGGGTGGATGTGAGTTCCAGTCCAATTCACGCGGCTTATAGTCAGGGCAAACTCATTCGAACACTCTCCGATCATGCCCACTGGGTCAACACGATGGCTTTGAGCACCGACTTTGTTTTGCGTACTGGACCATTCGATCACACTGGAAAGCAGCCCAGCTCAGAGGAGAATGGTGAGCATGTCTCAACTGCTTTACTTACTCGACGTAGCCAAAGAACTCGCGCTCAAGCGTTACAAAGAGTTCCTGAGGGCCTCGTCCGAGATTTTGATCACCGGGTCGGATGATCATACCCTCTTCCTATGGCCAGACCAAGCTTCCTCTTCTCTCAACGCCAATGCTACCCCCAAGAAACCATTGGCTCGCCTTACCGGACATCAGAAGCAGGTCAATCACGTTGCATTCTCTCCTGATGGCCGGATCATCGCTAGTGCAGGCTTTGACAACGCTGTCAAGCTGTGGGAGGGAAAGACTGGAAAGTGGGTAGTGCTTGTTGAATCTGAGCTGAGCAGTCAGATTCATTGCCAATCTTCGAGGACACGTTGCGGCAGTGTATCGAGTTGCCTGGTCTGCAGACTCGAGGATGCTGGTCAGTGCGAGCAAGGATTCCACTCTGAAGGTGCGAATCAGGTTTGTAGGGCTGTGCTGACGCCAGCTCTGGGATCTCAAGAAGTACAAGATCCGGCTAGACCTGCCTGGTCATACAGATGAGGTGTATTGCGTGGACTTTGTGGCGGACAAGGTGGTCAGCGGTGGAAGAGACAGAACAGTGAAAATGTGAGCCACGAATGTCTCTCCTGGTCCTCAGCTGAAGCCTCTCAGATGGCGAAACTGAGTTGAGTCCTTCATAGTGACTCTCTGTGATTTGCCCATATGCATACTGATCTGAGAGCTTTCTTGCTTGTGACGTGGCATTATTTCTGCAGAACCTCGAGTCGTCGCGCGTTGAGATTTTGAATGTTCGAGGTTTCAGGTGCAGCCAGTCTGAAATTCCAACATTTAAATCTGTTGGCTGGCCAGGAAGCGACATGATTGACCTACTGCATCGTGAGTTGGGCCGGTCAGCCTATGCGAGAAGTTCTGACTGCTGGGTCCAGTTCAAGAGGATAAAGGGGGAAACCCTGAGATTATTCGTGAATCTCAACGTAAACGAGGAGCCAGCGTCGAATTGGTGGATGAAGTCATTGCGCTGTTCGCAGAACACAAGAAGTGTGAGACTTGCGCAGCACGCAGAAGGAAGCCCTGACCCTGGGTCTTTCAGTGCAATACGAGCAAGAGAGCATCCGTCGAGAGCTCAACATCCTCCAGAAGGAAATTGGTGGCATCAAGAAGGCCAAAGGGGATGCTTCTGCGCAATTGCAAAAGAAGGCGGACTTTGACAAGCAGATCCAAGAGCTTGCGGTCAAGGTCGCTGCGCTGCTGAAGAAGCGAGACGAAAAGGCCAAGCAGATTGGCAACATTGTGGACAAGGATTGCCACGTCTCCCAGACAGAGGTGAGAGAATTTCCTAAGGCATCGTGCTGATCTGCAGGACGACAACCCAATTGTTCGAGTCTGGCATCCTGAACCCAACCACAAGGGCAATTCTCCGCCTGGACTTCAACTTGAAGACAAGACAGAAGGCATCATCTCGCACCACGAGGTGCTCACTCGCTTGGAAGCATTCGACACTGATAGAGGTGGGCAGATCTTCCCAGCAGTCCTAACGTCCCAGGTGTCAAAATCGCCGGCCACCGAGCTTTCTTCTTGACCAATGATGGAGTCGACCTCAATCTCGCTTTAATAACCTATGGTCTCCATTTTCTGCGGAGCAAAGGATTCAAGAAGGTCCAAGCACCTTTCATGATGAACAAGGACATCATGGGCAAGACAGCCCAGCTGGAGGATTTCGACGAGTCACTGTACAAGGTGATTACTGCTGCACGGTCTCTGACTGATATACAGGTCATGGGAGGTGACGCGGATGGCAGCGATGACAAGTACCTCATTGCCACTTCTGAGCAACCTATTTCGTCCATGTTCATGGATGAGAACCTCGAGCCAAAATCCGTTCCCATGAGGTGAGTTCCTTAGGGTCCCCGCGAAGCTCATTGCAGACTTGCTGGATACTCCACCTGTTTCCGAAAAGAGGCCGGGTCCCACGGCAAAGATACCTGGGGAATCTTCCGTGTCCACCAATTCGAGAAAATTGAACAAGTGAGGACATCTCAAAAACTCGTCTGACCTCCAGTTTGTCGTCTGCGATCCCGAGTCGTCTCCGAAGATGCTCGACGAGATGCTGGCCAACTCGAAGGAGTTTTACGAATCGCTCGAGATCCCATATCGAGTTGTCGGTATCGTTTCTGGAGGTTTGAACAACGCTGCTGCTATCAAATACGATCTCGAGGCCTGGTTCCCTTACCAAGGAGAATACAAAGAGCTAGTGTCTTGCTCAAACTGTACCGACTACCGTGAGTCCTACTCAACTGCGCTCGCTAACGGACAGAATCACGAGATCTCAACGTGCGACTGGGATACAAAACGGCCGAGGCCAAACCTGCCTTCGTTCACATGCTCAACGGTACCTTGTGTGCTACTGAGCGAGCCTTGTGCTGTCTCGTAGAGAATTATCAGACCCCAGAGGTGAGATGAGCCGTTTCTCTTCGTTGCTGACAAGTAGGGACTTCGCATACCTCGAGTCTTGCAACCATACATGCAAGGCAGAGAGTTCCTCCCATATACCGCCGAGCTGCCGCAGCACTCGACCAGCGTCAGGAAGAAGTGATGCCCAGCGGATGCCGTAGTAGCTAGCTAGATGGACATGCATTTCGGCGAGCGCCGCCCAGGTCTTCCGAGTCGCGGCCATGATGCTTCGCGAGTGTGCATATCTCACTTTACATGAACGGCCATGGAGGTGTACGCTGCTTCGGATGGCAGCCTGATCCAGCTACAGAAGCAGCTGGCAGAGTATGACTCGTAAGTGCTAGTGGATGACTACAGAGCAGTGCTTGCCTTACACGTTCCCAGTCTTGCTCAGCTGACGTATGATGTCGCCACCGCTGCCGGCTTGACCGAGACCGATGTCCTGTTGTTCCTTGAGAACGGATCCGAGCTCAGGGATGAGACTATACAGTCAGCTTGGGATAGAGGAGGTGGGGGCTCGGCCAGTCAGGTGAGCGGCATGTCTGTGTCTTGGCTCATATTCAGGCCCAGACTACTCTATATCTCTTCAACCGAGCTACATTTTGGACAGATGCCGAGACTTGGGCTGCCCAGCTTCAGGAGGAGGTCGAGATGCCTCCTCAGTTGAATCGTGAGAGGTCATTATGGGCGGCGTGTGCTCATTACCAGTATCTGCACTCTCGGATATCCCTCAAGCGCAACATCCGTTTCTCCTAGCGATCGACCATCTGTCCCACCTTCAATCCTTATTCACGGCTCAATCGAGAGCGATCAAGATAGCCTACGACAATCTGAATCATCATCTAGCGCTATTGGATAAGGAATTCAATAGGTTCACTCAGCATGCGCAAGCAGAATTGGCGACTGAAGCGAGTCTTCTGCGTCACTCCAGAACGGACATGGCCATTCTACCCAAGATCGTCATCCACGAGTCGTTTCTGAGGAAGAAGGACAAGGAGGGACCAACGACGCTAGCGGATTATATCAGTGCCAGAAAGATGGAACAGGTTCGAGAGACATGCGAGGCATCCCACGGTGAGCACTCGGCTCCAGGCGTGGTACTGAGCATTCCTCAGAAGACCACTTGACCCGATTTGAAGGCATCGTCCAGCAGATCGAGGAGCTGGAAGCTCATTCTGACGCGGAGAGACGAGCATTCCATTCACGAACGCAGGTTGTAGCGCAGGAGTTTGCCGAAGGGCTCGAGAAGATGGAGCTGGCGGTGCATAGGGTTGAGACGTTGTTGACTGGGACGGCATCTGAGGGAGCCGCGCACGACCTAATGGAACTGGACAGGGCCATGCGAGAAGACCTAGTGACATTGATAGCAGTCAAGGTGAGGGTTTTGGACGGCTGTACTGACGCCCAGAACGACTTCACCCTCGAGGTACACCTGCATATTCATCAAGTCGCACAGTTTCAGATCCGGATTACCCAAATTGCGCCACCTCTCGGTCAGTTGGAGAAAGATCTCAAGACCAAGTCTGCATTCCCACATTTGCATCGCCTGAACCAACTGCCCTTCGCATACGGTGTCAGCGTGCTCGAGGTGGTCCGTCGTAAGGAGTTTTCCGGAGCCCTTATCCACTGGGTGGCCAAAGTGCAAAGGGCTTTAGACGATTTCCTGAGACAGGAGTGCGAACGTCGACTGAAAGTTCAAGAAGAGATCCTGGTTCAACTGCCCTGGCAGATCACGGTGTTGGAGGAGTCGATGAATGTCCACGTCGAGACGGAGGTTGAGGATGGAGTTGAGGCTTTGGCGAAGGTAGACATTACTTCTGCGGATGTCGACAGTAAGCCGGGCAAGTGACTATGATAGCTGATTTACAGCGCTGATGCAGTCATTCGAAAGGCTTGCATCAGACAAGGATATCGCCTCTACTTTTAAGACTATCGACGTCAACCCTGTCAATCACCTCTGCGATAAGCTGAAGAGCGTCATAGCCACCTCCATATCGCCGGATCAAGAACTGGAAAAGATTGCTATTGGACTCAGTGAGTCTTAAAGCCCTAACGCTAGCTAAGACTCAGTCCCAGAGCCAAAGGCCGAGCGGCCTGACCAGTCTCTGTCGACACAGCTGCGTATCGTCGAGCAAGAACGCGCCGAAGCACAAGCTCAGTTGGCTCTTTTGCAAAAAGTTCACGATGCGAAACTTCGGGAGATGGCAGATGTGCATGAAGCTCGTGAAACAGCGATGCATAACCGTCAAGCCGAGCTACAAGATGAACTCGTACGATTGAGAACGGATCTGGGAGAGGAAATGCTCGCACGACAAGCTCTCTCGACCCAGCTGCAGCAGAAAAATGACGAAGACGAGACAGGCGTTGCGCTGCAAGCCGAACTGGTTCAAGAGAAAGATCGAGCGACGGATCTCGGTGTCAGGCTTCAAGAGGCCCTGCTGGACATCGATGGCCTTCGCAACGCTGAAGAGACTCTCAATTGCAAGATCGAGACTTTGCAGACTGAACGACTCCACACACTACAGGAGCTCTCCCAGAGCCAGGGAGAGGTGCAAGATCTAAAAGCTCGCCTTGCAGGATTATCGGCAGAACTGGAGGCTAGCAACAACCAGCTCGGTCAAGCTATCCGAGAGCGTGAACTAGCTCATCGCAATCAGTCGACAGAGGCAGAGAAGCTTATGCGAGATCGCATCGCCGAAGCTGATGGGGACAGAGCCGTGTTGGAGCATCAAAATCTCACTCTCACCAAAGAACTCAACGATCTGCGTATACAGACCGAAGAAAAGCTGTCTGCTGCAAGGAACGCAGCTGTCAGGCAAGCAGATGGTCTCAAAGCGGAGTTACAGCTTGTTCGAGCCCAATTACGGGATATACAACGGCGTGAAACACTGCTGGCCGATGAGTTGGCCATGTCAAAGGACGCAGTCACTGCGTCAAGCGTACAGAACGGAGCGTCCGATTTGCTTGTCAACAGATATTACGAATGCTGCCAACGACTGCTGAACGCTATCAACTCTTCTTCGACTATCAACGGTCTCGCCTCCCGTAGCAAGGCTGCTTCTGCAGTACTCGACGTAGCTGCAGCCGCTGGCTCAGCCGCCAGCTTTGATCTCGTTGCTTTCGACGAGGCAGTGACGAGGACTATTAGTCTGGTGAAAAAGTGGTCCAAGAGCTGCAAATCGTATAGGGATCTCGCGAGAACAAGGATCAGCTACAACAACTTCCAGCGGGGTGATCTTGTGAGCTGAGTGGACGAGGTCGCGCTGATGTCAAGTGCCTGTTCCTGCCGACCAAGAACGTGGCTGCGAAGGCTTGGGCAGCATTCAATGGTGAGTGGAAGAGTGGAATTTGCACTGACGCCAGTTTTTGCTCCGCATCACTTTCTGAAGATGACCGAGGCCATTCGGGCTCAGTCATTGAATCGAGACTTCATATTGGCTAGGATTGTAGACACGGAAGAGGCTGTCGCCGGCGGTGGTGATGTGAGTGTCTCACGAAATGCACAGCTGACCTGCAGTACTTTGCGAACAATCCGTACGGTCTCGCGGAAGGACTTCGATACTATGTGCATGAGGTGGAAATATACGACCCTCAGGCGATTCGAAATACTCCTCGCCGTACCACCTCTGGCCAGAGACCGATCATACCGCGGGCAAGCTCCACCGATCCTTCGCCTTTCACACCTACACCTATGAAGCCAGGTCCAATATCTCGACAAGATTCCCAGCATTCACCGACAGGTATTCGGCGAGAGTCAATGTCCAGTGCCGAGTCCCTCGCTCAATCACCGACGAGGACAGAGACTGCTCCAGAACCCCTGTTGCAAGAACCTTCCCACAAGCTGTCGCCCGTCTCAGAAGCAGGTACGACCCTTCAAACAGCGCCGTTTGCCGTGGGCCACCTGCGCGGCCCATCCAACCAAAGTTCTCTCCGTATGGCCGCCAAAGTGGCTCCTTCCTCGCGCGAAGGTGCTGCTGTATTCGCTCCGTCTGCCCAGGGTCGTCCGGCATCCGTGGCGTCCACTTCTTCAAGCAATGTCCGATCTGTGTCCACGACCAAAGCTGCACCGGCCATGGCAGTGACGACTTCCAATCAATCCTTATCTCCTGGCCAGCGGTCTTCACCTTTGCCCGTCATGCGACGAGTTTCCCGCAAGACGTCGACGACGTCTCTCAGTCCACACAGTGATGATGTCTTTCGACCCTCTCCGCTAGGAACAACGCCTCCTGTCGAGACCAACATCAACGTCGCTGCATCGTCATTTCAAACATTAGGTGCAAGTCCAGCTGGAAGTGCTAGAGAGTCATTCGATAAGCAACGTAAGCTGTCTTCTAGCCCGAGCGGATTGATCGGATCCAAACTGTTGTATGGTCTAACGGGAAAAGGACGAGCTCCGATCCCAGCATCACCCGACAAACCGTCAGCAGTTGACATGTTGAAAAAGCTGGGCGGGGGCGGGGCGTAGGTCATAGAGGTGCGTTTGTGCATCACGGCTATATGCATCGTCATATTATGTCACATGTACATCCTCAGATCGTGTGGTCTATCATGCTACAGAGTATCGTTATTCACATTTGTTCGTCCACTGGGGTAGAGACAGTGCAGGATATATCTCAGGATTCACTCTAGGGATCACTCCTTCAGTTCGATTAGTTCACCCTCATCGTCCTCAAAGTAGACGCCTTTGATCATGTCCTCTTCACTATCCGTCTCGTCGTCCTCTGTGTGACCGACCGAGGGCGAATTGAGAGGAGTCGTATCGCCAGCGCTTGAGTGTATGGATTTCGATCCTTCACCCTGGGCCTTTGGGGAGTCCGCCTCACGAGCGGCTTTGATCGCCTCCTTTTGAGATCTCACAAAGTCTCTTCGTAATTCATCGAGCGACAGACCTGTAAGAACTGGGTTGCGTTAGCTGCCCTTAGACAATGCACTCACTCGACAGCAAGACTTCGAGATTGTACTGTTGATCAGCATGATACAAAGAAACGAGCACTCACAAAGGCATCATTGCCCGCGTTACCGAATCCAACAGGTTGTCGTTTCTTTTCCTGACCAAAGATGATCCAACCGACCTCTTCGAGCGAGCGAGGAGATTGGGCGAGCTGCTTATGATAGCGTTGCTCGATAGCTGCAAACAGCTTTGAAGTATCCTGGACGCAATTCTTAGCGCGGTAGCAGCAAGAAATGAACCTCACGATAAGGAAATACTTGCCGATGCCGTCCACACAGGAGAAAGCAGGATAATCCCATTCCATTGGTTGGAGAGAGTCGTACATATCCTTCATGCCTATCTTCTCAAGCCCTTGCTCGCCGTGAAAGATGAGATCTGAACAGTCAGTCGGTCTGTCGAACATTTGCATCACTCACAGGTTGGGCCGCCTCCAGCCTTCTTTGCGAGATCAGCAAGTAAAGCCTTGATCGTTGTATCGAGCTCCGATTCGGCCACAGGCAGGGAATCCCCGAAAAGATAGCCTTGTCGCATGTCTGATTTCCACATGCCGTTGCGCTTCCCAAGCAGGTGATCCTGAACGCTACGGGTCAACTTACGGCCCTTTCGGCGCAGACTTACATGTAGTGACCTCTATCTCGCATCTCTTCGCAGTCGCCACCTTCGGGCTTTGTTTGCCACCATATACCCGACCACCCGACTTCCAGTACAACATTTTCATCCGCTTCCCAAGTGACGACGTGGAGAGATACAAACAGCCCTTTGCCAATGGGAGGCAGGGTGTCAAGCGGGTCGGTGTCGATATGGTGATCCGGATTTTGCTTTTTGTGTGCTTCAAACATGCCGCCAAGAGCTGCCACGGTCAAGGCTTGCTGAGCGAGATGGTAATATGCAGTGTTGGGTTCTTCTTTGGTAGAACCTGTATTGTCTGCGAGAATGTCGGTCGCTTTCACTGCGGTCAACGCAGTGTCGCTTCCCTCGACTGCTTTGTCCGGGTTGTCTGCCAGTCAGCGTCGGTTTCAAAGCGCAGAGACACACCTTCTGCTTTCTTCATTTCGTCCGCTGGAACCAGAGGAAACCCTCCCCCGCCAGTTTGCACCACCCCTTCTCCCGCATCTCCCTTCTCACCCGAAATGAGCCTTTCATCCTCCTCCCATCCTTTCCTAGAGGGATCATTCGATTGCACGTTCAGGGCCTTCTGGACTCCATGCTTGAGACCAGGTCCAGGTGTATTGTTGTCGATGACAGCTCGATCGTAGTCTGTCGTAGCGGTGCTGGTATCTCGCAAGAGGCTCTGTTTCTTGATATTCTGATTCTGTCGACGAAGCTTGGATTCTACACGCTTCATCACGCGCTCATCTTCAAATGTGATTGTTTCCTGGGGATTGGTGATGGTGAGACGGAGATAAGACTCGAGAGCTCACCAGTGACGTGAGGTCTTCTCTCCGGATGAAGTTATTTGGAAGCGGAACCCACTCCCCTCCTTCAGGATACTGTGCAGGTCCCACGTTGGTGTCATCCTCGACCAGATCTCCAGGCTGAGCAGTCTGCTTCTTGGCGAGATGAGCTGACCATATCGGATCCGCCAGACGCATGTCATGGATATACAACTGTAAAAATTCCATCTGCTTCAACGACATGAGGAGTCGTCTCGAACCGTCCTTTTCAGTGCCTACGATGGTCAGGGGGTGAGATCATCAGCTCCCGTTGAACATACCGATGAACATCTCCAGACCGTCTTCTGATGACTCGTTGAACGGATGAAACGGGCTGCAGAGGTTTGCAGGGTATGTGAGCGCTCTGACAGCTGCTGCCTAGACTGTCAACTAACAAGCTGGAAAATTCGCGATTCACCTGCCAGGGATTCAGTACTTCTGGCCACGACCACTGGACAGTCGATAATTTGAAGTACGCATCGGTGATAATTTCAGTTTCATCTTGAGCAGCCGAGCCATCATTCCGATGCTCTCTGCGTCGTGGACCTCGCTCATCCTCCTCACGCAATGTGAAGGTTGACGTTCAGGAAATTCCAGCAGCAGCCCGTTGACACGGACCAAGCGAGTGGAGGTGCCCCGCGATCCTTGTTACGGCATGTCTGGAATATTTATTTTACCATTATTTATCCTGTCCCATTTTATCCCAAAATGTAGATGTCTCGTGCGTAGCGGTCATTGATAGTGATACTTTAGAGCGACGAAAGCGGTAGCGAGGACCGCGAGCGAGGACTTCAGCGTCGATCCGCTTCTAGCTTTCAGGTCCCTGCAAATGTCCTTCTAGCTGAAATCCCTACACTGATTCCTGCGACGATCCCCCTCACACTCACATTTGCCATCGCTCCGCTTCACCGATTACGATGCCGGTGGCAGTCCCCGCATCGTCTGATCCGGATCAATGGATAGCTCATGTGAGTGAGCTTGGAGGTCGCCAGAACCCTTTGAGATACATTTTGGCTGATGCTCGGTCAGATCCGACAATGTAAACACCTTCCAGAACGTCAAATGAAGGCTCTATGTGCCCGAGTCCGAGACCTATTACTGGAGGAATCCAATGTCCACTTGGTCCAGAGTCCAGTGACTGTCTGTGGGGATATCCACGGACAGTTCTGGGATGTTTTGGAGATCTTCCGGCAGGGAGGAGAAGTCCCAGAGACGAACTATATATTCATGGTACGTACGCTGGTATGGTTGTCCACTGCATCAGAGCTTATCCAAGCTTGGTTTTCAGGGAGACTTTGTCGATAGAGGGTATTACAGCTTGGAAACACTTTCACTGTTACTGGCTCTAAAAGCTCGGTGAGCATGAGCATTTGAAGCATTGTTGATGCCATCAAGGTATCCGGACAAGGTCACGTTGTTGAGAGGGAATCACGAGAGTCGACAGATCACTCAGGTGTATGGCTTCTACGGTGAGCTAGCTATGTCAGTCGAAATCTGAGCTCATCCACTGCAGAGGAGTGTATGCAAAAGTACGGCAACCCATCAGTGTGGAAGGCCTGTTGTACAGTGTTCGATCATCTAAATCTGGCTGCAGTGAGTGGACCACTGTACTACCTTAAGAGATCTTTGCTGATACCACTGACCAGATCATTGATGCGGAGATATTATGTGTTCATGGAGGTCTTTCACCCGACATTAGAACACTAGATCAAGTCAGAATCTTACCTAGGGCGCAAGAGGTCCCGAACGAAGGTGCCTTCTGTGGTGGGTTGCTGTACCTTATGACCTCTTCTGACACTTAGACCTCATGTGGTCTGATCCGGACGAAGTGGAATCATGGGCCGTCAGTCCGAGAGGGGCAGGCTGGTTGTTCGGCTCTAAAGTCACCGCGGAGGTCAGTCAATTCAGGTCCGACGGACAGGCACTGAATCGTCGTCTCAGTTCAACCATATCAACTCTCTCAAATTAATCGCTAGAGCCCATCAGCTAGTCCAAGAAGGGTTCAAACACATGTTTGATGATTCCCTTGTGACAGTTTGGTCGGCGCCGAATTATTGCTATCGGTGTGGTAACCAAGCGAGTGTCATGCAAGTGGATACGAATGGTCAGACGAGCTTCAAAGTATATTCAGCAGCGATCGAGAATCAAACGGATCAGAAAAACCCCGCATTGAGACGTTTGGTGAGCCAATAAGCGGGACAGCAAATGACTGATGGGTCCTCCTCTCAGCAAACACCATCTTATTTTGTATGACACCTATATGCATCATCGAATCTAATCGGACAGTCATGTGCATCCAGTCGTCTATTCCTCCTCCAACTTTCTTTTCTTCTTCTTCATCTTCTTCTCTGCAACAGAAGCTTCGACGTGCTCCGGAGGTGGTATGAAAGCCTCCTCTCTCGTAGCTCGCCTTTCCTCCGCTTTGGCAGCCTGTCTTTCCTCTCTCTTTCTCTTTTCGATAACCTCGCGTTCTTTGGGTTTGAGGAAGTACTCTCCACTCGCCATCTGGAGGTCCAATTTGGAAGGCTGTTGGGGTGGAGGGAAAGGAGTGTACGTCTTTTTCTTCGCTGCAGTCGTCGGGACAGGTGGTAGTGGAATAGCATTCGGATTCTCAGCTGCTGCTTGTTGAGCCTGTGCTTTTTTCTCCAATACAGCGTTCTTCTTTGCAGTCTTTTCGGATGTCTTGAGGTGGCGGCGTTGAAACTCTGGAGAAACCATCAACACTCGCTTCTGAGGCCTTCACTCACTAGGCAGGAATCTGTCCCAGTTCTCATTGACCAATTTTGGATCCTTGGCGAGCTCACGCTTGATCATGAGCTCTTTGATTCGGTAGATCGGGTGGATATTGTTCATACAATCAATGACGATCCGTCTGACCTCTTTGAGACCTTTGAATGTGCCCATAGCGGAGACAGTGTTGCCTTGAACGAGAACGTAGCATTCAGTGAGAAGCTCGATTGCCTGTGACAATGTCAGACGGTGATCTCATCGATGAGGCTCGCGCGATGGCCGTTGGAGCTCACCTTTAGCGTACTTCCGTTGGGTCCGACTAGCCTCTGTCGACGCTTGACGAATCTCTCCTTGTTTCGTACCAAACCACCAATCTTGATCACATCGCAAGCAATGTCATCTTGTAGAACTTTCAACGCCTTTTTATCCCGGTCAGCAGCTATCCCGGAGATGATCATCTCATCTCACCTGAGGAGCATTGACACCTCTCGCTAACAACTTTAAAAGGTCTCTTCCTTTAAAGACGATATAGGGGTCCCAAGTCTTTCGAGTAGTCTTGACCGTCATTTTACCCTGTACCAGGTCCAATTCACAAGCCAGACCATGCGATTGGAGAGCTGTGGTGATGCTGCTCCACACGGACCGCAGGTATGGTTCCCTGTATTTTGGAAAGAGGAGTGCGAAAGACGATTCTTCGAGGAATGGCTTGTGAGATAAAGGGTCAGGTTGAGGCATCGGCTCAATGTGCCAGCTAAGTCTCAGAGTCAGTCTACTTTTGTGATGAACTTTCTGACAGCTGCTCACTGGTCGATATCGTCCGTATCCCATGCTTGATGATGGTCAGTCAAGGTCCGACCTGAAAAATTTCACAAAGTCTAGCAAGAGACTCACGCTTATCCTTCCGGTGACGCTTGTTCTTGTTCACGACTTGATCTGCTTCCTCCATTTCAACATTTGTCTTGCTCTTCTTGCCAGAAGAGCCGTTCTGAGTCCCTGAGGACGAAGCTACTGCGTTCATGATGTCTATAATCACACAAATAAGACAAGTAAGACCAAAACCCTCATCTTCCTCAAAGATTTCATGTCGAGAAGCGGAGATCGCCGCTCAGTGGCGAGCGCGAGTGTGGCATGGCCATTGGCGAAAGCGCCATTGGACGGCACGTAAAGGTGGTGCATAAGGGTTCTTCCGTTGAAACCAACTTGATCCTACCCAGTTTGGCTAGCCTGCGATCACCTTTCAAATTGCTCAGAACAGTGGGAAATTTTGTCCGACCAATGTGTGGATCACTTTCTGCGCTTTGAAGACACGGAAGCGATGGGATCCGAGGGGATCCGGGCTTTACGTCATTTTATGTTGGTCGAAAACCAGGCGAAATGCTTTGTCCTACACGGTTCTTCTACTCACAGTGTGTTGCCTCCCTGCTAGACAGTTGCATGAGCCGCAGTGTCAAGGAAGAGACATGCAGATGATTGGCCTTTTAAGAAGGAGTCAGAATAATACACTTCAAGCGTCACTGACCTGCTGTTGATGTTTTAACCCTCACTCACCTTTCGAGATAACAGCCATGTCTTTTCAGCAAGGAAGCCTAGATATCATTCTCGAGCCTGGAGAAAACACTCTGGAGGACATCAACTTCACGGGTGGCTTTCCGACTTCTCGAGACCTCGCACCGTCCATTCTCTTCATCGTACTGGTGAGGGAAATCAAGCCTGAGCATGACTGACATATCCACAGTACGCCTTGACTTTGCCTGTCCTGATCTGGAGGATCGTCTCCCCTCAGTATCGCTCTTTGCTCCTTCTCCGGCCAGCCATGTTCTTCACTTGCCGAATGACATCCCTCATCATCCGAGCTATCATGTCCAAAGTATCGAGCTACAGTCTGGGACTGCTCGTGGCTGAGCTCGTCCTGATTTCAGTAGGGTACTTGTTCCTGATCGAGCCGGTGATCATAGCTTGGAAACGGCTCATCTCGGCTCAGTATCACTCGAGTAGCTCTCGTCATCCACCCACATGGCTCAATGCTGTGAAGAATGGATTATTGGTCGCGTTGATATCGACCATTGTGATCTTTGTGGTATCGGGTATCGTCTCGTCTCAATCTCCCGCCCACCCAAACCTCCTGCAAGTTGTCAGGATCCTCAGAGAGATTTCTTACATCCTGTCTCTAGGTTAATTCATCCTTCCTGCTTTCTCCCCATCCATCCATACTGACCTCACTTTCCAGGCATCTCTAGTCTTTTGCTAGTCTTGGTCATCGTGACGGGCAAAGTCTTCAAGCTGCCCGTGATCAGAACTGCTTTCTTAGTGTCGCTCGCTGCTGGCATGGTCACCACTGGGGCGTACCGGGTGGCTCAAACGTACTCAGTAAACCCAGATTCCCCGGCGAGATCTCTAGCAGCTTTCTGGGTCCTACAGATCTCAGTCGAATAGTGAGTGATGTTCAAGGTCGGGCGGAATCCTGATCAGGAATAGCGTCATTTATACACTCTTCCTGACCATCTCGCTGCCTAAATGGTTTCCAGCAGGCAAGGAGGAGGTGGATACCGCAGGAGTGTGTAATAATGACCTTGAAATCGGGTTGGTCAATCATCGTGCGACTGTCTCACAAGAGGTGAAGCTGAGGAAGAGGCCCTGGTATCTCAAAGGCCCCGTCACCCGATTCCTAGTCAGGGATCGGTATCAAGACTAGCCGTTACCGCGATTGTGAGGACGCGGAGGTGCCAAGATAGATGCATGCCTATGACGTTGAATGACTATGATCATTGTCTCCTTGCCACGTCGAATTGCAGCGCAAACCGCGTCTGCAGGGATACAATCAATGGTGAGATGCAGGTGACAGGTCTAGGAATTGCTCCCAGTCCTCTGATGGATCAGGGCCTGTAGTAAGGCTTCCCGAAGGTCGAGACCACAATAGCTGCTCGTCTTCCACCGTGTCTGACAAACTCGTCCCACAAGAATCTACCTGAATGGCCTCAGACTTGTCCTCGATCCTGCGACTGAGCTCGTCCGTGTCCATCGAGTCGAATCGTTCCAGGACAGCTTCCATCCTGTCGAGGACTTCGTCGACTTCGCCAAGAGCTAAGCACGACTTAGTGCGAAACCAGATTAGTCCACCGAATTACACTCACACCAACCCTATGGGACACATCAGTCGGACAACTTTCAAAGAGCAACAAGAGCGACACTCACGACCTGATGTAGACCCTTCTTACAAGTCTCCAGCGCCGCATGTTTGGCATGATGAGTCCAACCGAAGCCTCCGGGCTTGGAAAAATTGTCAACGTAACGGTTTCCCAACCCCTAGAAGGCACAACTCACCGTATTCGATGGATACCCCTGCTCGTTCGTGGGAATATTGACCAGGAATGAGGCGAGGGCAATGATACCCCGTCCAAACACTGGTGCAGCTGGACTCGATCAGAAAACGGTCGAGATTACAGACACACAATAGAGTACACCGCTAGGAAGCAGTCGCTAGGCATGTAATAAGCAATATGTGCAACGACCGCATTCGCACCTCGTAAATGTCCAGGTCAAGCCGACAGATCTGTAGGACGAGGTCGAGGCTTTCTATTTGTAATGCGCAAAGATCTGCCAATCCGGCAGATGAAATGTGGGACATGAGGTGTACCGTAGCCTTGTATTCGGCTAGCCTCACCTCCACGAGACGATGTAGGATGAAGCCGAGATACACCGATATGAGCCTTTGGTTGTCTGAAGGGCGAGTCAGAGGACCCTTCCCTTCATAGTCAGCATACCTAGCAGCTGGAGTCGATGTCAGTCGGAACATGTTTTGGAGCCTCTACCCACGAAGGCGCCAGCAGCGTAGTAAGCCGCCGAACTGTCAGGGCGACATTGCGATGGATCGCATAATGTGCAGTTCATCGAATGCATGAGCATCTCTCCTCTGATCGCCAACTGACCAGTTGGCTAGTCTGGTCCATCTCTGTCTGAACTCACAAGTCTCTTCCAAATACTTCTTACTAGAGCGCAGAAATGGTCGGCATCAATCTTCCTGCCGCGCTTCATAGGCAGCGCCAGCGAATAAGCAGTTTCTCGGCCCAGTTGGGACAGCCTCATATTGTACTGGCGGTCATGAGCGCTTCTCGATTGAGTCACGCACCGATAGTTTCTGGTACAGACAGTCTGACAATCGCGGTTTGATCTCTTCTACCCACACCCATGCCCTGTCGAATTCCTCGTCCGGACTAGGCGATTGTCAGGCCACGTCCATCGTATCTGTCCGATCACTGACATGCTTGGGATGGTGGGCTCGCCGGCCGCAATTAAGGAGTCTGTGACGAGCATGGAGAAGAAGATCCGACCAAATCTGTTGGAATTCAGCCGAGTCATGTACGAGTAGCCCTTACGTCTGGTCCGCTACGCGATCACTCGCTATTAACGGCTCGTATGGGCGGAGAAGAATGGTTTGCTGAGGAGCCTTGACCTGCCTCAGCACGACGTTGAGAATCATTTCAGCTATTGGGAGTCAGTACCGGCGGAATACGACAGCTCACTTATGAAGCTTTGCTCTAATCCCTGTGATCGCTTATCACTGATGTTTATCAACATGACGAAAAGGATCAAAGCGGCCAAGGCTGTTGGACTCGGTCGAGGAAGAAGATTCAGAACCCGTTGACGAGCTCGTAAGGCGAGCGATTTGCAGACTTGAAGTCGAGTTCGACCCCAATGCGCCCTGTTACGGGAACTGATACTGCACTGGTCAATTGGTCAGCTAAGCAAAGCTGAGAGCATACTGTCCCGTCGCTGCGCAAGACTGGTCGTCAGCTATGCACATGGCTCTGACATACCTTTCGGTACCTGCAGGCTTTCATTGCCCTGTACTCCGAATACCTGAACGCATTCTTTCAGTTCCCTGAGGGAAGTGGGGATACACACCATCGGGTTATCTGAGCACATGGCTCCCCAAGCTTCGAGGACGGAGCATAGCGCTTGACTATCCGGCGACATATGATCTGATAGCTGACCGACAGCCTGCCATTCAGCTTGAAAGGCCCGAGCATCGAAGATCTGCGGAGGGTTAGTGCGCAGAAATGAGCGGATCACTGACTGGAGCAAAGGCGTGGAGATGGGAGAAGTAGGTCAAGATCATATGTTGACTGAATGTGTAGGCTACGACCGACTCGCCTAGTCTGTGTTGTAGAGACAAGGCGAGCTCATTAAGGCTTTGTGAGGAATGATGGCTGGGAGCTGCAGATGGACTCTGACGCAAGGAATCGAAGTCTGCGGAAGAGGTGTCGACGGATGAAGTAGGGTCTTCAATATCAAAGGTTGGGACGAGATGCCTGACGAGTTCCGTCAAGTCCGTTGGCTGTTCTTGAGATTGCGCCTTGATGTTCTCTGTCATCGCTGCGGACGAAGATGACGTAGAATTCGCACTGGAGTCCATTATTATTGTTTCCGGGGACCAGCGAGTTGGCATAGAACCCGAAGCACGGGAGGATGAGGGAATCGACTCTGTCGAGGTCGGGCCCGTAGAATGGACTGTCTTCGTCGTCGTCGTCGTCGCCGTCGTCTCGCCTGGACCTGAAACGGATCCCGTAGCATCGCCAAATCTCTGCCTAGCTTCCAAGATGGATCTCCCTCCAGTCGCAGTATTGGCCGAAGCGATGATGGCCGTCTTGGTGCATCGGAGGTTCTTCCCTCTGCAATTCGAGCATGATAGTCGAGGTATTTGCTCTACCGTGACGTGTAGAGGCGTTTCTAACGAGCTGGAACCGGTCAGTCTTTCCGCCAGCGCCAGGAGATCGCATTTGATCCTTCGTAGCTTGCAACTGTCGCAAACAACATTCTGACCTGGATGAATGTGTGTGTGAGTGAGTGAATGTCAGTCCTAGACAGTAAATACACTCACGTCTTGTGGTCTTGTTCGACCTGACTGTCGTGCTCATTCCGCATCTGACGGTGGATAGATAGACCCTGTTGTATACTCTCCTATCTGGTTGCCGATTTCCCGGTCGGCTCGCGGCTCATTTTGCTGTTCGGGCATATACCGCGGCAGTGGGCATGAGAAGTCATCTCGTGAGCATGAACAAAAATGCATTCCCGAGACTGCTTCTGCGTGGGCGAACGATCAAGCCATATGTGTATGTGCATACAGGTGCTATCGTCTTGTCATGACGTGTCACGATCTACCGACAACAGCGTTCCCCTATGCCCCGTGATTTTTCCAGTCATTTGTAGCCGCCATCCAAGCAAGATTAACAATGCATGAGCTGTGCAATGTGGGATCTCGTGACATGTGAGTCTCCCTTGGACATCCCATCTATCTTTGCAGACATTCTTCGTTTGGCACCTCGAGTTCTTGTTCAGACATTCCGTATGTATTATTGGGACGCTCACCCTGCCCTCCAGCTACCTGATCAGCACGTGGTCTTGGTGGCGCTTTTTCCTGGGCTGTTTACCCCCTGATTTGTGTGCCAATGCACAAGGGGGTCGTGTTTTAGACTTTTTTACGCGCTAGGACCCACCACAATAACAACACAATAAACGCATGGTCAGTGGTAGCAGTAGCCATTCGATGGGACCGGGGACTCTTTATTGTAATGAGGTGGAGGGGGGCGAATGATGTAGAGCCATAGCGCATAGCTAGAGGCAGTGTGGGATCGTATACACAGAGGAATGATATCTGATTCTCTGTCATGATATTATTATACATGCTGCCTCGAAAACACGCTCGTTCTCTCATCTGCTGCACCTCTGACACCCAATCACACCCCCTCTCGCCCCCCTCTTTTCCGTGGTGGCTTTTGAAAATAGACACATAGACTTACATACATCCACCCCCCCCCCGTGCACCATTCAAGAAAAAATACCCACGGGCCGCGACTTGCCTGACATCTTGCAACTCTCCTCCCTCCTCCTCATCATCATCATCATCATCCTCATCATCATCATCGACCACTCTCATTCTCCCACCCCGTCTCTCTCCTTTCACGCTCGCTGGACCTCTAGACCTCTGCTCACACACTGGCAAACCCCACATTCATTCCAAGGATATACCACATTTCATCAACGCGAACCAACCCATTGAACGCAATTTGATCGGTTTTGGCTTGACGCCCACCGCCTCCATCTTCATCATCGAGTCCCATCCAACAGGCTCCATATCATTTGTACGTTGCATTCCTTTCATCAAAGCCGATCGGACGAGACGAGCCATTCGTTTGCAGGTCAAACCAAATCGCCTCGCCCGTCTTTCGATCCCAATCACCAACGCTGGTGTCTCTCCCTTTCGCCGCACAGCACTTGATCCTTTGACTCACTCTCATCATGGCCGAGCTCGACATGGAAGCTAGGGATTTCGACGCGGCAAGATCCCCTCTTGCTGCTTACTTGCGCAAGCGGATCACTCCACAACAGATCGCCTCGATGCAAGCTGCAGAGCAACAACAGGCTGCTCAGAATCAAGCACAACAACAACCACAACAACAGACAAGTACAGGTCGAATGGCTGCTCAAGCCGCTACCAAAGGGACTACCATCGCCTCAAGTCAGCTGTCAACGGTGCCTGTAGGTCAACAACATGGCACGACACCCGGTAGGAACGGTCCAGCGACCACCACCACATCGGCCTACTCTTTCTACAACAAGTTTGGCGGAACCACCCTGTCGACATCGAGTGCAAAACCCGCCAGCTCGTCAGCTGTGAAGGTATGTCTTGCGCGCCTGTACGACGGTTGACTGATCATCTCAGGTTCTTACATCGTCTTCGTCATCGTCTGCTTCCCCGTCTTTCTCGCCCATCCCGACGTCCACCTCGACCCGGGGCGTCCTCACCATCATCGAGACGCCATCAGTCAAGTCGACTGCGACTGTGGCGACGAGCTCATCAGCGCGTCCGAGCGCAGATACCGCCGAAGATGCCACCCAATCGACCAAGTGAGTCGAATCGTCTCCAGCTTGTTGTGCTGATAACTCAGAATGTCCTCCGGTCACGTCGCTGGAGCCGTCATTGGTGTTTTGATCGCTCTCCTCTTAGTCGGAGCTGCTGCCGGATGGCTCTATGTGAGTTCGCTCGCTCGTTGCAGATCTTCCACTGACGCGCTATCAGCGCAAATGGTCTGGACGAAAATACTCTGTCCACAATCGATCCTGGAGCAAAATGCAAGAAGACGATATCAGTCCCTTCCCACCCAACGAAAAGCTCATGGCGAGCCACAACGATGATATCTATGGGGCTTCTGCTGCACCAGTCATTGGCTCTCGACGTGCTTTGGCGTTGGCGCGTCAGAACGCCTTCAATCCTGATGGATCTTATCGCGACTCGGAATACCTGGCTGCAAACGGGAATCGGGCAGGATACGGTGCAGGGCACTCGGCCGATCAGGGTCCTTACAGGTCTCACCCTCTTGAGCAGTTGGACAGTCGAGGTTACAGCGCCGCAGCAAATGGATCACCTCATATGTACTCTGACCAGTTCGACTCTGATTCACCTCATGCTTTGTCGCCTCCCATGGGTGGTCATGGTGCAGCGACTCGACAGTTGCTGGGTCCCGCACCCATAGATCCCCCTTACGGGATGCCTTCCATGGCCATGGGCCGCCCCGCCGCTCCAGAGACTGAAGACGACTTTGCTCATCTCTATCAGTATGGCGATATGCCTTCTACCCACAGTCCATTCGGAGACGACAAGGAAGTTCCTTACACGCCTCATACCGCCACGACCATGGGCGAATGGAGAGGCGATGCCAAGCACCCTCTTGGAGCCCCCTTGCGTCCCACTCGACCAGGTGATGAGCACAGACGACACAGCCCCCCTACTCAGGACCGATCGATCACGCCGCCTAGCCAGGCGGCACGTGCTTTGTCACCTCCGCCTCCGCCTCCCATCGCCAAGGACTATCCCCACACAGCCACCGCTCCGCCCGCCGTTTTACCTGACATTCGACCCATGAGCTCGATTCGAATGAGCACGTTTGACCTTCGCACCGAATCTCGACCGATGACCATGTACGAGGACGAATCAGCTCAACAAAAGAGAATGTACGGTGAAGTCGCCTCGGCCGCAGGCGTCTTGGAACCTCCCACGCCCAAGTTGAACACTTCGACGAGCTCGAGAACGAGCGATGCAGGCAACACGACGCATTCTTCGTTCTCCGCGCACGAGATGCCTGCTCGACTGCCAATGTTGCACCTTGACCCTCCCGCCCCGTATGTCCACGGTCAACCCTTGTCCCCGCTCGCCGAAGTGGATACACCTCGAAGTGGCATATCAAAGACGACTATTCAGACCGATCGAGCTGCATCTCCTCTCGGTCAACACGCAACTCGTGACGAGAACCCATTCGAGAGGACACTGGTAGCTGCCAGACAGAACATTCAACCCTCCCAGTCGGATGTCGGCCTCGCGCCTCCTTTCGGAGATGGACCAGCTTTCCCCTCACCTGCATTCCCACCTCCCAGTCCTGGAGGCATGAGCGTCCCCGGGAGCGTCACGGATTCCCCTAGACGCTGGAGCGGGTCTGGAGCTCGAGCCGAACGAGCAGAGAGCAGAGGCGTCAGCATGTTCTACGGCGAAGATGCGTACGGTGGTATTTAGGCATCTCCTCTTCTTTGATCCTGTCTATATACCATCACCGGCATCGACTCTCGCCAAATTTTTGTTCGTTGTTCTTGAGATTTTATATATATACATTCATTCGGAGGATACTGCGCTGGTCGCAGAAAAGGGACGGACGAGAGTCAAGAAACTCTGGACATTTATATATATATATATATAGGATACCAGATGCACACCTTGTGGTTCATCGTTGCCACGAGCCAGAAAGAGGATTGCTTATGTAATTATGCATTACCCTGAACCGGGGCTCAGACGCGACGCGCCAGAGGAGAAGATTGAATTTCTCTCTTTCTTTCACGATCTCGACTGCCTCGTCTTTGTACATTTGACTGCTTCCACAACAGCGATAGGACTGGCTATTGTGGGCTTCTCGCAGTGGTAGTAGCGCGAGACAGAAGTTCTCATAGCGCAGGTCGCTCAAAGAATCCGTGGATTGCCTGCTCGATCGCAGATCCTCAGCGACTCTCGGCGCCTCTAATCTGTCACCAGCCACACCCACCAACATGGAGGCTTCCAGGTGAGTCGTGTTGCACCACCGTGGTGCTTCTCAGTCGCATACATGCGCACAGACAGCCCTATGAGAAATGTCAACACTCATATACATCACCTATAGCTCATCCCTTCCACCTCCTCAAACCCCTTCCCACCCTTCTCTCCTTCCTGCCCTCTCCCCTTCAGCCACAGAACAGACGCCAGCTCCACTTCACACTCTCCCTATGCACCTACAACAGCAGGGTCAACAACCTCAGAGCTCCTCAAGACCTGGTTCAGCTCATCAACAGCCTTCACAGAACCAAGGTACTCCTACACCGAGCCATGTCCAACTTCACCAACCTCACCAACCGATGCATCCTCATCCCGTGCAAGCTTATACTCAGGGTCAGCACCAGATCCAGCAGCCGCCTATGCACGAGCAGCAGATGCAGAATCAGGGTCAAGGTATGATGCGTCCTCCGTCTAGTGGTGCACATGGACAACACGGATCCAATGGTGGCATCATGCAACCACAGCAGCAGCAGCAGCAACAGCAACAACTTCCACATCAAGGTGTCAACGTCTTCGGTGTGGTTATGGGTCAACCGGGTCATGGAATCGGTCCGGGTGGGATGGCACCAGCTCCAGCGAAAGTATATGCGAGCGTCTATTCGGGTGTAAGTGGGCCGGCCACATATGAGAGAAATACAACGACTGATCTGTCTGTCCCAGATCCCCGTATTTGAAGCAATGATCCGTGGCATTTCTGTGATGAGGAGAACATCTGATTCGTGAGTCATCGGAGTCGTGATCCTAGCATATACTCATCGCTTCTCAGGTGGGTCAATGCGACTCAGATTCTCAAAGTCGCCGGGATACCCAAATCTGCCCGTACCAAGATTCTGGAAAAGGAGATTCTGACTGGCATGCACGAGAAGGTCCAGGGTGGATGTGAGTAGCCTTGAAGTTGAATCATGCTGATCCCATCTCCAGATGGCAAGTACCAAGGCACATGGTAGGTCACCTCTTGACCGCTCTCAGACTCTTTACCTAACGCACAACAGGATCCCCTTCCAACGAGGACAGGAACTCGCAGAGCAATACGGCGTCACTGCCTATCTCGCGCCGATATTCGACTTTAAGCCTTCCCCTTCTAATCTCTCTGCCCTACCTATGGCTACTGGTGAAACACCGGATCGGGCTCAGAAAACTCCGGCGCCACACATGCCTTACCATCCTGGCGCGATGCAAGGCCGAGTGGACTCGCCGTTCCAAGGTGGTCAATACACCAATGGCGAGGTTGTCATGGGGATACCACCTCATCCATCCGCCCTGGCGTACCCTACCAATATTTACTATCAGACTCCCGGAGCAGCGTATCCTGTTGACCGACGTATAGGCGTTGAGATGACACCAACGAGAAGTGCGGGCGGATCTTTGGACCCTCCCGCGGATATCGCCAACATGGGTTTACCTCCCGCGAACTCCAGCGTCTACATTGATCAATACGGACAACCTCATCCGACGTTTCACCTGCAGACCATTCCGGAGATGCCTCCACCAGCAAAGCGACAACGTTCCGACCCCAACGATGTCAAGCCTGACGGACCGGTCGAGGACAATGACGACGAGTCGGTGGACGAGGTCAACGAAGCTGCACTCCCAGCCTCGATGAAGTTGTCCACCAAGCCGTTACGGCCAAAGCCTAACGCTGTCTCTGCCCGAACAAGATCAAAGCTGTTAGCGCTGTTTTCAGCTGATGAGCCTGTCAACATCCGATCCGTTCTTGGTGTCACGGACGAGACTGCCTCTGAAGTGGACATCGACGTGGTCATAGATAATCAGGGCCACACGGCCCTACATTGGGCTTGCGCTCTTGCCCGCCTGAACATCGTGGCTCAGCTCATTGAACTCGGCGCTGATATTCATCGGGGCAACTATGCTGGCGAGACACCATTGATCCGCTCAGTCTTAACAACAAATCACGCCGAATCGGGATCTTTCCATCAACTGTTGACTTACCTCTCTGCGTCCGTCCGGACATTGGACCACGCGCATCGAACGGTTATTCATCATGTAGCTTTGATTGCCGGAGTTAAAGGTCGGGCCTCATCAGCTAGGAGTTATATGGCTCAAGTCCTTGACTGGGTCGCCAAGGAAGCGACCAGTCCAAGTGCGAATGGCAGTGTCGTCGGTTTGAAGAACCTTGTCGACGTGCAAGATGTTCATGGGGACACTGCGTTGAATGTCGCAGCGCGAGTTGGTAACAAGGCGCTGGTGAATCTGCTACTGGATGCTGGAGCCGACAAAGCTAGGGCAAACAAATTGGGATTAAAGCCTCTCGACTTTGGTATCGAGCAGGAGGTGGGTTCGTAGCCCGCGGAAGCGCTGACCAGTAAGGCTTTATGGATCCCTCCAGCGGAGACTATCATTGCCAACCTGAAGTCTGAAGTGCCAAAACCTGAGCGGCAATCAAGGGATGTGCAGAAGAGTGAGCCAGGGGCCGGGTCGGTCCATCCACTAACCTGATCTAGACATCTCTGCCATCTTTGAGACTATCAACGATACCTTTGCTGCCGAGATGACTGCCAAACAGACTGCTCTGAACAATACGGAGCAATCAGTACGACTGGGCACGAAAGCTTTGGCCGACAAGCGATTACAAGTGGTCAATGCTCAAGCCGCCCTGGAAGAGCTTGAACGAATGCGTCAAAAGAGTGATAATCTCCGCAAAGCTTTGACGTTGCCCGTCATGCAAAATAGTCAAGATTGGACAGGTCGGGAAACGCTTTCAACAGAAAGAGAACCACCCATGGCATTTGCACCTCTTCCTCAGGGTGTTCCTCAACCCGTAGCTTCTGGGTCGAGTGATCCGATCCCTTTACCTATGCACGGCGAGGCGGATGCAGTGATGCGATTGAAGCGACTGAATCTCTGGGAAGATCGGATGTGTGAAGTGTTGGAAGATCGTATCAAGTCTTTGGAAGGTGAAACGGCGGATAAGGCGGTCAAGTACAGAAAGCTGGTCAGTCTCTGTACAAAGGTCCCCGTGGAAAAGGTTGATGGGGTGAGTGGTTTGCAAGCGATGCCTGAGCCGTGCGAAGCGAGGCCTCTTTGAAAATGCAACATCGCTGATACCTCTCAAAGTCACTCGACGTCCTTATCACTGCTATTGAGTCCGACGGACAGAGTATCGACTTGAGTCGCATAGCGGGGTTCATGAATAGGCTACAGGGTCAAAGCGGAGGACTGTAGGTGGGAACGCGGGAGGGGAGAGAAGGAGGGGGGAAGGAGACTGTTGGTGTTCCTTGTATCTTCCATCCCAATATATCAAAGGTAGCTTGCTGCTGGGTGCGCGAGTGTGTGGATCGGCGAATGAGGGTAAAAAATCATTTTGTTATTGCATACAAAAAATGGATCTTGTCCTTGTCCATCGACTAGGCCCGCTAGCCCAGCTTGGCTTTTACACGCGTCGTCATTTCTCGCGCTCTCTCCCTCTCTCTCTCTCTCCTCCGTGCCATCCTTATCACTTATCACTCGACACTGGATGTGGCTCGGCCTCGTCCCACTACAGCGAATGCTCCCCTCCGAACAGATGGAAGGATCGACTAAAGGAAGCGCTCGCTATGAATTTCCCATCACCCGAGATATCTGCACTCATGACCTTTCCAGCGTCCGTCGCAAGATTTCTGACGAGACTCCATTCGTCTGCGGACCAAATCCTCACATTGTGATCGAATCCAGCGGTCACAAGGAACAATCCCGATCGAGGTAGTTCCGAAGTTGTGCCAGCATTGGTGGAATAACCATTGGTCAAAGGTTCAGTCTTCATCTCGATATCCCCGTTGACTCCGTTGGCATCGCCGCCGTTGGTAGATACTTTGGCGTGCTCCTGCTCCTCCTCCTCCTCCTCTTTTGGCGCTTCGGGAACCTCTGGTAATGGACCTGAGGGGATGGTGGCATTCAACGGAATAAACGGTAGTTCATCTGTCGATCGGAAGAACTTTACGTCTGAGACGGAGGATTTATGCGCTGGGATGATGTAGCTCGTCTTGAGTGCCCTCAGATCCCATATACGAACAGTGTCGTCTCCTGATCCAGTGGCGACTTGGTATCTGATAAAGCATAATGTGGTCAGGAGAGAGAGAGATATGTAGGCGAGAGCAGGGAGAACAGCAGGGCTCACCCATTTGGAGCAAAGTCCATCGACAGAATCTCCTTTACGTGTCCGTCGAGCACCATTGCTGTCCGGCCTGTCCTTGTATCCCACACCCTGCCAATAGCATCGAAACCACTAAAAAGGTCAGGGCGTTAGCATGTTCACACACAATCTTGAATTTCTTTTCTTTGGCAGTTCCTACTCACCCAGAAGCGACCAATGCACCATCGTCTTGGAACGCTAAAGCATACACTTCCTTACTATGCCCCTCCTGTATCAACAGTTCCTTTTGCGTCGCGACGTCCCATAATCTCCATGTCCCATCGAAAGACGCTGAACCAAGATACGCTCCAGAAGGATGAAAGGCGACTCTTCCCACACGATTGAAATGTCCAGACATGGTCGCGAGGGGTTTCTCCCTGCTCAAACGACATCATCAGAGGACCCCTTGTCTCGGGCACACCGCCTGACACTCACCCTGACAACGACCACAATTTGACTGATCCCTCACCACCGCCCGACGCAAAGTTGATTCCGTCAGGACCGATTCCAAGCGTCGCATCAGGGTGCCAGGCAGCACCTCCTATACGTTCCGAATGACCACGTTTCGTACTGATAGGATTGAGATTCGGCATGTCCCAGATCTTGCAGTCGCCAGTCCAGGATGTAGTGAGGATGTATTGGGAATTAGGGGAGAATCGGATGCAGGAGAGAGGTCTATCGTCACCGAATTGAGATCCGAGATTGCTGAATGTCTTCGAACAGGAGAGTGAGCGAGATCACAAAGGGGGGCAACAACACTCGACTCACTTTCATCTCTGCAAAGAGCTCTTTTCTGACGTTGACGATTTTAGATAAGGGCAGTCCAACTTCTATACGTTGTCGTGCAATCCTCTCTTTTGCCCTTGAAAACGAAGTCAGCTCATCGAGTTGCTAAGTAGAACATCCAGCTCACCGCGATAAAGAATACCTAGCGATGCTCCTCCTAGCTTTGAGCAGATCGTCCGACCCCTCTGTATGAAATTCCTCCTGACTCTCCAGTCAGTCCCTCTACTTGGCATCCCTACGAGAGACCCACCTCATCCTCATCACTGCTGCTCTCATCAGACTCTGAAGCCATTCCCACATCGCCGCCTCTAGCCTGTTCAATCTGTTCCTGTACATATTTTAATCGATCTCGTCTGTCTCCAGGCTGGAAGGCGACCATCAGCTCCCTCCTAAGAGAGTATAGCACTCACGCCCTCTCCAAAGAGACAAATTGGCTCTCCGTATGCTCTCAATCGTTCTTTGACCTTGTTGTCATCCGTCGGTACGGCCATCCGCCTGAAGCGCTTCTTCCTCTCAAGCTGTTGGATGAGCTCGGCATTTTGAGCTCGTTCGCGTTCGTCGTCTGAACCTCCGAGCTGGTAGGTGTTGTCAACGGCTGGTGGCGAGCAATTGTCAACGAAATCGGCGTGGAATGGGATCGAGGCAGCGAGAAGCGATAAGGAGACGGGGAATTTTCAAGCCAATTGAGGTAACATCATCAGAGCACGATCAGGCGTATCGGAGTAGCAGATGTGAGGGAGTCGGGTGTTGCGAGGGACGAATGATTGGGAGGACCAAAAAGTAATCGAGGCAGGGTCGAGAGAGGAAAGAGCAAACCGATCAGCGTGCAGACTGGCATTCGAAGAAAGCGGTGACTTACTCAGCTCATCGATATCCATCTTGAGAGTAGGCGGTGAGGCTCTAGTCGGGAATCCGCCTTAGGCAGGTGTCGAACGAGACGCAAGTGAAATTGGATCAACCAAATATCGATCAACATTTTTCGAAATGCACCAAACGAACGATGCACGAAGAGAGCCGAAATGCTGCATTGAATCAAGCGTCTTCAAACAACCTTTCAGTATGTCCTGATTGGTCCGAATGTGAACCAATAGAGAATTCGCCCCCCCCCCCCCCCCCCCCCCCCCGAGCATGTCTCATAGACGCTCACTGAGGCGTAGGCAACAGCTCTGTGAAGCTACGAATGGCCTTCCACCGGCGGCGGAAGACCGTCAGTCTGAGGTGTCCAATGAACATGCGCCTCCTCTGCCAATCCAAACGTCTACTACATCTTGGTCCACATCGACATCGACATCGACATCGACCATTCAGAACCCTCCTCCCGCACCTACTTCTCCTCTCTCTCCCATCTCCCCTTGGCCACCTATAGATTCTGGTCCAAGCCATCGTCAACGACCTCATTCAAAGTCCATAGGCCCCCAGGCGGTCCGCCCAGATACCTCTCGTGTCCTTGAATCGACGGACGAGCCGGACCACGGTGAAGGTGAAGAAGGCGTACAAGCCGATAGAGAGCCGGCCGTACCGAGCGCGAGAGAAGTCTACGGGTTCGTAGCCGTCATTCTTACGTTCCTGGGATACTGGCTATACATCGCTTGGGCATTCTCACCTCCCAATTGGTTAGATTCAATAGGTTGGACTTGGTATCCTGATCGGTGGGTCAATGTTTGCGTATCTGTGTATCTTGCAATGGCAATTGACCCATTTTTTGACTTCTTGCGTCACCGCAGTCAATGGGCTATCGTCATACCGTGTTGGCTCATGGTCGTTGTACTGTGTACATATCTAGCTTATGGAGGTTTGACAGTTTACATGACCCCATCGTTGGACTCCCCGGCCTTCATAACGGGTAAGGCAGCATGTTTCATCAAACAGAAACAGCTGAAAGTTGACGCTTGGCCGCAGATCCCTATTCCAACATACCAACTCGTGAATCTCCCACAGACCCACCTTCAGATGTCTACTCCCGCTTGGTTCGTGGAGAAACGACAGAAGCGGTGGATATCCCCATCGACATGGTCAATAGAGTGTTGTATTCTCGCAGACCTGACAGGTGAAAATGTATCGTCTAAACTTGCTCGTCCGGAGACAGAGAGACATCGTACGCATGACCTGCATGTAGACACGAGAAAAGGATGAAGATGATCACTAGTGAGGTAGATAGACGCACACGCCAAAAGGTAAGGGAAATAAAAAGACCAAAAAGCAAAAGGAAGATGGGAAAGGGAAGAGCTACGAGAGGGATTGGGGGGAATAAGGCTATATAGAATGTCCTATGGGGGGTCCTGGAACCCCATGCTTCCGACAAGTATATACACAGAGAACGCGCAAGTCCAATCATAACGTCACAGCCTCTTACGCTGCGAAGCCTCGATGCTCCTGTTCATCCCATTCCAGAGAGTGTTGCTGCAAGATAGGTTGAGATATCATCCCTTTGCTGACGCCTGGAGCTCGACGATTGATCCCTTCCATACTACCTGAAGTGGTCAAGAATGATCGTGTGACAATATCTTCGAATGGGTTCTGAGATTGTCGCATGGTAGGTGGGGATCTGCGTCCACCGCCAGTCATGCCAGGTACGGGCGGATGTGGCATGTCTTTTCGTCCGCCAGGTTGAGCAAACCACGAATTGCCAAACACGCTCGGTCCATAGTTTGTAGGTGTGTCTCCACCACCCGTGGTGCCTGTCGCACCGGTATAGGCAGAATATCCCGACACGCCAGTAGCCATACCGTCTGCAAATGGATCACCTTGAACCTGTCTCATGGATCGGTCGTTCTCCAAGGGCGAAGCGTAAAACGAGGATGGTCGACCGTCGATTTCGGAGGGGGACAAGGAGGGCGCTCGGGATACTCGACGACCAGCTCCGTAACCAGCAGCCGCACCAGCAGCGGCTCCAGTATAGCCTCCAGTCGCTCCCATCGCACCGTACTCTGATCGCCTAAAGTCTCCAAACATGGACATGTGCTCTGACAATCGTCGATGGACGCTGGTCTCGTTGGACCTCTTGACGCGTTTGTAAATCCAGAAGACGAGACCAATCCACAACATGCCGCCGATGCCGACGCAGACCCCAATGATGATCTTTCTCGTCTTGCCATTGTCACCGCCATCGGACGAGGTACTGTCCTTGGATCCGCCCGGTCCGTCAACCGTCGCAGCCAATGGGTAGGCAGTATTGATCTGAGCGGCAAGTTGACCAGGAATACCATCTTGATTGAACAGGGCTGAGTTCCGGTTCTTCATATACGCATCCAGAGTATCGAAATCGGCCGAGGGGATGTAAGCGAGGTACTGAGTCAAGAGCGAGGTCTCTCGACCATCCCATGAAGCCGGTTGGTATACCATGAGACCATACGTCTGGACTTCCGAGGTGGTGATGTTCAGCGGGGTGGAAATCAGCACTGGGAATGTGTTGAACAACTGTGATGTGGCATCAGACGAGCCGACCACGAAGAGCCAAGGGTATTCTTGTTCAGACAGCAGTATCGAGATCAAGACATCATCCTTTACTGGATCATCGGAGGTACCAGTTCCAACGTTTTTCTGATTGACGACCGAGTTAGCTGGGACAATCATCGTGGGAATACTGCTTGGGATGGTCGCAGTGGCGGGAAGACTCGACGAGCCAGCCCTTTGTGAAGTCTGAGAAGTTATTGCAGAGCTCGAAGTAGACTGGGCAGTGGCTTGACTGGCAGCCGCTGAAGATGTGGCGACGATAAGCCATGTCTGAGACGGGGTGTACGCATCGTCCGCTGAGAAGGAAGCCGATGTCGGGGCAGTGCTCGAGGCCGAGGAAACAGTGCTGCTCGGTGTGAATTGAACCACACCCGAACCACTGACATTGGGCATGCCAGAAACAGTTTCGAGCTGGTCTCTGCCAGAAGAGGTCGAAGAGGCAAGTGCACCAGAGCTGGTGGTGCTGGCGTCGATGCTAGTGGAACGAGAAGGGACCGAGTCGAATCCGCTCGTCGTAGACAGCGCTTGAGTATCGGAATCGCCAACTAGGGAAGTGGACACGATTCGACTAGACGTAGAGGTCTCGAGTTCAGAGGGGCCAACGCTGGTCAAAGTAGACGTGTTGATGCCTTCTGAATCGACCGATGTGGAGCTAGTGGCGTCCCCGATGGGTCCGACGGAGGTGGATGTATCGATGGCATTGATAGGTCCTGTGGACGTGGTGGACGGTTCAATGAAGACAGAGGTCGGAATCGTTTGGCTGAGGGCGTCTGATGTTTGAAAAGTGGAGGACGGCTCTCCGAAGATGGCGCTGATCAAGTTGAATGTACTACTGGTTGAGCTCGTGGGGATGTCTGAGGGACTCGGCTGAGCAGCACCTTCTGATGTTGGCTGAGCAGCCTCAGAGGATATCACTGCGGATGTTAGCTGTTGGCATCTATTCCGCATGCCGCCAGCTCACCGCTGAATCCGCCGACTGAAGTGGGTGGCTCGGACGAGGTAGGTACGCTCGGCGCAGCTGAGGAAATGACATAAGCACTTGACACTTCTTGATTCAACGTGGATAACGAAGTGGAAGTTTGAAATGTGTTGAAACCGCTGAACGGTTGGGACACTTCAAGATGGGATGAAGGAGAAATGCTGACAAGACTTGTAGAGGATGGAACAACAGGAGAGGGGAGGACCAGCGAGCTGATGACAGCCTCGACCGACGAGTTCCTGAGCTCACTCGATGGGCCCGCCGACGAGGCAGCCACCGAGATGGTGTAAAGCGCCTGAGAAGCGCTGGAGGGCTCTTGCGATGTGCTAAAGCTTGCCAGGCTTGAGGGCATAATATTTGAAGGCACTGCCGCCGAGGCAGACGAGACAACACTCGAAGGCACTGTCGCGGAGGTTGAGGGGAGCACGCTCAAAGACACTGCCGCCGAGGCGGAGAAGATTACACTTGAAGCCGCCACGGACTCTTCACTGAAGGTGACAAAGCTTGAGGACGTCACGCGCGACGCCAAGCTTGACATCGCGCTGGACAATGCGCTGGACGCCCCGGCCGACGGCTGTCCCCAAGGAAATGGGGAGACGACCACCGAACTGATCACGCTTGAGACTTGCTCAGAAAGTAAACCAGACGTTGAAATGCCAAGCGGTAAAGATTGATCGCCGACGCTATTGGAAGTGGTGAAGATGGAAGCAGAAGTAGAGGCAGAAGCCAGCGGTGATTCCGCGGAGCTGAGCGCAGCTGAACTGCTCTGGGCCCAAAAGCCCGGATCATTTGAAGCTTCGAGGCTTGCTATGACGCTCGCTGACGTGCTCGTCTGCATCCACATTGAAGAGGAAGGAGCCATGGAGGGGACATCAGAGGTCGACTCTGGCCCGGTGGCTGAGGACTCCTTCCGTGATGGGATAGGAAATGGACCGGGATCAAGAGAAGATGCAGGGGGAACGTGATTGGAAGTGGAAGTGGAGACGATGGCAGGAGGGATGGATTCAATAGAGGGGGAAGGGACAGGGGGGTCGGAACTTTGGACCTGCAGGGCAGCACTGGACGTTTGCTCTTGACCTTGTCCTTGTCCTTGATCATGGGACGATGTGACATCTTGACCTTGGCCTTGTCCCTGTGAGGAAGGCACACCTTCGCCTGGCTGTTGCCTCCTGTGAATTTCCGGGGGCAGGATAGAGGAAGGAGTAGGCAGCGGATCTGATATCCAATAGGATATCCGATCTCGCGGTGCAGGTGTAGGGAGAGAAGCGGCATTGGCAAACAGCACAGGCAGACGCCAACTTCGTCGATGATGCGACCCGAGGGAAGCAAAGGTCAACTGGTGCTTCTGATCTTCGTGCTGGTGCACCCGACTTGACGCGTTTGAAGAAAGAGGCAAAGAAAGAGAGACACATAATGGGAATTGACTTGAAAGTTTTGCTTGCTTCAAGCTTGAATCCTTGCACTCACTTGTAGTCACGGGGAACGATCCAAAGGTCGAACTTCTCATGACGAGTTGACTGCCGGGCGTTGACGCACCGCTGGGCACAGCGCCTGCCGCATCGGCAGTTGATGTGAATGTCGGGAGTGAGGATGTACTGGAAAGATTTCCGAGAAGGCTAACAGCGGTCGATGTGGGTGTGTCGAGGATGGGCGTATTGGATTCGGGGGGTGCGGACGAACTGGAAGACGTTTCGCCACCGAGTATGTCTCCTAGAAGACCACCACCTGTAGATGTGGGCGTGGCACTCGACATCATGGCAGATGGCGAGGACGAAGCCGTGGTCGAAGACTCGGCCCCTCCGGGGAAACCGCCGAGGAACCCTGCATCACTCGTGCTTGACGCGATGGCCGAGCTCGAGACGATTGAAAAGGATGAAGAGCTCGATGGTGAGGCAGCGCCAAAGGCAGGTACAGAAGAGACGGGGCCAAAAGTGGGGACCGAAGCTGAAGCCAAGGAAGAAGTCGCCGACGTCGATGTGGGCGTGCCAAGCAGGCTGCCAAGAAGCCCTCCATCAACAGTTGTTGAAGTTGACGATGATGAGAGACTAGGGGCAAAGTCCGGTTCGGGGGCATCTGTGCTGGACACACTCGCGGAGAATGCTGACGAAGACCCGGTGGAAACGAGACCTGGCGTGGAACCCGGAGGTCTGGTGATGCCTTGAACGCTCGACGATGATGAGCCGGCTTGCGCATTGATCGCTGATGAGCTGGTTGAGGGCGACGATGCGATATCGACTGAGGCCGAGATCACTATCGTGGTGCTCGTGGAAGACGAAGGGTCGGAAGAAGATGAGATGGAGGTGAACGTTGAAGATGCCATTGACGTTGACGACATGCCTCCACCGAGCAATTGAGCGAGAAATCCTTGGTCATTGTCTGATGATGGTTCAGGCGATACTGTCAATGTCTCGAGAGGGTCTTGAGGACCTGTGATACAGGGGGTCAGTAGATCTTAGGTGCTCTGATCGACCCGACTCACTTCCAATGATGATATCCAATTGACGTTTCCGCTCTGCTCTCTGCGCTCTTGGGTGTCTCCTTTCTGCTGGTGTCGAATAGCCAGCATGGTTGACAGCAGCTACAGCTTGAGCAAGGACGAGGGCCGCGACAAGACATCCACCTAACGAGGGCATCATCGTCGTGGTCGTCGACGAAGGGACCATGGACAATCTCCGTTGGCGACGTCTCATTGCAGATGAAGGTTCCGAACCGGAAAGGCGGTGGGTGATGGAGGAGTAAGGGGCGGAATATTATGATCGTGACATGAAGTGTGTTGATGTAGGTCTGGAGATTAAAAGAGGAAGCTCAGCCAGTGATCATGATGACTAGGATCACATACGCACGAGATGACGAGCCTATACCTCTGAGTCCTCTCTTTCTCTTTCTCCGCTGTGAGTCGACCGGTGCGGTGCAGAGGCAGACTGCACTTCACTATCTCACAGGCTTGTCTCCTTCAAACTCGTCTCAGACGCGTTTGAGGTTGTCTGTTCAGGAGAGGGGATATGAGCCTGAAAAGAGAGTGGAAATGGAATGGTCAGCCCTAGATGAAAGGACGTGGTATGGGTCACGCAGAGGGGAGGAGGGGCGAGGTCAAAGGTGCAGCAGTGGGTGGGTGGTCGTGGTCGTGGTAGTGATAATGGTATGATGTCAATGAGTGTGGGTCTGGAGTTGTAATCTCCGATGTGTGTGAGAGATGGGTGCTAGTGGGGATAAGATGAAAGAGAGAGAAGAGATGGATGGAAACGTGTAGTGTTGCGAAGAGACGACGGGGACGAAAGAGAGAGAGATGGGTAACAACAGAATGGTTCCGCTCAGAAGCGTCAAAGGGAGGTAAGACTAGTAGGGTAAAGGTGGGTGGAGTCTAGAAACTCGAAGTGGTGTGGGCTCAGGCACCACAGCGAGTGAACGTAGTGGTGGTGGTGGTGGTGGCCATATAGGATATGAGACGACTCACCCTCCTCCCTCCTCCACCTATTGACTGATACACTGTGATTCTATTATGACCACTACCTGATTGATCCTCTCCTGTCCAGCAGGAATTCAGAAAGGCAGGGGTGAGGGGCTCGAGATCAGGTGACACGGACCACCGTCGGGACAGCCCTTTTGAACTCCTTTTTCTTTCGGCTTGAACGCGTCCCAGCTCTCGCTCTGCAAGAAGAAAGGTATATACCTGTCCCACCTTTGTACTCTTTCTGAGAGGCAATGGCTTTATCTCGTACTTTCGTGAAATGTGTCGTGAATACAAAGCAAGCAAAGAGAGACCAGCTCTTGCAACGATTACAATGGAATGAATGATATGACCAGTTCCGATGGACGTGGAGGTCCAACCAGTACTTGAGGCGCGGAATTACACCCAAAAAAAAAGAGAAATGTCACCCAAAATGACAGTTCTGCCATACCGCGTTCAATCCTGCAAATGCATCTACAAGAACCTATGGACTTTGACGGAGGGAGGGACGGGGGACAGTCGCTCGCTGCTGTCAAGTCAAGACACTGCAAAGTCACTGCGAATGCCACTGCCACCACGACCACGACGACCACGCAACCCAACAGGGCCTAGAACAGTTCTTCAGGTTCCCAAAAGCCCAAAATGTGAAACGCCCCCTTGACCCCCCCTTTTTTTGATTTTTTGCAGCAAAAAGCAGGCACGCGCGTCAGTCCTCAAATTTGGTTCCGCGTTTCACCTTTGCGTACAACGGAGTGACATGCTGCTGCTGCTCTATATAGGGGGGATCCCGGACAGATGGAATTTACAACTTGAGATGGGAAATGAAGTAGAAAGGGATCACAACGAAGCCTCCTGATGACAATCCTTCTGCTCTATTCACAGACTGGAGGGTTTGCTTCCCCAATTGGCCTTCCACGATCACACCTTGACCCTTTTGCCCTTTGTCCCTGGAACACTATCCACAACGTTGGTCCCCATACCCATCAAGGTTCCACCACCAGGCGTACTGCTTTTGCTCCCCTCTCTCCGGATTCTGTTTTCGTTCTCGACCCCTGTACTGGGTGGTAATGTCGTAGCCGTGGCTGTCCTCGGTGTCATCCCTCCCCCTCCCCCTCCCCCTCCGCCTCCTCCTGTCACCCTTGTCCCAGTTGCATTCATGGCCGCTCTCGCTGGCGTCTGTTTCGGTCTGAATCCCCCTACGCTCATCTTTGCTAGAGCAGCTTGGGGACTCAGTGCAGAGATAAGGGATGGGGCACTCGACGCCAATCGTGGCGTCGCAGGCTGCACCCGAGGTCTAGGCGTCTCCATCCCTCGGATAGGGATCGTCGAGGCTTCTCGTTCAGCCCTTGGATCCCTAATAGTCAATTTTGATCTCCTCGTCGGTCGTGCGTTGGATCGATTGTGAACCCTGTGACTGCGACTCGAGCGAGTTTGAGTACCGACTTGCGGTGTGAGCGCAGGCGTCGAGCCGAATGAGGAGGAGATGGGAAGAGGGAACGATGTGCCGTCTTCGATGGGTGGAGCTTGAACTTGAGATGGGCGTCGACGACACCAACAAGTGAGGAATAGAATACGTTTCGTACGTCTGATGCAGAGCGACATCAGCATCTGCCATTGACTTTGCGGGATCACTCACTTGGCGTAGAAAAAGTAGTTTTGACTCCAAAGCAGCCCGCCTCGACGCTTTTTCCGTCTCAACTCGCGATCCGCATCTGCCAATCCCTCCTGTACAGTCTGTGGCACGATCGGAGATTCAGGAACGTCATCCAGATCCATACCGCCAGCTCCCCAACTCGCTGGGGTCTCCGCCTCCATGTCGATGTCCAGAGTCGAGGGGATACCATCAAGCAGTGGAGATCCATCCGAAGACTCTGAATCACTGTCCATGCCGTCTTCTGTAATCTCCCCGTCTTCGGCGTCGAGGTGCGGGTCATACTCTGGTTCAGGGAACCAAGAGTATACTTCGCATTCCTCTAAAGGAACGACATCATTGAGGACCCTATAGATGTGTGGATTTGGCAGGTTCGTCGAAGGTCCTGATGAAAGATTGGAAGGTGAACCCGACTGGTTAGGCAATGATGAAGGTCCAGCAGCCGGTGCAGAGGTTCCAGTTTGAGGTGGTGAGACGCCAAGACTGCTGAATATCATTCTTGAGACTCGTCAGGGAGGCAGGCTCATCGTCCGCGGTGAAGACTCACGGAGCGGCACCTGCGCCTGGACCTAGTAGACTTGTAGTGACCGTCGATAAGACTTCCGCGGCGGATCTCTCCCGCGTGAATTGACTGGGTTGAAGCGAGTGAAAGTCATTGTCCGGGAACGCAGAATTGAGCGTGGAGACGAGTAGAAAGTGGACTTTTCTACAAGATTCGTCAGATGGATATTGACTAAGACGGACGACGACGATCCGACCTACCTGGATTCCTTTTCGTCTAATCGTCCAAAACACGAGGACAATCCGGCTTCACGCATCTCGGGTGAGAAGCTCATCCTGGTGTGTCGACATCAATACGTTGTTCTGACGCGATGCGAGAACGTTTCCCGGCGGCTCCAGACACGGGCACAAACTCACTCTTCCATTTCTTCCTGTCCTGACATGTACGCCTCCTCCATTTCCTTGTACATCCTCCTCTCCTGTCGCATGGGCTTGACGGAATACGCTTCAAAACGGACATAGATCCTAGTTTCAGGTGTCCTAATGTTGGACAGAGAATTGGAAAGGTGCAGTAAGAGGGGGTTGTCAAGGTACTTCATGGTGTTGTGAGGCCTCGGAGAGGGATTTGATGGCAGTGGAGTGACGGTGGAAAGCGTGAGAGCGAGAATGGGGGGAGTCCCAGCCAAATTAGGACAAAGGGGTGGACAGCTTATCGACCAGCGCACGGACCACTGAAGCTACTCTGAAACTCTCCAGACCAGACTCGCGAAGTCGATGATTTCTTTGAATGCTTGCTTCTCTCGACGTAATCTGCTGTTCCGCTGAACAAACGTTTCTATCTCTGGAATGCCAGAAAAGCAAATGTTGCCGCTGCTGCACGTTGATCTTCCAGATCCGCCGAACCGGGGCGAGGAGGAGGAGGGGTGAGGACCGTGGACACGTCAAACTCTTCAAGCTTGACAGGCTGTAGTCCCACTGGGACACCTGATGACCATTCTGAGATGAGGGGAGATTGGAGACCCGATGTTAATAAGTTTATTATTATTACATGGTCCGTTGCGTCAACAAAAGAGAGAGAGAGAGCGAGGAATGCCGCAACGGGAAAGTAATTCAAACTGTGGCCCCCGGTCACGGCCAAGGCCGGGATATCTCATTAATTCGCCACCCAACACCTCTCCGCCCGGGATTAGAAAACATTTCCTAATCTCAGTGGCTAATCAGGATTATTATCATTTTGCCCTGGGCACGAACACGTCCAACAACAACCAACACACTGCATCTCGACTCGCTCGCCCGATATGTCTGGGTCACGCCTACGTACGCGGTATGAGGCTCAAATGAGCGATGTCGTTTCTGCCGCCGGAGAGATGGAGTTGATGGGTGAAACGAGCATCAACGAGCTTAGGTCACCTGTCAATCGCACGTTTGCCATTGACGAAGAGGAAGAAGATGAGGATGTGATGGGTTTTGAAGCTCGAGAACGGGGGAGATTGTTCGGTGAAGGGGACGAAGAGGTCCTAGCGGATGGATACATGTCGAATGAGGATGAAGAAGAAGAGGATGATGGAGATGAAGAGATGCTCATGGGGGATGGGGAAGGTGAAGAAGACGATGAAGATGAAGAGGAGGAGGAGGAAGAGGAAGAGGAGGAGGAGGAAGGAGAAGATTCCGAAGAGCTTGGATTTGGGAGCGAGACCAGTTCGATGGTGTACGATCGAAATGTGGATCCGGTAGGATGGGCAAAGAGACTTGACGAGCTGGCGGGAGTCATGGAGATGGGAGAAGAGGAAGTGAGGGCATTGAAATGGGGTCCCGTGATGGGCAATGGTGCGCCAGGTGAGTCGCCATGCTTTTTTTGTTTATGGCCTTGCACCAGATTCCTCACACGTTCTGGTCACGTTCCAACGCTGATAACTCGTGCCCAAAGTCCCTCTACTACCGCTCGAGGACTTCAAAACAGTCTTGAACCATCATTTGACGACCACTGAATGGAAATACACATCCTCTCCTGATCTTTTCCCTCCTATACCTTCTCGTCAACCTCTCGACACCATGACACATCTGGGTCTCCCCTTAGATCTCGACTCCGCCGTCCATCCCATACGCGTGTTGGGCAGAGACTGGGTAGGCAGGCGAGCAGAGAGACCGATATTCGATAATGTACATGAGGGGGATGATGATTCGGAATTTGGACACGACACATTTGGACTGACTGGCTTGGGACTCAGTGTAGATGGAGCGAGGTGAAGCGAGGCGAGTGGACTCGGACACGATTTGTACAAGGTGAGCAATCCGATGCCAATCATGCGTACTGATGTAAACGTCTCAGATTCTCCGTTGTAGCCCTTACCAATATTCATTAACGAGACATTGAGACGCATGACTTTGGATAATGTATCTGTTAGCTCATACCACGATATTCCACCTGTCCATCAACCAGAACTTCTCAAGACTCCTTTTCCCTGGGCCGGGGCCGGGGCCACACGATAATTTGCTCCCCTTCTTCAGTCCTTTTCATCGCTACCACCACATCATCATGGTCCCACCCCGCTCAGAGACAGTTTCCACCAGCCATGTCGGACTTGCATATTTTTTGGGCATTGTCTCAGACGTTGAACGCGATCGTCAAAAATGGGGATCCTACAAACCATCTTGAATTCAAAGCACCGACAATCCGTCCACCTTCTCTGTAACCTGACTGACTGAGCCTGCAGAGTTCGTCGCTATGCGCCTCTACCTTTCTCCCTTCTTGATTCTGGCAATACCGCTGGTCAACTCACTTCCTGCAGATCTCCCAAGTGCCACTCTAGATGCGCGCGATTCTCGACCCCTCTACTTTGGTCCGCCGCAGAACCCCTCTCCTGGCCCAGCCTCTCCAGCTCCACCAAGTAGTACGCCTGAGCCAGAGGAGAAAGCGTCCCCGAGTCCTAGTCCCACAACGACAAATCGGACGACCAAGACGTCGATCCCTCCTCCCAAATCGTCAAGTACAGGCCCTTCGACGACGGACAAGTCGAGCACTGCGTCGACCGCTACGACTGCCACACAATCCCAAGCATCGGAGACCTTGACAACAACGTCGTCTCAAAGTACCACCGAATCTACCTCGTCAACAACCTCTACGGCTTCATCCACGAGCACATCCGAATCCGCTTCGCAGTCTACTTCACTGTACCAGAAACTGAAACCTCTTATCTACCTCTCGCCCGTCTTTGCCCTCATCCTCATCAGTTTTTGTGGTTGGCTGTACTCTCGATGGTACGCGCACAGGTCCACAAGAGAGGAACAAAAGTATAGCATCCCCGCTGCTCATAAACCGCCGCCTCCGCCTTCTCCGTCCCTGGGTCCAGGTGTGAGAGGTTCAGATCCTAAATCTCGACCATCCTCAACGAGCATCTTTAGCGCCTCGCGCACCAATTGGCGATCCTTTTCTCGAGGTCCAGGCGGGGGTGACAGAGGTGGCCGAGGTGGAGGAAGGACCGATTCCGCCGCCGATCAATGGCGTTCTGGAGGATGGGGGACCAAAGACGGATGGAAGAGTCTGCACGATGTCGACGATCTGATGGAGGGGGACATGGAAGAAGCTTACAATGTCAATGGCGAAAAGTTGGACCCAGCAGATCCATGGTACGCAGGTGAACTGGAGAGCGTTGTTCAATGGCAAGATATCGAATTGGCAAAAGGGTTTTCAGAACATCAAGATCTCAGAGGCTCTTTTGTTCCGGAAGATCGACACGGTCACGTAGGCGCCAAACAAGTCGTCTTTGCCTCTTCGGAAGATAGTACCGCCAACGATAACGACCATGACGAAGTAGTAGATGAACAAGAGAGACTTGCAGGGAGACCCTCGACATCAGGCTACATGGCTAGATGGAGATCCACATTGGACGTTTGGAAATCGGCTCGAGGAAAACCTATCCAATCGACACATCGACTCGGATCCACCGTAAAGCTCATCAGTGGTCCTACTTACACTTCTTTATCTCACCATGATCCATTTGCAGTTGTGGGAGATTCCGCTCCGACACCTGAACTCTTCTCAGAAGCTCCGATGCCTCCCGGTTGGATCGTCCCTCGATCCACAGTGACTTCACCTCAGCTTTTATCTCCGCCTATGCAACCTCATCTATTCTTCCACCCGCCCTCCGATCAGCCCTCTTCAGCGGCTCAAATTCAACAGTCAGCCCAGACGGACGTATTCGAATGCAGCTGTACGAGTGACTCCCATACGTCTTTGTGCCTCGAATCCAGCTCGTCTTCAGATTCGAGCTCTTTGTTGGGCAACGCAGCCGCTATAGCACCCATCACAGATCAACAAGCCCACGATCGATGGCCCACGATACCGAGTTGTGCGGATGCTCTGGCTCAAGCAACGGCGTACGATGTACCGTTAGTCATGGGACAGTACCCTTCCGTCCCGAGTACCCCGAATAAGAAGGCCACACTCGGTACGCCTGGTCGGATGTCCACTATGAAACGATCAACAGGCCGACTAGATTTGTCAGGTCAAGAGTCGCCTACTCCCAGACGAGCGACAAAGAGCGCTATGAAGGCTGCCTTGGGATCGTTGACCGAAGTCAGCGCGGAGGAATCTAAAGGCACGCCGACAAAGCACGTTGGCCTGACGAGAACACCGACGAAATCTCGGGTCCAGCGTCGTCAGGATCAAGCTCAACAGACTGTCAATAACATTCTGCAAGCCAGTTGGTCGGATCGAATGTTGGCTGCTTCTCCACCTCCTCAATCCATCGACGGAATGATGCATGCCTTCTCAGGATCTGCAAGTCCAACCGATGCCCGTGTCAGCAGTATCAATCCTTTCAGCGCGATACAAGAGATCATTTAGGATAGGTATGAATCAGCTTAAAGTAGATACCTTGTCATCTGGGTGCATCCGTGTTGCTTGCTTGGCTGAAGAGGGGGCTGCTGCATCCATGCTACACTGAAGGAATTAAAGATCGTATCGAGCGGCTTTCACACCAAGCGCTTGAACCCTGACCAAGCTCCAGCGGCACTAGCCATGAGGCCGGCGGACATGGCAGCGGGTCGCATACCGGCTAGGTATGGAGGATCAGGCATATTACAAGGGGGAAAGAGGAGCATCATCACTCACAAGTCGATTTGAAGACTGCTCCGCTGAGTGCAGCTGCACCCATACTATTGAACACATCATGCTTGCCTCGGATACTGTCAAGGGACGAATTGGCAATGTTATAGAACATGGCTACTCAGGGTCAGTTCCTGGACGTACGCGGAGATCTTGAAGCCAAGCGCCCGGATTCGGTGGCTAACACAGATGGCACTCACCAAGCACTCCAAGCGAATTGCCCAACAAAGTCCCTCTTCGCGTAGCGGCATTGAGCACACTGTTGAGACGAAGTTTAAAAGCGGGATTGGGACCGAGTTGTCTGCCCAGACCTTCCTTCAATCCCCAGACACCACCGACTGCCAATCCACTGACATAGGTCGTTCCTGTACCTACACAGAGATCATCTGTCCAACCTCGAGAGGGCAAGACGTTCATGGCTCCTTCGACATTTTGTAATTTGTCTTCTTCAAGTTGAAGGAAATCCAAGTTTTTGCCCAATCCAGCGAGAGGATGCAAGGATGCAGGGTCGGCGTAGGCTCCAGAGAGCGTATCAGAGGCGCTGGGTAACGCTGAAGGGTACGAACTCGAGGGTGATGATGGTGTAAGGGTGGATGAAGGTGCTGAGGTCGAGCTCGAGGTCGAGGTCGACGCAGGGTAGGTCGAGGATGATCCTGCGGACGATGACAGATTACCGGAAGAGTCGAAAGATGGGTAAGAAGAGGAGGATGCAGATGTGTTAAAGGTCGCAGAGTTGAAGATATCAGCAGACGTCTGATGATCTCGATTGCCAGTCAATGGGGTCTTGTCACCGCCACCAAAGATACCGCTGAGGAACGACATGGCGACGATTAGAATCAGACTAGTTTCCACACGATCCTAGTTGTTATGGTTGTATCTCGGGCGCCCAGTGCTTCCGATACGTTGGTGATGCGTCGCTCGCTGGACAACTCTGAGAGATGGAATTCGATTCAAAAGACGTTACGCATCATCATCCAAATCAACTTTTTAATTTTTTCCAGCAAAAAACCTCTTTTTGACGAACGGTTTTCTCCGGCCCACCAGAGTCACATCACGTGACCTTTGGAGATTTTAGCTAGTTTACGATCGCATCCATCCATACCTTGAAGCCCTGTATCGAGGCATACACCAGTGATACAGCCATAATATGGACTCGTCATCTCAGGCAGGTCCATCGACCTCTTCAACATCATCCAAAAAGGCCAAGAAGAGAGCTGCTCGTGAATCAGCAGCTTCATCTCCACGTAAAGCAGCCAGGAGAGATTCACCAGAGGGATCAGAAGAAGACCTTGCCGATGAGGATGACTTGAACCACGCTGGACCATCTGGATCCCACCCGTTAGCCGTTGTGGATCCCATGGAAGCATTGGAGAATGGTGACGATGATGATCCAATGGAGGCGATGGAGAAGAATCTGCACGCGGTCAATGGTAATGGGACAACTCATGAAGATGCCAACAACGACGAGCCTGTACTTCCAACCCGAGCAGACGAGTTTGAGCAACAGGCCGAGAGAGAAGTAGAAGCTTCCAAGGGATTGGATGGAGCAGCTTCAAACACAGACGAGGGCAAGATGAAATTGGTGCATCAGGTCCGACATCAAGTGGCTCTTCCTCCGAATTACCCTTACATTCCTATTGCTCAACATGTGAGGAAATCACCGCCTGCGAGGACGTACAAATTCGAGTTGGATCCATTCCAGCAGGTCTCTACGTCGTGTATCGAGAGAAACGAGAGTGTCCTGGTATCTGCTCATACGTCTGCTGGAAAGACGGTCATTGCAGAATATGCGATCGCCACATGTCTGAAAGAAGGGAGGAGAGTGGTCTATACGTCGCCAATCAAGGTGAATCAGAGCTCGTGGTAAAGACACGTCTGAGCTCATGTTATTTCCATAGGCTTTGTCAAATCAAAAGTACCGAGAGTTCTTAGAGGTCTTTTCCGATGTCGGACTGATGACCGGTGATGTGACTATCAATCCCACGGCCTCTTGTCTGGTCATGACGACAGAGGTGAGCGAAGGGCAAAGATAGCTCTTGGCTGACTTTTGGCAGATTCTCCGGTCTATGCTTTACAGAGGATCAGAAGTCATGCGAGAGGTCGCTTGGGTTATTTTTGACGAGGTACACTACATGCGAGACAAAGGTAAGCAAAGAGGACCGTCATACGGTAGGTAGAGTCTCCGCTGAACGGGGGTCAGAACGTGGAGTCGTCTGGGAAGAGACCATCATCCTTCTTCCCCACACTGTCCGCTACGTATTCCTCTCTGCGACCATTCCCAATTCTATGGAGTTTGCCGAATGGATATGCTCGACCCACGATCAACCGTGCCATGTCGTCTATACCGATTTTCGACCGACACCCTTACAGCATTACTTGTTCCCTGCTGGCTCTGAGGGCATCTATCTTGTTGTAGATGAACGCAGCAACTTTCGAGAGGATAATTTCCAAAAGGCCATGGCGGCGTTGGCTCAAGGTCAAGGGGAAGATCCCGCGGATCCAAGTGGTGGCAAAGGCAAAAAGGGCAAGACAAAGAAAGGCGGCGCGATGAAGGGCGGTGAGTCGGCCATCCATCTTTTCGAGGAACGAGTCACAGCTGATTCATGTGATGATCGACGCAGAGAAATCCGATATCTACAAGATTGTCCGGTTGATCATGACGAGGAACCTCAACCCCGTTATCATCTTCGCATTCTCCAAACGTGAATGCGAACACCTCGCCATGCAAATGTCAAAGTTGGATTTCAATACCGAGGATGAGGCCTCGACTGTGGCTCAAGTATTCGAGAATGCCATTGGCGCTCTATCAGAAGACGATCGAAAACTGCCTCAGATCGAATTGATCCTGCCCCTGTTGAAGCGAGGAATCGGTATCCACCATGGAGGGCTGCTCCCGATCCTCAAGGAAGTCATTGAGATTCTGTTCCAAGAAGGACTGATCAAGGCTTTGTTCGCCACCGAAACATTTTCCATCGGACTCAATATGCCAGCCAAGACGGTCGTTTTTACCTCTGTGAGGAAGTTTGACGGCAAAGATTTCCGAAATCTTTCAGGAGGAGTGAGTCGAGTCAGGTATCGGGAAGAGCTGCACTGATCTCACTCAGGAATACATTCAAATGTCAGGACGAGCGGGTCGACGAGGGCTCGACACTCGGGGGATCGTCATCATGATGTGTGATGAAAAGCTTGAACCGGATGCTGCAAAGGGCATGGTCAAAGGTCAAGCGGATCGCTTGGACTCCGCGTTCCATTTGGGTTACAACATGATCATCAATCTGATGAGGGTGGAAGGTGTCAGTCCGGAATACATGCTGGAAAGGTGTTTCTACCAATTTCAAAACTCGATGAGTGTGCCAGTGCTGGAGAAGGGTGAGTGACACGCATAGTTCTGGGCTCATCCAGTGACAGAGCTCAAGGCTGCGGAGAAGGAGCGAGATGCTATAGTGGTGGAAGACGAAGAGAACATCAAGGAGTATTACGAGATAAGACAATTGCTCAAGGAAAAGGGCCAAGATTTCCAAGCTGTCATTACACACCCGACCTATGCTCTACCATTCCTGAACGCTGGACGGCTAGTTGAGATCAAGGACGGAGATCGGGACTTTGGATGGGGTGTCGTCGTCGCATATAACAAGGTTGTCAATCAAAAGGTAGGGTTCAACGGCCAGACCTGATATCTGATTGGTTCGCAGGGACGACCGCCAGTCTTCAATGACAAAGACCCGCCTCAAAAAGGATACATTGTGGATGTGCTCTTACGCATCGCTTCAGACTCTGCACCGTCCAAGGACAGGTCAGGTATCGCCACTGGCTTCCAGCCTCCCTCTGGATCAGACGCCGGCCAAGTGGTCATCATTGGCGTCTTGCTCTGCACCGTTCAATCCATATCGCAGTTCCGAATCAAGCTGCCGAAGGACTTGCGGGGACAAGGCGAGAAGAACACCGCGTTTAAAGCGATCGGAGAGATCAAGAGGCGGATGCCGGCGGGCCCGACGTTACTTGATCCGATCAAGAATATGGGAATCAATGACAAGTCGTTCAAGGATCTCGTCAAGGTGAGTGATGTGATTGCTCCGCGTGGGGTCCAATACTGAGATCACCAGCAAATATCCATGCTGGAAGAGAGACTCCAATCTCTCCCAATCTCTCGATCTCCATCCCTAGCGACATTGTATGACACTTTCGAGCGGAAAGAAAGGGCAACAGAACACATCAAAGCATTAAAGAGAAAGATCAATTCGGTTCACGATGTCCTCCAGCTCGAAGAATTGAAATCGCGCAAACGGGTCCTGAGGCGATTAGGGTTCACGACACAGGAAGACGTCGTTGAGATGAAGGGAAGGGTGGCTTGCGAGATCAGTACAGGTGATGAGCTGCTTTTGACGGAAATGATGTTTGGCGGAGTGTTCAATCCGCTGTCTCCGGAGCACTGTGCAGCTCTTTTGAGCTGTTTCGTTTTCCAGGAAAAGGTGCGTCGAGGTATTCCACGCCTGCAGGACGCTGATTAGCACTTCAGTCGGAGCAAAAGGTACGACTCAAGGATGATCTCGCTGCGCCTCTGCGGACTCTCCAAGAGACTACTCGAAGAATCGCCAAGATCTCCAACGAATCGGGTATCGCTCTCGTCGAGGACGAGTACGTCCAAAGCTTCAAAGTGGAAATGATGGACGCCGTTTTGCAATGGTGTAAAGGTGCCAAATTTGCAGAGATCTGCAAGGTGGGTCTTTTTCTCTTTTCTTGAGATCTGTTGCGCAACTCCTGCCATAGACTGACTGATTGAACGCCGTTGCTGACCGTTGCTCTCCAGTTGACAGACGTGTTTGAAGGATCCATCATTCGATGCTTTAGACGCTTACAAGAGCTCCTTCGACAGATGGGTCAAGCTGCCGTGGCTATTGGGAATACGGAACTAGAGCAAAAATTTGCAGCAAGTCTGGAGATGCTCGAAAAGCCGAATACAGTCGTATTCAACCCATCGTGAGTGATCTTGCAGTAGTGTGATCTGGAGTTCCGAGGATGCTAAGTGTATTTCCACAGATTGTATCTATAAATCGCATTCAGCAACCTTTCGTTTCTACATATGCATAATCTTTAGTGTCCTTTTGACGGCCATCTGAAATGGTCAAGGCACGGATCGCGGCCCCGAGCGAGCACCGTAGAGCCAATCATGTCAGATGGACATTGTCAGTGGATGGTCAGGTGGATAGCGGAGTCAGTCCCGAGAGACTACAGGTACACTCTATGTGGATGCGATGCCAGTGGTTCGTGGTTTGGCTAGACACTTGGTCATCTGTGTGCATAGACACAAAAGGAAAGGAAGGTGAAATATGTACTGACGGCGGAAAGGTGGTGTGTGGTGGTCAATGCTCATTGGCACCGCACGGTCCTCACAACGTTGTGCCGCCCATGCACGACATCGCATTCTGTTTTGGACGATTCCACTCGCCTGACCTTATGCTCAACTTCGCAGCATAGACTGGAATACTCTGAGGATGCGTGAGGATCGATTATTGGTGAATCATCAATAGCTTAGGAGGATCACTCTATCGCCTTGGCATTCCTCAAGAGCTCCGAGCTGCGCGAGGGGCCAGAGGCCTGGTTCATTGTGACCCACCACTCTCGTGAGGTTTCAGGACCGAGTAGGTCAACATCATGGATAGTCCCTCAGAGAGCACCGAGCACGCTCTAGCCAAGCGTCACTTCTACATCTGCGGCGATGAGACCTTGTCCTGGCGACCGGAATGGTATACCCAGTCATGGTTCACAGCCGATCGACAGTCCTATGATCGAGAAGCCTCTTTGGAGCCGGTATCTCCGCCTATCTCTATCATCACCACAGTACCGGACTGTGCTAGAGCTCTCAGCGCAGAATCAAGCCGTGATTCATCCTCGTTCGTAGCTGAGGCCACGACCAGCACCACCCGTTTTACTACCATGTCGACAGCCATTACGACGGGAAGGACATCAGCAGGCGTGGCGGTATCTACTACTTTCACTTCTGTCCTCACTTCGCTAATGGCGTCGTCTACTGCGCCTCTCAGTCTATCCTCTGCATCTGGTTCAAGTGCGTCCGCTACGACGAGCTTGAGCAGCTCGCCTGTCGCGACGACTGCAGCGAGAGCAGCTCTGGATAGCACGAACTCCTGCGCTGGGGATGTAGATTGGCAAGCTTGGGGAGCGATAGCTTCTCTCAGCGTGGCAGTCATCTTCGGATGCCTCGTGTGGGGACTTTGGGCCATCTTGAGGAATCGATTACCGGCAATGTACTCCCCGAGATCATGGCATGTCCCTTCAGAGTGAGCTTTTGATCTCCCGACAATCCCCCCCCCCCCCCCCCCCGGCCCTCTGAGCTAACGCAGCAACAGATCACGTCCATCTTTGTCTCTCGTCACCTTCCTCCTCCCTTTCTTACATCTCCCATCTCTTTCATCCTCGCAGCCTCTCTCGTCAGGTCAGCAGGCATTACATACCATGCTTGCCTCTCTCAAGCTAGCGGGAATAGCTTCGATCTTGGCTCTGGCAGGAGCCCTTCCACTCATCACCGCCGGGGTGCCCTGTCTTTCTAGCACAGCTCCTCCGAACGAACAAGGAGGTCGGCTGGGATCATTGACCGATCTATCTCTACTCCGACTACTAGACGCTCTCGATCCATCACCTGATTCAATGACGACCTCGGTCAGATTACACCTCCCGTCATATTCTCGAGCGGTATCTGCACGCCTCGGCAAAAGGGCGCTCATGTCCACTATAGCTCCTGCCATTTCATCAGCCAGGATCCGACTCGTTATCATACTGGTCCTCCTTGCCCTGTTCTCATGTGCTGGAGGTCTCTTTGTCATTGTTCGGCTGTACGCCTCTTTCGCCAGATATCGTAAACGGTTCGAAAACGACATGTGTGGCGGATTGGACATGGTGGTGATTCCCATGCACGAAGCGCCGGGTTGGCGTAATATGACGGAGGCGCGGCTCCTCAAGCGGTTGCAGAGTCAGCTCGGAGAGGTGACAGAGAAGGACAGCATGAAACACGTGGACATTGTAGGACTGTTTGCAATCCCGTCAGTTGCTGTGATCGACACGTTTGTGAGCTGACATCCTCAGCGAGACGAGCAAGTGGCGCCACAAATTGGCTGAAAGGGATCAAGTTCTGGAAGCATTGGAAGTGGCAGAGGCAAAGTATGTCCAGTCATTCCATCTTGTTCCGACCTCTTCGAACGGCCATAGATTGGAGTATAACAAGGTGAGTCCATCTGATCTGGACGAAAACTCATACCGAACAGGGAGAGCCGACCTCACACAAAGTGGACGACTATCTCGCCCCACGAGGTGGGAGAGCATGCCGATAGTTTCCTGACCAACACTAGAATACTACAAGCTGAGCTCTGGTCGACGCAAATCAGGCTCAGGTGAACGTCTCGAAGTGCCTATTCCTACATCCACGCCATCCCGCAATCCCATCTCCCGCTTCGTCGAAGTAAATCGAGACTCATCTCTCTTTTCGAAACGATTTTCGATCGGTCAACGGATCAAAGTAAATGAACATGGCGAATACGTACCAGATCCATCGCCTGACTCTGAAGCTGCGAATCCTCTGAGTTCGACATCGCATGACGATCACGAGAGTGTGACTCCGACGCATATGGATCGTCAGGCAAACGGTTCCTCCCCTGTCGAACGCGTACCTCAAAACTCGAGCTCTGGCTCATCGGGAGATTCCCAAGCAGATTTGGTCCCTGGTAGCACGTCAATGGACCTACCGCCATTACAAGCGGGACCATCAAGGCGTGTGGACGTCCAAGAACCTCCATCTCCGCAATCAGAGCATCAAGCGGAGATCCTGCCGGCCTCTGGAATGCCAACGTGGACGTCGCACTTCAATCCATCGCCGCTTGGACAGCAGTACGATGTCATTCGGCAATCCCGCGCTAGGCTAGTCGCTTTGAATGGGGAAATTGCTTTACATCAACAGCAGACCTTCGTTCAACTCTCCAGAGGCACCGATATCGTTGGCTGGGTCATCGTCGGTCGAGGTGCCCGTTGGATACCCGGCGCAGAGATGATAGAAGGAAGGACAATCGAAGACGTTTTGTGGCGCCACGTCGGGATGAAAAGTGGCGAGAAAGCCTTTTGGATCAAAGTCGGTGTCCTCGGTGTGGCTCTAGCACTCTTAAGTGAGAGCACTTCCGACAGAGATGAGCTAAGACATAGTTGTTCCATTTTTGGGATTATCAGTGGCTACTGCTCCAGGCTTTGCACATTATCTGGGCTTGCTGACACCCCTGGAGCGAAGTGATGGGTTCGGCTCAGGAGTGGCTCAAGGGTTAGCTCCTGCGCTCGCGGTGATTTTGGCAACAGCGACTGCCGTGTTGCTCACGAATCGTGAGCTGGGCCCAAGCACTTGCCTTCCGAGCTCATACACCGTCTCAGATTTCTCCACCCAGGTCAAAGTCGTATCTCGGGTCCATCAAGAAGCTCTGTGCTTTAAAGCGACGTTCTATCTTCTAGTATGCCACATGGTTCACTATTCCGCTGACTCTTAGCTCTTCACCACTCTGTTCTGGCTAATCACAGTCGCGGCCCTTGAGTTTGCAGTCCAGAGCCTGGTATTAGAGGTGCAAAGTGCTCGATTCGTAGGCGATGGTGCCATCTTTTCGAGTAAGCTGCGTGTCCGAGGAGTCACAGAGTGACGCGCAGCCTGGTTCGTCTTTATCATCCTCCTCAACATTGCCGTCATTGTTCCGGCTCTGTACCTGCTCCAACCGAAGCGTCTGTGGAATTTCTTCTGCTCCCGTCGGCGGACTACTACCCCTCGACAGCGATTTAGACGTGGGAATGACAGCTCAGCGAATTGCTGACCCTCTACCATAGGCACAGCTCCTCCCTCATTCGATATGGCATTTGCTCTCCTTCCATTCCTTATCGCTGTCTTTTACGCCTTTTCTCTCATCTTTCTCTTCCCGTTGCTTGCGATACCTCTCCTTCTCATGCTATTCCTGTCCTTGGTGGCTGGGCGGTATATGATTGAGAACGTCTGCGTAGACAAGCATGGCGGTTTCATATCGCCCACTTTGGGTCTCTGGGTTATCACTCGATTTGGATTGTTGCTGTCACTACAGCCACTGTTATACGGGTTGATCTTGCTCAGTAGGCGAGAATGGGCCATTGGATCTGTCAGTCTGGCTTTGGCTCTGATCACTGTCTTGCTTGTCTCTGGCCTTACTTTCTTGCGGTACCCTTCGCCTAGGCGTAAAGATCTGCCGATACGCACGAAGAATGCTTTGGCCGATCTCCGACGGGACATGAAGCGAGACTCGAAAACTGATGATGCGGAACCACGATCTCACCGAGTCTCTGATTCATCGATGCTCCAGCGATTGGCAGTCCTTCTACCGGGGTACACCCGTCTCCCGTCCGATTGTCCACTGCCTCTGCCAACAGAATGGATTGACGACAAGGTCCACACTGAAAAAGCATCTTGGACCCGGCCCGATCTTTCTGATGAACCCAGACAATTCTTCCATGATCCGGGCGATGGACTACGTGGTTTGATCTACCCGCCAGAGATGATCGCTCCCCGGCCGGTCCTCTGGCTCGAGAGGGACACTTCGGGCGTCGCGGAGTCTGAGGCGGCGGATCTTGAGAAGTATCATGATTTACCTCCCATTGTGGACCCCGCGCGTCAGCGGCGGCATACCGAACAGTACCAAGATCAGGAGGGTCAGAAGAAGGGTCAATGGTGGGGGAGACGGGAAAGCAAGGGCAAGCAAGCGAGATTAGAGGCGTCTTCTCCATTATTACGTTGAGTCAGAATCTTGTCAGGATCTTTCGTAAGGACACTTCGGGAACGGACTCATAATGCATTTCGTCTTCTTGTTCCTCAGTGATAGCTCGGTGCGACTCCTGTCGAACGCCATTGTCCGAGGACTGTGGTCATTCCAATGATGAAGATCAAGAGCGCCCCGTCTTTGTACAGCTGAGATAGGAGCGAGACGTATCGTGAGCCTGTGATGAGAGGTCGAGAAATGGCAGGAGGCATGAGAGGGAGGAAAGTGGAGATGAGGGAGTGGGGTGGCGGCGGGGACTATCGCGACGTCAGCATGTGCCTCTTCTCCACAGAAGACAAAAATTGGAGACCACCTTGAGAATCATGATGCGGGTGGTGTGCAAGATCAGTTGAACGGTAGTGAAGGCCCAGAACAATGGCTGAACATGTAAGATTGAGACGACGTGATGATGCGTGGACTTACCAAGACCTCTACACCTCCTAACAGTCCTTCCCTCAATCCATCCACTACGCCCGCTCTTCCCGCTAGACCTGCCCAACGTCTAGCCCACCAAGGATCGATTTTTCCAGCTAACCTTGCCCCTCTGAGACTCGGTTCCCACCATATGACGGTGAATAGTCCGAGAAGTAGCATGAGGCCAGCGTGGATCAAGGGGAAGTATCGTTGTGATTTGGAGATTGATCCTCCTCCTCCTCCTCCTCCTCCCAAACCAGGCATCCCTGGCATCCCTGGGAACCCTCCTCCTGCTCCTCCTCCATTCAGACCACTGAACATTTCCGCCATACCTGGAGGCATCGGGGGCATTCCTCCAGCACCACCTGCACCTGCACCTGCTCCTCCGAAAGGTCCACCTGTACCTAAACCTGCGGGGTCGTCAAGATCTCCCAAAAGGTTTTGACCTTGACCAGGAGGTCCAGACATGCCCCCCATCATTTGGGCCAAAAGTCGAGACATATCCGGCATTCCTTCGCCTCCTGCTCCTGCTCCTCCTCCGGGTCCCCCCGGTCCACCCATACCGGGGAAACCTCCAAACATGGCGGCTAAATCCTGTTGCATCCGTTGTTGTTCCTCTGACATCCCTCCAAAGCCACCAGCTCCAGCTCCAGCTCCAGCTCCAGCTCGGGCTCCAGATCCCGTGGAAGCCCATGACGATGCTTTGGGAGCTGATTTCACGTTGGCGCCGGAAGTAGGTGATGAAGCAGATGTCGATTCTGACGATGGAGAGGTAGGTCGGGAATCTATCGAACAGGATCAGCATGAAAAAGCTCACATGCGCGCGGTCGCCGTCCAGCTGGCTCTCACCTTCTCCATACAGCTTGTCTGCTTCCTCTCCTCTCGCTGTTTGAGCTAGCTTTTGCAAGCCAGCATTGCCACGCGCCAGGATCTTGGCTTTACGAGCTGCTGCTCGCTTCGCAGCGTCCGATTGCGCACCAATATCTGACATGGTGGTGACAGTTATGTTTCGAAGAATGCAAGATACGAATCGGCCTCGAAGCGCCTCCAGTGAGCTGACCACGTGGTGAAGCGGAATCAAAATTTAGGCTAGTTATCTTGGCTTGGCCGTGGTTGCCGACTCGGATTTCTGTTGGAAAAAAATGTTGGAGTGACATAGACGCCGAGTGAACAGTTGAGATCAACACTTCTTCTAACGAGAGCTGCAGACCTTGCACGCAGCTGTCAAATCTGCATATAACGCATTCTGCAATCTCATTCTCGACGCCCCCCTTCCCCCCAGCCCCCCTTCGTCATGAGCGGCACCGCGACACCTGAAAAGCAAGGGCCACTGGACGACAGCAACGTGCTAGGTGTGAGTTGTGACGCTCGCTGAGTAAACGAGGCAGCGCTGATGGAAGTCATGTGTCTGTCTGTCTGTCTTGGTTATCGTTCTGATCTCTCGACCCAATTTGCACCATGTCCGCTATTGACGAGCAGTACGATCCCCTGATCCCTCCTGCTCTTCTGCGCCACGATCTTCCCGTACCTACCGACGCCTCCGAGACGATTTCAGCGGCTAGACGGACTGCCTCATCTATCGTCCGTAGAAAGGATCCCAAGAATAGGTTGCTGGTCATTGTCGGACCATGCAGTATCCACGACGTCGATCAGGCGAAAGAATATGCCAGGAGATTGAGGCAGGGTGTTAAGGATGGTCTATGGGAGGGTTTGGAAGTAGTCATGAGGGTGTACTTGTGAGTAAGGAGGGGGTTCAATAAGAGCAAGCAAGCTCATCAAACTTTCCTTTCCTTTACTTTCAGTGAGAAGCCTCGAACGACTGTCGGTTGGAAAGGGTTGATCAATGATCCCGATATCGATGGCTCTTTCAAGATCAACAAGGGTCTCAGGATGGCTCGAGAGCTCTTGACCGATATCAACGTTATGGGTATGCCTGTAGGCTGTGAATTACTAGATACCATCAGTCCACAATTTATCGCCGACTTGATCACGTGGGGAGCCATCGGGGCGAGAACGACGGAATCTCAACTTCACCGAGAGCTCGCTTCGGGATCAGGTTTCCCCATAGGATTCAAGAATGGAACGGACGGGAGTGTCAGCGTGGCCATCGACGCCATGCAGAGTGCGCTACATCCTCATTGTTTCATGGGTATCAACAGTCAGGGAATGGCCAGTATCGTCAAGACGGCGGGAAATAAGGCGACTCATGTGATCCTGAGGGGAGGAAGTGGAGGACCGAACTATGCGTGAGTAGTACAAAGCGAGGCCTTGCAAGTCCCGCCCCCGAACGAAGTGAGACAGACGAGTTTGAGCGATGTACAAACCGTCCGGGATAGAAACTTCTGTATTCTGGCGCCCGCTCTCTCGCTTGTGTGCCAATCGACTCTCGCTGACGTTACGTCAGCGCCGAACACGTCAACAAGGCACTCGCAGCTATGGAGGCCAAATCTCCCAATGCTAAGCCTAGCATCATGGTGGACTGCTCCCACGGAAATTCATCAAAGAATCATTTGAACCAGCCGAAAGTAGCGGCGGACATTGCAGAGCAGATCGCTTCAGGGCAAGAAGGCATTGTTGGGGTCATGTGAGTGTTGGGTCTGAATGGGTTGCGAGCGGGGCCAGACCTGACATCTATCAGGTTTGAGAGCAATCTCAAAGGTGGCAAGCAGAGTTCTGACAAGGGCCGTGAGGGTCTCGAGTACGGAGTATCCATCACGGATGGTAAGCTGGGCCTTCTTTGTTGCTCCCCATCAGCCAGCTGACACTATCTGCAGCTTGCGTCGATTGGGAGATGACTGTCGACATGTTGAACAATTTGAACGAGGTGAGCTGCCACACCCACCCGCACATTTAGCCTTTGTGCAATGGCCGTCGCTGAATTCCTTTCAGGCTTCTTTGAAACGTCGAGAATTGCTCAAGAGCCGGTTGACAAATGGCAATGGCCACGCTTAGGCAGCGTGACCATATGCAGGCCGACCCACGAGAAAAAAAAACCTGATGTAGACGATCATCTTGTACTAGTATGCATCACATCCGCCATCAGCCTACCTGCCTGCCGTTTATTTTTGCTTCCGCTCATAACCGGCAGTTAGTAGTCCAGCCGAATGCCAGTCATGTAAAGAGTCTGTTTTCATGCCTCAATACCATGCCGCAGACGATCACCTCGGTGGATCTACCTCATACACATTTGGAGACCTCAGTACCCAGTCGATACCTATCCCATGTCATCGTCGCGTCGCTCAAACGGCGCGGTTTCCAGGCGGCCGAGGCGGGCGCTCTGATTGAAATGGAGAGGTTGCTGAAGAGGCGTAAGTTTTGATGAGCGAGCTACTGGATTTCCGACTTGATGCCGCTGTAGACGTTCAGAATCTCTTCATCCATGCCAAAAGATGGTCTGATTTGGCCAATCGATCGTCACCGAATGCTTTGGACTTTATCGCCAGCCATGAGGACAGAGTCAAAAGATTGAAGAGAGAATCGAAAAGGCCGAGGAAAGGTGAAGCGAAGCATTATTGACCAAGTGTGTAATGGCTAATCGCTAGCTCAGGTCCTAAGCTATCCACTATTCCCCGAGAGCCCTCTCCGACGCCGCTGCAGCTGTTGACGGATCTCAAGGAGATCATGCTGGCGAACAATGGCTCGTCGGACGATATCAAGCCGACAATGATGGACATCCCAGAGAGGAAGTTGGAAGGTGCTTTCGAAGGCGCTCCGAGTCTTCCTGGAGAATGGACTTATGCAGTGAGCAGAGAAGAGAGGGGGATTCATTCCCCGTGCCCGAATAGTAGCTTCGAACTAAGCTGGTGGTGGTGTTGATAGGATCCTCGGACCGACGCTGATGGTGATCCCGATAATTCTGTGGAACCTCCCTCTTCTCGACTACCCCTCGTCACACCTTCTTCGCTGGAGTTTGTCAAGTCCACAGTGGCTGAAAAGGGGATAGATCCAGAATTAGGAATCGTCAATTATCGGAAGAGGGCCAGAGGGGCTTTGAGGTAAGGCGGGTGAAAGAGGGTTCGTCACGGATGCGTGTACTACAAAGCATCGGCGAGAGCATAATCAGTGACCAGCGGACTCTCATCTACGTTGGAAGAGGAGATTCGCTACTCGTAGACACGACATATTGGATGCGAGAGCAACATTGTACAATACGTTTACATTCGAGCCAATGTATATATAATGAGGTCACGCTACAAGTGTTCCGTCCGTATTCTTCAATCTCCAACTCAATCATCGTCCTCGTCCGATGAGCCGGCAAACTCTTCCTCAATAGCTTTGCGTCTATTTGATCAGCTACGACCTTGAGAGGTTCAACCTCACCGCTTTTGATTGGGCTGGAGAGCACTAGCATTCGCAGGAACCTTTTTCTGTGGACTGAGCGAGGTCCCTGAGAGCGAGTCATCTGTCAGCCATATCGCTCATTGCGCGAGAGTCTACAGACCTTTCTTGTCTACTGCTGTGGATCTGACAACTGAAGCCCTGGCGCTACTGAGCTTGGCGTTCAGAGAGGAGATCTCGTTCTATACATCGGATGAGACGTGAGCGAGGATTTAAAAGGTGGATGCACGCACGTCTTTCTGGGTGAGTTGGGCTCTGAGGCTCCTCATTTCGCCTGTGGGCAGTCAGAATGGAATGAATTGGAAAGAAGGGCTTACTAGCTTGCGTCGTTCCCGATGGAGGTTCGAGTAGCTGAGAAAGTCAGTGAGATAGATGTGACAAAGGGGCGGCTAAGGGCAGGCAGACGTACAGTGAACGCAGCGTTCAGCAATACGAGGTCAGCAGACGCGGGCGCTGCAGTGAGAGTATGAGAGACGGTCGAGTCGTGAGGGAGGATGAAGTCCAACTGAGCCGTCAATGAGGGACATTTGAGCAAATCACAGGACACACCGTGACCGCGTTGGCTGATGATGATAATACAGGCTCATCTGATCGAACGTGAAGGTATCCACCTCTGGCAGCAGTGGCCAGAGCGTCGCTGTCCGTTACCTGAGCGTAAGTGTGTAAAGAGAAACATCCATCATTATCTGACCCCGGCGAAGCCCACCTCTGGCGATGCTGCTGTCCATGATATCAACCCGTTGTCGCCCTTTGCAAAGAGGTGTATGATCCATGTGCCTCTATCGTCAATGGTCGACGTGAAGAGGAGCTTGGACTCGTCTACGTGGATCACCTGCACAATATTGTGCAGTGGATGGGGCGGCATGCTGCCGCAGCCATGGATAGAGGATGAACAACGACAACAACAGGTCTCAATTCGGTCGAATTCAATTCTGTTGACTGGACGACCTCCACCTCAAGGGACGCATTGAAAAATACATTATTGTCATTGTGAGTGAGATACACAAAGAACATTGTCCATCGTATACAGTCATCAAGAAATAAAAACGGTTTGTCGTAAAAGCTCATCAATAGTCGTCTATCATCATGCCGTCTGCTGCACCTGCTGGACACCCCAGCTTTGTCTTCTTCGACCATCAATAGTGGTTCCTCGCTTGACCTTGAGATCCCAATCGTCGTGTCTCTCCTTCCACCATTTCTCTTCCTTGAGACTTCCACCCTTTGGACTTGCACGGTCATCAGGCGAGATGAACGTGATTTTCACAGGTACACTCTTCTCCTTTGGTGTCTCTGGATTCGACAAGCTCTGAACGGAAGTCGAAATCGTTGGCGAGAGATCATCCTCGACTTGATCACAATCTGACGAATGATGAGATTTAGCCGAAGCGGATGAAGATCGTCGTGACGTCGGTTTGATAGGGTTTTCAATGGGTTTAGCGAATGCGTCGAGGGAGATCTCGCCGGAGGAAACTACCGCAGCGACAGGAGGTGAAGGAATAGGGTATCGCCACGAAGGGTGAGAAGGCAGGGTGAGCATACCTCGATCACCGACGAGCGATTCGACAGCGAGTTCGTCCATTTTAACGACATTGCTGACCACTCGATCTCGTCTCCGAGATAAAAGGTTCTCCACCTCCACTTCTGATCCGAATCGACGCTTGTGCTGACTCGTGGGGAGTCTGGACACGGGTGGCTCTGCGCTCGTCATTGGCTCGAGTACCCTTCGCTTGTTTGTGAATCGTTGAGAGAGGGCGTGAACGGCAGCAGAGTCAGGTGAATGCGACGTTGTACTACCCGGTGAAAGGAATGACATGATTCCAGCGAGTGAACTCAACGATCTTCCTTTTCCGTGAGCTCGTGGATCGACTTGAGGCGCAGCCGTGAGATTTGCCTCGTGATCGTGGTCTCCTTCTTCCGAGTCCGAGGTCGAACCCATAGACTCGAAAGGAGGGAAATAAGACATGGTATCTGTATTTGGGAGTCTTGAAGGCGACTTTGCCGAGGCAGAAACGGATCGAGGGATGGGTCGACGAGAAGAAGAACCACCACCACCACCACCACCCGTTCCCACGATACAGCCTCCAGGGGAAGAAAGGCAAGTGCGAGGTGGTCTAGGTCGAGAAGGACCTCCCGTGCTGTTGCTGATATCCATCGAGTGGGAAGTTCGGGCGGCCATCATCCGTTTGGCGATAGGTGAAGAGGAAGAGGAAGCGAGTCCAGAGAGCGAGGAAGTGGATGAAATCGAGGATGACATGGTGATGAGTGACGTACAAGGGGAGAGTGGGTGAAGTGGGGGGATGATAACGCAGTGTGTGATCTCGTGAGCAAGTTGGGGGTTGTCGTGGCTTGAGTGTGTTGTTATATCGTCAAGTGGGCGTCGGTCATCGCAGTATTGTAGCAGTGTCAAGATGGTCGTGGTAAGAGTGAACGAATGGTGAACGATGCACCAAGTGTATGTGTGTATGTGTGTCACAAACCACCGCCCACTTTGCCTCCCCAATTGGCGGTCGAGGCCCAAAGTCTGGACCTTTGCCTTTTTTGATAAAAAAGAGGCGGGCCGCGGGGTGGAAAAACGGTGTGTTACGGTAGCAAAAGGGGGGGCAGGGGCCGGGTCGATGAATCGAAACCTAATAGCGATGATGATTAATTATCTGGGATATGGTAATGACGATGATTAGCTGAATCGGTGGCATGGCTTCAAGCTGGCGAGATGGAGAGGATCAAGCGATGATAACCATCGCATGCAACTTCTGCAGGAAGGCGATAAGCTGCTGACTGCTGACTGCTGCTGGTTGGATCATCTTTCGCCATGGACGCCCCATTGTGTCGCCGCTTCAATGCTGCTGCTGCGCACATTTCACACAGGAAAAAAACTGGCGCGCGCGCGCGTGTGCACACTATAAAACCCTAAACACACAGACCCAGGCCTGGACAACGGGGGGCACCGTGCTACTGCTTAAGCTGTGAAGCTGTATGACGCGGGGAGGAGACACAACAGCTAGGGCGGCGTCGCGTCGTGGCGAACACGCATAGACAACGACCTCGGGACACAGCTACCTGCATTCCATCATGCATACACAGATATAGCATCTGAGCTGGGGGGGATTGGTGGATGAGTTGCACGTCAGATTCGAGGGTCACACATATATCTCATCCGGTGGTCATTGTCTCGGATCTTCAGGGGGGAAATTCAAACACTTTGGGCGCATGGGAGTAATACAGTAGGTCTGACCAACCAGCCAGCTCTGCCTGAATGAGCTTCTCGCGGCGCGCCGGCGATCTCAGATGGGTGAAAGATAGAAGGCAGCCTTGTTCAAGGTGTGCGATGAAGCACAAAGGTTGAGTGGATCGGAGGCGGCGTCGTGAGAAAAGGCAAGGCGAGCAAGCACCGGAAGTTCTCGGTGGAACGCCGATCCCGCCACAGGAGAGGGGAGGAGGCACATCCATCATCCGCTCTGGAACTCCGGGCTGATCATCTTAGCGGGCTAGGCTTAGTCGTGCACAGTCCCGTTCGGGACTATGCAGCCTATCGATACCCGGCGCTCTGTCAAATGATCTTCTCTGCATTGGCCCTCCCGATATTTGAATACTACTTGTCTCACCAGCCTCATAGCATCCGCTGCGGACGGCGGGTTGGGACTACTGTTCAATTGCCGAGTCTATGATGTGAGCCGATTCGAATACATGGACGGTCACACCTCAGTTCTGACCTATCACTGTATTACTGCGAAATCAATCCACGCGCGCAATGTTTTGCTTGGCATTTGCCCCCCGATCGGAGTCCAATCTGTTGGTCAAAGTGTTGGTCAAGGGGATTTTTACCCGATCGGCGAATCGAATCTGTTGGTCATTCTGTTGGTTCATTCACTTCTCCTCCATAAATCTTTGCATACTGTGTCGCGACATGTGTCTCGGGTCACCAGCAGTCAGGCAGGAGCTGACACAAGTCCAAGCTATACATACATGAGTCCGAGGTGACCGTCTCCCTGAGACAGGGGCGATTTGCTTACAATTGGAACATGTCACGATTCATCGAGATGACGAGCAGCGGTGCGTCTCATGATCTGCTATGGTCACCAACGTGACACAGGTCCTGGTCCTTGCCTCCGTCAGCTTACCTATTGGATCCATTGGTAGTCGGTGAACGGGTTCGCCCGTTATATGTTCATAACCAGTTACCGTTTCCAATGTCCACCTAGACACCAGATTGATCTGATCTACGTCTGAGTCTTGAACACCATGGCCCACTTCGCACCATGTTTCGCAGCACAACAGATAGTTATGACACGATACTTGAGCAAGGTGCCAACTCGATGACAATCGAGGACACATTAGTGCCACAATTCTCGCCGTCCTCGGTTCAATCGCGCCGAGGAACCGGGTTTTGTAATCTTCACGCAATTAAAGGCTTCATCTGTATCCATACCACCGAAGGGGCACTACGTCTCATCGTCCATCTTCAGACTGCAGCGACTAGCTTGTACTCGGTCCTACAGGACGTTCTTCAGCATGGCAGCTCTACCTGGACCTCCGTCCTTTCTCGCAGTAAGTTTGGCGAGTCGAGAGTCCCTTTGAAGACCCCGTTCGATGCCTTTTGGGCTAAGCGATTCGACGTTTAGAAATTCATTCCTCCGTCTCAACCCACTACACCCGGTCGTCAATTACCCACATCCATCCCTCTGCCCGTCCTGCCAGCCGTCGAAGCCGCCAAGCGGCTAGCCGCGTTTGCAGCTGTCGATCAGAATATAGGTTTGGAGCACAAGGTGGGTCCTGCTTCTCCTGGAGCCCATCTTCGCTTACATGTACCCGAAAAGATCATTGGCGTCGGATCAGGCTCGACAGTACCCTACGTTGTGGATCGGATAGTTGCTCAAGGGCCAGCTGCAAATTCAGACAGAGTCTTCGTACCGACGAGTAAGGGCGGACCCCTGGGGTGGGCCATCGCTAAATGGATCACAGGCTTTCAATCAAAAGAACTCATCATCAAGGCGGGATTAGTACTGGGCGATGTGGACCAATATCCACGACTCGACGTAACTATTGATGGAGCCGATGAGTGAGTGATATCTGGTCCCGTCCCGTGTTACCGGTCCCACCTCATTATGATGATGGATGTCATTCGGGATGTTCTCGGGTCGTTTTTTCCCTTCGTCCCGCAAAAACTGATCCCATTGCTTCCCTCCTAGAGTCGACGACGAACTCAACTCTATCAAAGGTGGTGGAGCGTGTCAGCTACGTGAGAAAGTCTTGGCCGAAGCTGCAGATACGTGGATCATCGTTGCGGACTATCGGAAAAATTCAAAAGTCCTAGGGACGACATGGAAGAAGGGAATTCCCATCGAAGTGGTTCCTTTTGCCTATGCCACCGTCCTCCGTGACTTGGCCAAAGCGGGTGCTCCAGAGATACTGCCGGATGGAACGCCAGGTCTGACCTTACGTATGGGTAAAATGAAGGCGGGCCCAGTGATCACGGATAATGGCAATTTTGTCATTGATGCGCCGTTCCCAGTAGAGATGATGAAGGATCCGGCGGGGGTGAGTGAAAGGCGTCGCATGACCAGCAGAGAGCTGATCCAATGTCACAGCTACTCAGGAGGATAAAGATGATGACGGGTGTTGTGGAGGTCGGACTGTTCTGCGATATGGCCAAGGCGGCTTACTTTGGTAATGAGGTGGGTTCTGCCGAAAAATGCCCCGAAGCTGTCTGCTAATCTGCTCAGGATGGATCCGTCCAGATTCGTAGGGTAGACGGGTCGGTCGAGACACTCAGCTCAGTACCTGATACACCTGTGCTAGCTCAGCAGGCTGCTTAGGGATACATAGAGCTACGCGTGCATGACATCTTGACGTATGACTTGCTCGGTGTCAGATCTGAGCATTAGAAAATGGGACTCATCCTGGATTATGGCCATGATTATTTGCTAATGACCCCCGATCGGCAATTCGGCAATTGCCCCCCCCCCCCCCATACGGACGCGGCAAAACGTCTGGTCTCCTCCACCTCCTCACTCACCACTTTCGACATCATCTCCATCGACCATGGCGCTTCCTAGATCACTCTCGTTTCAACGTCTCGGGTCAGGTCCTCAAGTGCTTGAAGTGTACCTCTGTCCGACGTGTCCGTTTTCAGGGAAGATAGCCAGAGCATTATCGGCAAATGTCCTCCCGTTGATCACGAAAGGTGGAAAATACGAGGGCAGAGTCAGTCTTATTCCCAGACTGTACCCTCAGCCATTGTACGTAGGCCTGAGGAAAAGAAGTCAAGCTGAATCATCAGCCACTATACCGCTCAATTCCAATGTGAAGCTCTCGTTTGGATCGGTACAAAGTACCCTGAGCTCTACTGGGACTATTTCCTCCAGGCAGGTCACCTAATTCAGCTCCAAATTGTGAAAAAGGCTGCGGCGCTGACACGTCCACTATCCAGATCTACGAACACATTGAAGAGTTCGGAAATGTCCCTGCTCAAAATATGACGCCTCTCCAGACTCGTGAAAAGCTTTTCTCGATCGCTCAGACGTTGCTGGAGAAGAACGGCAAGCTCAAAGGTCCCGCTTCGCAAGTTCATGCGTCCTTTATGGATTCTGCGGATGCCGTCAAGCGAAAGGCTGGAGATGAGTACGCGAAGGCTGTCGAGGCAATGCTCAAGTCTGGAGGTGAGTGCGCTGTGAGTAACGTGTCTCCTAGTGCAGTGGCTGACCTAGCACAGTCAAATTGGGTCGTCAGAACGGGATCCACGTTACAGTGAGCTCCGCGGGATTGATCGACAGCGCCTCGCTGACAGTTCAGCCCACCGTCTTGTTCGACGGGATCCGAGATGACTTTGTCTCTTCCAGCTGGGGCAAAGAAGAATGGGAGGACTACCTCGCGTAAGTCACCTCGATTCGGGTTCTGCGGGACATTGCTGACGATTGCATCAGGAAGAAGATGCAGGGCATCTGAATCTTCACTAGAGCAATTGATTATGCATGAACACGTGTTTTCTAAAACTCATCGATAGTCCTATCGAGATCTGCTTTGAGGTGTTCCTTCATTCCCGGCGGCAAGATGGGCTCGCCCTTATCATCTGAGACATAGCCTAGGGATTGTCAGTTGGGACACGTTAAGAAACAACGCACGGAATGGCATTTCGATGGATTCTTTCTTGTTGAATGAAATTGTGGGGAAATCCTGTCAATGTCATCAGCAGGATATTCATGGCCATGACGTGACATAACAGGAGGCCAGACATACGATATACGGGATTTCGTCTAGCTCGACTGAGAGAACGTCAGTGAAGGCGCACAAGATACCGCAATGTCGCCTAAGACGACATGCTCTGCTGGCTTGAGCACAGAGACTCACTTCCATCCTCCACGACCTTCTTTGTCACACCCACAGCGGTGTCCGTCGTCATCTGCTTGGGTCCCAAGTGTCTCCCTTCGAAGCCCAATTTCCTCAATTCCGCCGTCCTATCTCTAGGCGGATCATCCCCCAAAATCCCTCCGTACAGGAAACAATCGAATATCTCTGCGTCCTCCGGTGCCAGCACCTTGGTAGCTCTTGGATCAAGCAAGCATACGCGAGAGAAAGCTATCTTGTCCGTCGACGAGGCCGGGGCGGAGGCGGAAGCGGAAGCGGAAGATGAAGTATCGACCAACGACATGATCGGTTCGGTGTGAGCGTGAGCTTTACCTGATTCCGGGTGATGCGCAAGGGATGACCTGAGTGCTGGGATGGAAGAGGCAGAAAGAGATGTGAATCGAAGCCGGGAAGATGGTCCAATCAAGGTCAACATATGGGCGTACCTGAGACTGAATGAGTCCCAGCTTCTCCACATATATATATATGTAGACTCACTCCAGCTCCACCCATCGAGGAAGAGCTTTTGTCTGCTCATCATCCTCTTCCATATGTTCTGCAACGTCAGCCAGCGTATACATAGCGGGCTCACCAATGACATAGTCGAATGATTTGGGCATGGCGAACGTCGTGACGAAGTCAAATATCCAAGTTGGATGGATCCCTAATCTTCGTGCGCTCTCACTTTTCCAAACTTTTGGGTGCGGCTGAGACATTTTTTCCGAGATTCAACCGGAACGAGTCGAGATCTTATCTAGGTGAGTTGATTGATCCTGGTGTCAGAACTGTACATTTCAGGAGGAGGCAAGGCCGTGTTAGGGTGAACGGACAGTAACCTTCGCCATGATCAATGACTTGACCCCAGCTTTCAATTTCCGTCAAGCCACTGTGGATGATGCCGAGGCGGTCGCCAGCCTCATCGCTCGGGTCTGGACGAAACACTTTGGATGGTCTGTCCCTGCTGCCGATCTCGAAGTTCATCTCCAGACGAAACTCTCTACAGAGAGCATCGGGAAATCCATATCGAGCCCAGATGAGAGGTTTCTCATCGTCACGGATGACGGAGAGAAAGTCGCTGGAGTCGCTCAATTGATCTTCAACTCCAGGGAAGCATGTCTGACCCTCCCTCATCCCGTCGAATTGAATAGACTATACATCGAGGATGAGTACCATGGGAGTGGAATAGCTGGGGAATTGGTAAATAAGGCTTCAGAGATGGCCAGGGAGAATGGCGGTGGATCATTATGGCTCGGCGTATGGGAGAACAATGCTCGAGCCAAGAGGTTTTACGAAAAGATGGGGTTCAAGACGGTGGGAGAGCACACATTCATGGTCGGAGAGAATGTCAGGAGGGATTGGGTCATGGAAAAACCGATATAGAGTTTTCGACACCTCGCTGCATACGCCAATCGTTGTACCTCGATATGCCCTCTAGACTGGGCGCGCACGACTTCGCGCGCACTTTTTGGCTCCGGTAGAGGAAGGCTGGCTTCACACCCGAAGTCAATGGCCCGTGTATCATCGTCGCGACGGTACCAGCTTCGAGTACTTTTCCCACGTATTATCGCTAGACTTGAATGCTGTAATCCATTCTTCGATCAAGTCGTTATACGATCCGATATCCTTACTCGGAGGGATGCCAAGCAATGAATGAGGTCCGCTGACGCCCCCTAGACATGCTGCATTGGGACAATCGGAGATCTCTTGTTTGATGTTCCCATATTCCCATGTCCCGATATTGGTCGAAGGATTGAGAAGGCTCGTCAAGACCTGCTTCAACCTACCATTACTCGAGTTTCGACCTTTCGTATGGTCAGTCAACATATGAAGGGAGATCGCTCGTGCAAGGCTCGCCCGGTCATCATCAGAAAGAACAGACATTGTGCAGTGTGATATGAAGTAATGGGGGAGTAGAATGAGCCGGGGAGAGCGCCTACTTTACATAAGTTTATGAGCAGATTCGGTGGAGATTGAAAGAGCTTTCTCTATCGTCAGGGGTGAATGGAGCCCTTCCTGGATGTCAAAGGATCTCAGATAGGCCCTTCGCGACGAACGAGCTGCCATTGAATGAAAGTGACAAGGATTGGTTCCGGGACGTGTGTGTCACTGTGGAGTATCTTCGTCCAAACAGAAGCACCCAAATACATTTCCTATGTCGCTTTCCGAGGTCCATACCCACTACTTCTCACACTGGCATATTTTCCACCGAGTCCGTCCGAAGGTTTCCGGATCCCAGAAGAAGCCGACGTAGTCCTGGACGGAGGTGGGCCTCCTAAGGGTCGGATTTGATCTTAGTTGAATATCGCACCAACGATCAGGCCTGAGCTCACCTCTACCACGCGAAGGTATCCTTGATCCACCTCTTCCCAACGTCCCTAGATCCTTTGCCTTGTCTTGAGATGCGACTACCGCCGCTTTACGCTCCTCTGCCAGCTTGGCCGCTTCAGCTTTCCGCTCAGGTTCGAGAGCCGCGGCGGCCTCTGCAACCCTTTGAGCCTGTTGCTCCGCTTCGATAGCGGCATCGTCCTGCGTCTTAGCAACCCCGTTTCTTGCTATTCGCGAACTCACATCCTGTGCGCCTGTCCATGCTGAATTGAGTATCAATCGCTGAGCATGTTCCGTTTGACCGAGCAAAGCCGTATAGTTATCGAGCAGAGCGTGCGTTTCCCTCACTCGCGTTTGGAGTCGCTATCCTATCAGCCAGAACTACACAGGGACGTAACAAACCAAATTGTGCCCTCTAGCAGCTTCTAAAGCCCCTAGAAACCCATCGAATACCTCGTTCATCTGCTTGAGTTCGTACAAGCTCTCTCTCAGCACATCGTCACGGCTAGACGATTGGCCATCCTGATCTCCGCGTGGGAGGAAAGAGAATCGAGATTTCGAGCCTGAGGCATGGCTCTGTGGTGAATCTGCGATGGATAGATCAGATAATAGGTTGGTCGTGTCCTCAGCACCGTGCTTGAATGTAGGGAGTAGAGGCGAGTCCATGCTGCTGAATGACAGGGTTTGCGATCAATGTTCAAATAAGAAGCAAGTGGTAAATGGGAAAAAAAGGGACGCGACGCGTCGTTCGCTCAAGTGGCAATAATAATTAATATAGACTGGCTATAAATCCCTCCATGCTATACTCAGGAAGACGATCCAGACGATCGCTACAAAGCCTATGCAGCATGAGAAAAACAAGACACTCCGAGCTCTCTCTTGGAGCCTCTGCGATGTACCTGTCGTGCCATCGTCCAGCGGCACAGGGCTATCACATTCATCCTCGTCCTCCGCCTGACCATCCCCCTCTAGGGGTATCGGTGCGTACGCCTGTTTCCGTTTCCATCCATCGAATCGCCAAAGCCCTAGGGCACAGGCCAGCTGGAGCAAATTGATGAGCCAGAACGTCCTGAGTAAGACTTGTCCACCCATTCGCTCTGTGGGGTCTTTGACTTTGGCATGATCGAGCCAAACTCCAGCGAGTGTCTGAGACAGTGACGACGAGGCCATTTCCATACTTTTGTGCAGGCCCAACCCGAGAGGTACGAGATGAGATGGAAGAATTCGCGGGACGAGAATGACGAGTAGTAGCGTCGCTGAGCCGTGACCTAGGGCGAAGAGAACCATCCCGGGCCAAGGTGTCGAAAAAGGTATTGAGAGATAAGTGTACCCGGACAAGGTGAGGATGGAGGAAGTGATAATCAATGGGATTGTTCGATTCGATGCGGAATCCGTAAGACGACCGATCTGGTCTCAGCGAGCGTCAGATCCTCCAGACTCACAATGGGGTACAGGACGATGGCTCCGGCGAGGAGAACAGACGCTTGATAAGAGGCGATTTGTTCAGAGACACTGTATCGATGTTGTATGAGGTCGGCAGAAAGATGGAGAAAAGGCTGCCAGATACTCCCGGCAAGTAAGTTTCTGGGTGTCAGCTCAAGTTGCAAGTGCCTTCTTTCTCACAGAAAGATATAGACCCAATAAACATCTCCAAAGACGTCGATACCGGGCCAAGAGACATTGCGAGCGGGATGGTGGCCTCCGAGACGGATGAGGTTGATGACGAAGCTGACGATGCAGAGAGCGACCGCGACGATAAAGGGGGCAGTGTCACCGTACTTGTCTGCGAGGGGTAACGAGACGATAGAAGAGAGGAAGGAGGCGGATTTGCCTGAAACGAGACCGAGAGCTAGTGAAAAGCCGAGATGGTGAGAGGCGGATAGATGGGAGAGCAAAGTTTCTTGGACTACCATGAGTGGTGTCAAGCCTAAGCCAAAGATGAACAGGCCGATGGACTGCATAAGTTAAAGTCAAGAATGATTCATCTCACCATGAGAACGAGATGACTTGTGGCTACGCCGAGAAGGAGGATGAGTTGACCTAAAAGAACGCATCCGGTCGTGACGATGGAGCTGGGCGCAGTGCCAAAGCGAGAGACAAGAATTCCACCGACAAGTGGGGTCCATGTCGAGTTGAGACTAGCATTCAGCGCTGAGTGGATAAGACGGACTCACTTGAATGACGCGATGAGAAGGGAGAATTGACTATTAGAGGTTCCGAGATCACGATGTAAGCGAGATTTCAGAGGACCAAGGAGGTACGCTCCGCTGATGGTCAGCCCCTTCCCCCGTCAATGCTTCTTCTCACAAATGACTGCCGACGGACAGAAGGCAGACACATATTAGTGCACCAAGTGTCGAGCGTCTATTGACACCAGGGTCCGGTGGCCCGGGACCCATTGGGGAAAGAGATTATTGACGATGAGTGTTGACAAATGTCCGATGGACCGGAAGATAGAAAATGGGAAGAGATGTAGGGGTCGCCCGATTTGCAGACACAAGTCTGCTTCTGCCCAACACTCTCGCACATGGCGCATATCAATGCATGGATCGATCGTCAAAATACTCATGTACAGCGTGAAAAATAGCATAAAATTATTGAATAGTCTCTGGTGATGACTGGCTAGAGGCTCGTCTAAGCCGGAGCAGATTGCTGCTGCTGTTTGGCAGACGACTCCTTCAAGGCCAACAGTTGCTTCGACCTGAATGTCTCATAGTGAATCTGCGCCGTCGTTTCGATCAAATCTTGCAGATGTGTCCTGCGTGTGAGCCGAGTTCAAGACTTGGACGCCTCACCTGGTGAGAAAGTTGCGTAGGTAGACAAACTCGCAATGCCTCTCATCTTCCACATTGATCACTCCCCATCTGTTCTTCCGTCCTCGGACCGACTTGCCATCGATCACGACGTTGCGCTCCGAGCCCACGACCGCGAATGGAAGCATGGACTAGGAGTCAGCGCGTCGTGTACGTTCCCCATAGACCTACCCGAATTCTCTGGTTGAGCTGCAGCTCCTCATCATCATTCTCCTCAGCGTCAAAAGGGTAGAGACGGACTTGATGGTGCTGTAGCTCGGCCATGATCTGGTACTCAGCGAAGGTCCTCGGGAGATTTTCTCTCACCCGCTCTTTGAACAGTGCCCTCTCCTCCAGAGTCATCGAGTCGGCCTTTGCAATGACGGGTACGACATTGACCACATCGGTGAGTTTTTTCAGCACCACAATGTCAATCTGTCAATTTAGCAATGGATTCGACCCGCCACCGACTCACAGGCTTGAGGGTATGACCTGTAGGATTGATAAAGAACAAGCAGCAGTGAACTCGAGTATCGGGAATGTAGCGATCACGCATGGCTGTAAGCTCTTTACGCAGGTACGCAGAGTGTTGGTCTTTGATCTGAACCATTAGCTGAGCTCAATAGGCGTCAAAACTCACGTGTTTGATGATGGGATCCCAGCAGCCTTCGTTATTGATCAAGTCTCCGTATCCAGGAGTATCAATGATGTTGAGCTTGAGCTTGACACCGTTTTCAGAGATGACTATGGTGTCAGCTCAAATGACAGCTGGATGGCCTCACTGTGTGATTGAGCGTGTATCTCAGTGGTCGATGGGGAGACAGCCTCTGGCTCAATACGTCCTTTCGATTCGACGAGATGGGAGGCAAAGAGTGTATTGATGAGGGTTGATTTACCGAGACCGGTCTGACCGACGACCATGACGTTGAATTGAAATCCACGTTTCAACAGCTTGTGCTCGATCTGACGAGTGATGGCTAATACGGACAACGAATCAATCAGTCAAGCTCGTCCTCGTCGCGACCAGCTTCGATGGCTGCTCTGCACGGACTCACTGTCGAATCCAACGTAGGATCCTGCTTGGACCTCGATGGGTGCGTTCGGTGTCATGACGGCGGCCATGGCGAGAGGACCAATAGGTATAATGCTAGATGGAGAGATTTCAAGACGACACACAAAGCACCGAACGAGGGGTTCTTGCACAGTGCTAGACACTTGTCGCTCGCTCGCTGCGTTGCAGGTGCGGATAACGCGGAATGGCGGCCGCGGGCGCACTGTGAGCTTCTGGGATAAAATGGAAATTAAATCCTAAATAGTAGATTAATGAAATATTCTTGAAACGCGCCGCATCCCAACAGTCAACCATCGTCGAGTTTGTTTGTATCAACATTGTTGTTCACTTCCTCACAAATCATGAGCGTCCCACCATCAGACGTGTATCTGCAACCAGACTTTGATGGATCTTCCCTCAAGGTGAGTGTACTCGTCATCTTCATCGCTGACAATCAAGGTCGCGCAATTGCGGTTAGTCTCGTGACTCTCTGTCCCTCACGAGCCCCCTAACTCACTTCCTACTCAGCGGGATTCTCCTCCAACATGACATTAGCCTTCCGCCATCGGCGAAAAAAGCTGATCTAGTCGCGGCTTTCGAGTCTCAAGTCCAAGCTCGCGCATCAGTCAGTCGAGTTTCCCGAGTGCACTCCTGATAGAAGCAGGAACTCAATCAGTCTGCCAAACCATCAAGCAAAGGCATCGTCAGGGTCAAAGATGGAAAGCAGGTGGAAGGCACGACGGAATCAGAGGCGTCCTCCGATGAACAGCCCAAGAGAGCTCGTGGACGACCGAAGAAATCTACAGGCGTATCGGTCGAGATCCCCGTACCGCGCAGGACCAGACGTACAGAATCAATGACACCCGTGAGTTTTGAAGGGAAAGACACCTCGCTTATATCAAGGCTCGAACATCGCCGCCCGATAGCCCTGCCGTGGAGGCGGAGGAGGAGGAGGAACCAGCGATTCATATTTCCGTTGAACAGACTCCCCGTGCTAAAGTGAAGAGTGACACTGAGGAGAGCAAGAAGCCCAAGACTCCTCGTCGATCAGAGGATAGTGGATTCTCAGACTATAATCCATTTCAGAGTGGAGGGGAAGAGGGAAGTGATCGAGAAAAGCGACGGAGAAAGGTGAGTCTCCATCAGCTCGTCAATGCTGACGGCAGTCTTCCGCTGGCGTTTCCGCCAAGAAGCCAACTCAACCGAGGTATTCTGAGCCTGCCCCTCGAAGCGACACACCTTCACTCAAGCGCGTTGGACCGAGCAAAGATAGTCTGAAAACTCCGCCAAGGGACCAGACCGACTCAGTCGGAAAGACTCCATCCAAGACCCCATCAAAGATCGCTAAACCCAGTATCGCGACGCGACCAGCACCTCCAGCCGGAGCACCACCCGTGGACAATCGACCTCCTCTGATCGCTATCCCCCTTACCATGCTCTTCCTCATCTTGATGAGCTCGATCACGGGTTGGCAAAAAGCGTCTCAAGAGATCGGTTTCTGCGACACTGGGTCCTCAACGAATAATCTTCTCCTTGCAAGGACCGCCGCAATAGAGGCTGCCAATTCATGTATTGCTCGTCGCACGGCTCAGGCTCTGGATGACCCATCAGCGCCTCGGGTTGAATGCGATGTTTCTGCTCTACCCCTTTTGCCCTTCATCCCACGCCCTTCGACTTGTGCCCCCTGCCCTCAACATGCTGCCTGTGCAAACGGGCGATTCTATGGCTGCAAACATGAATACGTCTACTCGGAGAACCCGCTTGGCGAGGTATTCTCCGCTCTCAACGGCATGCCCTTCTTCGGGCCACGGGCTTTCCCCCCAACTTGTCGACCTGATACAGTCAGGAAGAGGTTGATCGGGACCCTAGCAAAGGAGATGGAAAAGGACCTGGCCCGAGGTCGGGGTGCGATCGTGTGTGCTGGTTACGGTGCCGAGGATGGACGCAGAGGCCCGGGCGAAAGATTTGGCCTTGAAGAGAGCAAACTCAAAGCTCGGTACTTTAACCGACGAGACGTGAGCTAGCGTGTTGATCAGTACTGACCAGATAGCCCAAATTCACCCCAGAGCAATTCTCAGAGATCTACGACGCGGCATTGGCGGATCTTGTCGAGCACGATGATGTGATCGAGTCGATCGATGCTGAGTGAGTAGTTCGATTGATCGTGCTGATCAGTCTAGTGGCCGGTCATGGTACACATCCGCGCGGCCAGAATTCAACCTTTCGTGCAAGATTAAATTGGCTGTATTCAGTCTCTTTCGGAAATGGCGGTCTCAGCTGATAGGTGAGGACATATTGGGGGCAACGCTCACGGCAGGTTCTGGCATTGTCTTGGTCATCATCTCCTATCTTCGATCAACACTGCGTCACCGACGCGCTGAAAAATATCAGGCCGAAGAGCTGGTGCAAGTCGTCCTCAAGCGACTTCAAGATCAGGCGAGTTCACTGGTAGAGCTCCGCTGATAATTAGGAATCACTGCATTACACCGATCCTGTCACCACACCGAACCCTTTCATCCCGCCTACCCAATTGCGAGACCTAGTCTTACCGCCAAAAGGCTCGTCGAATTCTCGAACGAGGTTATGGCAACGGGTTCAGGACCTCGTCGAGGCCAATGCAAACGTATCTGTGAGAGAGCAAGAGGTCAAAGGGGAGATCTGGAAAACGTGGGAATGGGCAGGTGTTGGTGAACAGCGCCGTGTGTCGTTTGAGTAGTGTCTACGGTGTCATGCAGCATTAGGCGGAGACTGGGAAGACGAGCCGATTGCGCGGCGTCGGCGGCCAGAGGGAGTCTGCTACCGTCGAAGGGGGCTTATGACCAGAGGCACCACATTTATGATCATACCATGCGGCGTTCGCCGACTTCACCAGCGACACTGTGTCCACTTCTGTTAGGCGGTCTATCGATCCATCCGTTACATGTCTACGATTGTATACGCTCTCATCGCGATCGTTGTAGTCTGGCTTCTTCTTCCCACTATGGCAAGTGATTCCACTTTGACGTCGCTGATCTCCCAGTCTCGGCTCGGTGGGACCAAGTCGAAAGATGCGGGGCTCATCTCGGAGATTCGAGAGATTACAGGAGCAACGTGAGGAACATGACGTGAGGTGGTCTGATGAGCAGCTTGGCCGATGCTCAGAAACTCGTGAAGAAGCACAGGACGGTAGAGGGAGTGAGTATACCTAACGCGATTCGAGCTAATACCCAGGCCATTGAAGCTTTCTACTCTGATCCTTCGATGCAACGGCATGCGACGACGACGAAAGAAGACAAGACGAAGGAGAAGAAACTGGGTGATGTCTGGGAGAAGTTTAAGGGTGAGCGAGTGTATTCCTACGATGCTGAAGATAGATCCATCCGATCCCAAATTGATCAAGATTGACGGGACGATGCAATTATGTGAGGAGCTAGATATTGATCCGTCAACAGTGAGTTGGAAACTTTCTCAACCTCAAGGAGTCGTTCAACTCATCTGGCTTTCAGGACTCGGTCCTGTTTTGTCTCGCTGCGGATCTGGGATCAAAAGTCACGGGAGAATGGGAGAAAGGTCCATGGGTTTCAGGATGGTCATCCATGCCTGGCAAGTGAGCCGACTGACCCGACCGCCTTAACTTTTTTCTTATACAATTGCTGAGAACCCAACGCTAGTATCGATTCGATTGAAGGGATGAAAGCTCGACTCCCAGCGCTTCGAGAAAAGCTCAATACTGAGCCTGCATACTTTAAAAAAGTTTACATGCACACGTTCGACCTGGTCAAAGCTCCAGGAGCTCGAACGTTGGCCCTCGATACAGCTATCGACATGTGGACATTGTTCATACCTCCCGCTCTGCAAGCTTCTCCTTCGGCACTCTCACACCTCCCTTCATCCACTACATCCCTCTTCTCAATGCAAGATTTTGAATCTTGGATCGAATTTCAACGTCAACGGGGCAAAGCAGTATCAAAAGATACCTGGACATTGTTCATTGACTTCGTCCGAACCATTGATGCGGATTTCAAAGATTACGACGAGGAAGGTGAGTGTGGAACGAACAACGTTCCGAGTTGACAATAGCGGCCTGGCCATCGACAATTGACGACTTTGTGGAGCATGTGAGAGCATCACGAAAGGCATAGATTTCACATGTATTGCATCTAGATGATGCTGGTATGCAGATTACCGGCCCCGCCCCCTGTCACGGACACGGGTGAAGCGAAGCGGCGAGTGTCGTGGTGTGAGCGTTCACGAAGCCGGAAGGGGTGTGTGATGCCAGCGAAGGGGCAGGGCAACCTACAGGGTAGGACATGTGCGGGCCACCGTGGGATAACCGCACAGCGATGATCCCTCAGGGGTGGTCATTGCTATCTCGCTCTTGGTCGAGGTCATAGTGCATTTGCGAGGACAGATTCACACAAGTCTTTCGCTCAGCTGAAAGCGAGAAAACGTACAAGTACGGTCGGATATGAAGCTAGGAGGGCTATGCCGAGGAGACAGATCTTCTTTCTAGTGCTGTACCTGACGACTCTCGACTCGACATCCTTAAGTCCGTGAGAGCGGGCGGGCCGTCGAGTCGGACATTTTCCGAAAACTGATCATTCGAACCTATACACACCTGACCATGTCCATTCTCACGTTGAATGAAGGACTCGCCGTTCGGCAGTTCAAGCAAGGAGATGCAGAGGCTCTTGTCAAATACCTGAACGACTCTGAAGTGTTACACAACCTTACCAACCGCATTCCTCAACCTTACACACAAGCTGCTGCCGAGTGGTGGGTCAATCACTGTATTGACAAGTCTTCCTGGCTCGAATCAGGTCCTTGGCCAACAAGGGAGAATGCTGAGTCGGCTCCTTTACATCATGTCATCACCTTGAATGACCAAGTGATCGGCTCGATCGCTCTCGAAATGCAGGACGATGTCTATTGTCGAACAGCTACCCTTGGATACTGGCTCGCTCGACCGTACTGGGGTCAAGGCATCATGACTCGAGTCGCGGGCCCATACGTTGAATGGGCCTTCGCGACCTTTGGAAGGATATGGCGTATAGAAGCGAGCGTCTTCGATGGGAATGAAGGGAGTGTGAGAGTATTGGAGAGAGCAGGATTCAAATTTGAAGGTCGAAAACGAGGATCAGTCTGGAAACATGGCAAGATACGAGACGACCTAATACATGGCATAGTCAGAGACAAAGAACTAGCATAATAAGAACACCTTCAAGGCTCTTCAGCATCTTCGAACATGCTCGTATTCCCAGGACTGTAGCGTAGAGAGGAAGGACAGGCGATCTTTCGAGCGGCTTCGTCTAAGGCGTCAAGGGCGCTCTGACTGCTATCGGCTTTGGCAAGGTTTGGCGGTCTAGATAGCAGCTTGTAGGCTAGTTGGACGGTGGCTTCGTGAACCGACCGATGAGATTCCTCGGAGGATAGGAAGGACGGTGCCGAGGTGCATGATTGTCTTTGATCGTTTGTTGGATCCCACGAATTGGGCAGTGGCAAGGGGTCCGATGATGGGGACGGCGAGAGCAATACTGATGACGAAGCAGAGGCAGGTAAAGAGCATCGAGCTTGCGATCGGGCGTGAGCTGGTAGAGGCATTCGGAGTGGCAGGTCGTCGTCGTTGTCATCATCATGAATGTCATCAACGTAGTCCGGTACATTCTTCCCCGCCATGTCCTCCTCCTCCACGGGCAGCTTTACAGTTTTCACCCGGTCCGAAGCCAAAGACTCAGGATATCGATCCGATACCATCGCTTCGACAAGGTCAATATCGGACGACTGGTCGTAAGACTCTCCGTCAGATTCGTCCTCTGGTCGTTGAGAACTCGACGGTGTCACAATGTCAAGGTCAAAGGACGACCGACTCTGAGTGTGTGTCAAGCGTTGCCGCGAGGGGTCACGAACGGTTTGAGGAGTCGAGGGTGAGGGTAAGGGTAGAGCTGCACGCGATGATACAGGCGAAGATGTCCGTGGTCCAGTCGAAGGCTTGGTAGGCGTTTCCAGATCCGAGGTGCGGATCGAATGGAACAGCTGAGAGCAAGCCAAAGGCGATGGTTCCAGGGTAGATATCGGCGATGGGAGCCATGATCCAAGCGGGATGCTCTCCTTTGGCTTGTTAAGGGGCTTCTTATCCTGCGCCTCAAATACGTCGAGGAGACTCGCTGACCAGTCCTCGCCTTCATCTGCTAGCTTCAGCTTTGAGAAATGTCTGAGCTGATCGGACAGTCGCTTCTCGGATCGTGAGGTGGTGGGCACAGGCTGTGGCAACAGGAAAGGATCCGAGTGGGATTCTGGTATACTGGCTGATCGGTATTCGAGACGAGACTCCACTCTGCTCAACGTCTCGGCTTGCCGATTCCTCGCCGCTGTGATGAGCAATAGATCATGCTCTGACAATCCTTGCCGCCTGAGTTCCTCCAGCCATACAGGTGGTAGGTCTTCGAGGGTCGGTGAGACGTGCAAGTCGTGCTGCGGGTCAGACAGAAGCTACAGGCCTATATGCTCACCTCAACATTAAATGGTAGACCTATACCGTCATCGCCTAGATCCTCATCGTCTTCCCGTAAGCTCAATTTGGTCATGGTAGGAGCTCTACTACGAATGGCGGTGCTATCCGACGCGGCTCGCTTGACAACGCTCCCCATGCGACCTAACCCTCTACCGAGTCCAGCTAGAAGCTGTCCACTGGACCGTTTCTTACCTAAGGAGGAGGAACCTCGAGACGCAGCGACGTTCGGCCCGGAGCCTCGTCGGCCATGTTCATTCGCCAGAGGAGATGGAGAGACCGGGGCAAAAATGGGCTTGGTTGGTGTCGTCATGGATCGGATAGACGTTCCAGTCCGCATAATTGCAGGTGAATGCGGTGCTATGATGGTATTGGTGGAATTGAGCGTTGACGTAGACCCGGAATAGTGCGAGTGAGCGTAAGGTGAAGCAGCAGTGGCGGATCGGGTCGGCTTGGCCGGGGACAGGTTGGTATAAGTGGTGTAGACACGAGGTGTACTGAGAAAGCAGAGTCAGCGGAAAGATCAATTTTACTTGCCCTCTTTTTGTCTCTGAGCCTTTGTGTGCGTATGTAACGTCGATCCCTCCTCGATCACAACTTACAAATGCTTCTTCTCGCTAGCTTGTAGCCCGAGAGCGTTCTCACCGAATTCTCCAGGCGGTAGTTTAGGCAGGTCTTTGTCTCGCTGCGAAGACATGATCAATGAGCTGGACCGAGGCGGAGTCAAAGGGATGAGTCAAGCAAGGAGATAGTGAAGCGTGCGAATATGAGCAGCTTCTCAAAGGGAGTGCGGTATGCGAGAGCCAAGTGATAATAGCTGAGATACGTTTGCTCGTGGTCGAGACTAGAGAAAAGAGAGAGAGAGAGAGACACAGAGATAGACAGAGGGACAAAGGGGATGAGGATTGAGGATGATTGAATTGAATTCAATTCTATGCTGGCCTGGCCTGTGTTCAGGGTCAACAGTGTTCCCTTCCCTTCTTGCTGCGCGACACACAGACCACCGCGTCGTTTGGAATCATCATAGTACAATGGTCAGTGAGAGGACGCGTCTCATCAGTCGCTCGGCTTGACGATCTTCTGATGAGTATCATGGAATGCGATCCATCATGCGTGTGTCCATCATGTGCTCGAACGTAGCAGCAACCGAGCAACGCTGCTCGTCTTTCTCTTGTCCAACAGTGGACAACCTCCCTCCGAGGTTCTACCTGCCATTCCATCTCCGCTGCACGGATCATCCCGTCTCTTTAAATCGGTTCCCCTTCATGTCCAGTGGGATACGGGGCCAGCAGCTGGAAATTTTGGTTGTTGAAGAACGATCCACGTTCAAAAAGTTCCAACTTCTGGGAATCATAGGTTGAAGATCCATCTTCGTGCATCATGTAAGTCGCAGAGATTGTCACCCTTCACTGACACTTAGGTCTCGCCCACCTGTTCTCGGGGTCAACTTTGGCCAATCCTACGCTTCCATCGCTGTTATCGACAAGGAAGGTCATCCTCTGTGTATTGCCAATGAAGAAGGAGAGAGACAGATCGCCTGTGCGATCTCGTACGCTGGAGAGGAGGTGGTCAGTCTGTCCTCCGCATTTGATTGGATTCACACTGACACTCCTCTCACAGTACATCGGAAACGGTGCCAAACCGCACTTGGTGAAAAATGGCAAAAACACCATCATGGGATTCCGAAACCTCCTAGGTCACACTTACGACGAGGTCGACCATACGGCCATTCTCACTGCTCCTCTGATTCCTGACTCCAAGACTCCAGCCTACACCGTGGACGTTCTTTTACCTCCTACCAAGGCTCCGACCCCCGCTCCGCGTTCAGCTGCTCCTTCTGGAACAGCGACGCCCAACCCTGGAGCCAACGAGCCGGTCCCATCTACAAAGACGTTGACAGTCCCCGAAGTCACTTCTCTCTTCCTCTCCACCCTCCTTGGATCCGCTACCGACTTTCTCGGTGTCAAACCGACTCAGTGTGTCATTTCAGCCCCTACATGGTTCACCCCAGCTCAGCAGGAGGCCTTGAAAGCGGCGGCGGAAGACGCAGGAATGCAGGTCTTGCAAGTGCTCGATGAGGCTGCGGCTGTGTTGGTCGGATACCGTGTAGGACTGAGCGAAGAGCGAAAGGAGCGAGGCTTGTTGGGTCAGCCCGAAGAAGGTTCTGCAGGGGAAGAGGAAAAGCGAGACAAACGGGTCGTCGTGCTGGACATGGGCGAGACGAGTCTGAGCGTTAGCGTGGTTCAAGTGTCAGAGGGTGAATACACTGTGCTCGGTCGCGGACGAGACGACAAGCTTGGTGGAAGAGAGTTTGACGACTTGGTGAGCTTTTTCCATTACGACTGCCACTGACACACACAGCTCCTAAAACACTTTGCCAAAGAATTCAGCAAAAAGACAAAGGTCGACCTTGACCTGCCGTGTGGAGAGAACGCATCGGCCGTTGACAAGCGAGCCGAGGCAAAGCTGAGATTGGCAGTCGAGCACACGAAGCGATCACTGTCAGCTTCAAGTGGTGCTGCAACTTGCGCAGTGGTATGTGCTTTCCTCCTTGAGCATCCCTTAACCCTTCCAGGAATCCCTCAAGGACGGAATGGATCTGTCCACCGCCATCAACAGATTGCGTTTCGACGGTCTTGCGTCTGGTGTTTACAGCAAGATTGGCCAAAAACTCGTCTCCGTCGTCGAGTCAGCATCTCTCGATCTCAGCCAGATCGACGAGGTGCTCCTTGCCGGTTCCTCTACCCTCTTCCCTGGTCTTCAATCTCACCTCGCTCTCCTTCTCCCGCCCACAACACCCGTCACTGCCGCCATTGACCCATCTCAGGTCATCGCGATCGGATGCGCCCTCACAGCACTGCATCTCTCAGAACTAGAAGACGGTCTCAAGGTCGACGATGTCCTTGCTCTCGCTAAGGAGCCAGTTGTCTGCACATCCGCTCCTATCGGTCTCGTTGTTCCCGGCTCAGAAGAGTTGATCAAAATCATCTCAGCGGGTGCTCCCTTACCTGTCAGACGGCGTGTCGCCATTCCGGTCGAGCAGGGAGCTTCGCAGGTCGGCTTTGAGCTCTGGGAAGGCAAGGATGAAGTCAAGGTGGAAAAGGTGGAGAAAGCACCCGTGGAAAAGGATGAGGATGACGAAGATGATGATTACGAGGAAGAGGATGAGGAGGCAAAGACTGCCATTACCGTCAAGACCAAGGCGCTCGGCGGACTTCAGGTCGACCTCAAGAACGGAGGCAATGTCATCTTGGAGATCATTGTGCAACGAGGAGGTGACATCGAGGCGAGAGCTTGGGAAGAGGGTCGAGAGAGCGAGGCAGACAAGCTCGCATAGATACATTTTATTGCATATGCATAGGCATAGGGGCGCAAGATCACCGTAGTTTCTTATCTTCAAAGTATGTCTGGAGATGTCAGCTCTTGAGAAGATGATTGAGACCCACCCTTAGATACCTCATTTGCCCGAAAGCCGCTCCCACCAAGACAACAATCTGAATGATGCTCCACCAAACGGCTCGACTGTTGGTTTTCTCACTTGCGTCCCGGAAGGTAGCTTCGACTTCGCGCATGTACTTTTGTTCCAATTGGATCTCTTTGACTTTGGTGTTGAGGTCCCTGATCTTCGTAGCGAGAGTCGTGACGTGGGAGACGTCGTCGCTGGGAAAGAGAGGTATGTGTCAGCCTGAACCAAGTTTGCTCAAGTTGGAGCTCCAACTACACCCCGCCCCCCACGCGGGCTGTCGGATGGAAGGGCTTGCTCGACCACACCCACCTCATATCCTTCTTTGAGCTTCCCACATTGATGTCCAAGTACATCTTGATGTGTTCTGATCCACCTATCCAGCTCCCACTCGATACATTGCTATGTAGGCAAATCTCATGATCGCCCGAATCATGCGACGTGAACGTGAATTTGCCTTCAGGTGGTCCACGGGTATTGACAACGTTGTGACCTGAGGCGAGTTCCTACGTGGAGCGGGCGAACGAGCGAGCGAGCGTCAGCTTGCCAGACTGACTCTCTCATGAGCTTCATCACTCCACCGCACCTGCACTTCCACTTGAATACCCATGCCTTCCTTTCCTCCCCATTCTTTCCTCTCCTCATTCCAGACCAGGGCGCGATAATGGCCTAAAAGGTGCATCTCAATATCTTATACCTTCGCTTATAGAGGCAATTGACCCCACCCTCAACGATAGTATCTGAAGGCAGCTCTTCCAAGAAACATCGCTTCTCGTGTGATTCAAAGTAAAAATGGAGCGCCTGGTATACAATACAGCCTCGTCAGCAAAATTGATAGCATGGACGACCTGTGGAGACTCACACTTGCTACATTTAACACTGCTAATAGTGCAAGTGTTGGATGTAGGCGCATTTTGGAGTATGACAGAGTCGAAGCACAGAAAGACAACAATGAAAGACAGTTCGGTGACAGACAGACAGCATTTCGCGTGGAACGTCTCGTCTCGTCGAAAAAATCCGTGGCGATGAAAGGTGGCACGGCACGACGGGTTGTAGGTCTCTCGCTGCATCGCCCAAGCCATATGCATCAACTATGTAGATGCCCGCTCAAACCCTCCCGTTTCTGTCTACCTCCCGATCGTACTCCTCACAGACAGCCTGCAGCATCAAATTTCATCAATCGTTAAAAACAGGATCATCGTGTACAAAGTCTTCTCCCCAGATCAGTGCCATCGCTCCCTCTTGGGAGTTCATAACTATCCCATCCTCGCGGGACTAACCAAGACATCCCCACTCCCCATCCTTCGATGAGCAGATCGTGTACTGCTCTGTACCGACGCGACTGAACCTTGCCTTTGTCGTATATGTGGACTGACAGCAGACACAGCCCCATTCGCACTATGCTGTTGAGTCATGGCGTGATCCGTGCTACTCCCCTTGCGTGACATGGCTTCGGCCTCTAGCTTTTCCTGATAGGCATCGTAGGCATAGGTCACCGGCTTGATATAAGCCTCGTCGGCGAGAAGCGATTCCGACGATGCGGAAGAAGCAGACTTTTTGGTGGTCGATAGGCCGAACATGTCATTAGGGTCAAAGGTGGCTGGAGAGCGGGTCAGTTGGTCGCGGTCTCAAAGCCTCTCAGAGCTCTCTCAGCGCTCACAATCTGGGTCCGCCGCTTGAGCCCTTCGCTTACCCAAAGCTTTGCGGCTGGGTTGACTTGGTGCCTCGCTATCATCCTGCCCATCGTCATGCGTACTGCCAGTCCCTGACCGTGAGGGATTACTGGAGTGGCCTTGAAGACTGGAATGACCCTGTTGCGAATTAGGTACGCTTGACAGCCCATCACGAGCGAAAGGATTGGGTAAGGGTCTTCGACTTTTACCCATGCCAAGAGGGGAGGCGCGACCAGGCGAATTGGTTATTCTAGGCAGACGGTCCGGCGAAGGCGTTCGTGAACGGTTCTCGAGGGATCTGGCGGCCGGGATCGGAGCTGGTAATGGTGAGGGGCCACGTCGAGGAGATGCAGTAGGCATAGCATGGTCCGGCGCGGGAAGACGAGCATGTGGTGCAGGCGATGGAGATCGCGAAGATGATGCAGTAGTTCCCGGCTTGAGCATATCGTCCATCATTGACTGGAACGTCAGCTCAGCCTTGACGGTCTTCACTCACCGTCCTCTGCATCCTTGTATCTTTCTTGCTCCTCTCCCTCACCTCTCTCATCTCTCTCTCATCCCTGGCCATGCGCTCCAGGTCGTCGTGCTGCTTCAGAGCGTCTCCCAAGGCATTATGAGCATCCAGCAAGCTTGACAAGGCGTCCTCCTCAATGGTCGACCCGCGAGCCTGGTCGTCCGACCCGTCCATGCGGGCGTGGATAAGGACTCTCTCACGCGATTGACCCGCCTCCGCTTGCGCCCATCCGATTTGGCCGGTGAGACTCTCATGAGCGAGGAAGCATTTGCGGTAAAACTCGTGAATCAAAGGTTTGTGTTCCAGTTCGTCAGGTCGAGTGAAGACCAACGCCTCCGCCAACACCCTTGCGGACTCCCTCGCGGCGGTGCACTCCTCTAGCAGTCGTCGCAGATCCTCGCCATGGTCCGGCAAAGCTGCGTAACCCGGCCCACGATTATGCGGCTGCCGTATCGGCACAGGGGGAGGCACAGAGTTGGCGTCAGGGGGTCGTGTCGGCTCGTAAAAGGTATCTGGGGCAAAGGCCTGATGATCGGCCGGAAGAGGGATGCCCTGAATGTCAGCTTCAGTGCGAACCTTTACCCACGAAGTCTGCATCCTGAGGCATCTTGACCTTCTTCCATAACTCGACTAGCGCCTCACTATTCTGACCATAATTGTAGGTCAAATCGGCAATCACGTCGGTCATGACTTTGCGGGTGGAAAGTGAGACGAGTGGTTTGTTGGGAGGTGACATGAGGATGGTATCAAGAGGAACGAGGAACTTTTTGCTCGAAGCGTACGCTGATCGTCAACGACCTGGTCAGTGGCGTCTGACTTACTTTGAAAGGCCTTGTTCGTATTTTGCATCATGATCAACCAAAGATGGGTAGCAGCTCTACGTTCCGCTTCGTTCCCATGTTTGAATTGCTTGCGCAGGGCGTGAGCTGCTTCTTTGGAAACACTGTCCGTTTGAGTCGAATGATTGATCCGCTCGCAAATCTCAAACGAGGTGGAAAAGGGAGGATCGGGGTGAGAGCATAGCATTTCTGGCGTCAGTGGTAGTTGCGATCGTACCGACTCACGGATAGCGGTCGTGACATTGTCCGCTGTGGAGATGGTCGTATCCTTGTCACCGCCTCCTCCTACTCGGCCAAATAGCATTCCCCTTGAGCGATGCTCGTCATGACCGTGAGAGCTGGGAGCATCCTGAAAGTTTTCCACGAATCTCGACCCTTCATCCGGCGTCATGGGCCGACTTCTATCCTTGCGCTCCCTCTCCCAAAGATTGGACATGCCCCAGAACTTTTTCTTCTCCTTGCCATGGACCTCATCGGGTGTAGGCGCCTCGATCCGTATCGACGCAATCTGTTCCTCCAAAGGCGCTTGAGCAAAAGGAGGAGAGAACGGATGTGCCTGGGGAAAGGGCGCGTCGGTCATCTCGGGGGAGCTGTAGGCATTGTTGGCGAGGGGAGAGCGCATCACGGGAGGCGGAGCAGGATAATTAGCGTGTTCATGATCTGATCGTTGCGAGTTTGACCCCGCAGAATACCCTCTATCTCTATTTCTCGTGTTCGGAGATTGGAATTGCTCCATGGGCTCAACACCATGTTGACCGTGAGAGGTCGAGTATGAGGATTGAGACGGAGCATAAGGTCGAGTGGGAGTGGAAGATCTAGGGAGTGTATGTTGTTGAGGTGATGGAGGTCTGGCACCTGGAGGCAAGTATAGACCTTGCGGAGGAGATCCGACCCATGATCCTTCCTCTTGCGGAGATATGCGTTGAGATGCGAGCCATTGATCTCGACGAGAATCTCGTTCCTGCTCCTGAGCATGGGCTTGCATCTGTTGGATCTCCAGCAAGGATGGAGCGGTATGCGAATTCGGCATGGATCTGTCTTTGCCTTTCCCAGTTGGACGGTTGGTACCCAAGTCGACCGGGAATGGGGTCACACCATGTTTCGGTCGCGAATCGAGGAAGCCATGGTTTATCATATGATGACCATCCCTATCCGGTAAGAACGGATTTCCAATGGATCGTTTGGGGGCATGATTGGATTGTGGCGGGGCTGTTGCCAGTGAAGGTTGTTGAGACGGTTGAAGAGGCGGCGGTGGTGGACTCGAATAATGATTAGTAGGCGGTGGAGAAGGAGGCGGTGGTGGGAGAGGATCGATCCCTGGTTTGCTCTTGAACAAGCGCTTCATGGCGTCGAGTGGTGTGTGGAGACGGCGAGGGGAAATTAGCCTCGCCCCTTCTCCACTTCACAAGACGCCAGCACTTCAAGAAGAGCGGTCGTCGCTGCACCCAGTGTATCGACGACGACGAGATGTCGCCAAAAAGTGAGTTTGAACGGCACCAAAGTGATGTGATAAAAGCATCCAAAGGAGGCGCCCGAGGCTCAATTTTTAGTTAATGTTATTATTATTATCGAGGTATGTTCCAAAGGGCGTATACTCGGTGGTCCCGGGAATCGCAGCTGGCAGATGTACGCGTTGGCGATGATTGTACAGCAGTCCAAGCAGCAGCAGCAGCAGCAGCAGCAGCTGGCTGTCCTCTTTGAACTGGTTGTTTCAGCGCTGCGAAAAGGAGCAGAGGGCGTTTCGTTGCCGCCAGGAAGATCGTCGTTTGGTGGGGAGTGTGGGTGGCAGAGAGAGGGAGAGCGAGGGTGGCCACCTGAAAATGCTGTGCCGGAGGGAGGGGCGTCAGGGTGAAAAGAAGAAAATTATTTCAGTGTCAGCTAATAAACTTGCATATACCATATTCAACGACGACCAACTGCATGTACAACATTTACATATATATATGCTACATTCTATCCACTGGCCAACTCTGCAATCAGCTGACAGGCCATCTCTAAGAAGTGGAATGGACCAGACACTCCACCAATCGTAGCGCCTCCATCTACACCCGGTTTCCTGACACCACCACCTCCGTTGGTCGCACCCACAGTGTCATACTCATCGGCAGACTCGCCAACGTTGTAGTACCCTATATTTCTAAAATCCACCAAGTAATTGGCAGCATCTACTCGGTAGAGCTGCAGATCCATGCGAACCTGTGTCTTGGTGATGAGCTTTGGATGTCTTGGCATTTTTCTCTCCCTCTCTCTCGATCGCTCACCATAATATCTCCGTACTGCGCTCGCGTCTCCACCAAGTACAGCCCCTGCGCAGCCTTATCCTGAACCGAAGCTTCCTTCTTCCCTGGGGGACGTTTGCCCATCACAGGCGCCACACCGTCGTGCTCTTCTGTCCATTGCTCAATGGCATTGATCACATCCTCGGGATAGCCGCCAGGTGGAGGCAGACCCACTTCAGGCATCGCGATGCCTTCTTTGCGTCTCCATTGCATACCCAACGAGTTGAGGACCTTGTAAATCTCTAGCATGACCTCCATCGGCGGAGATCTCGACCGAATGCCAAAGTGCCATTTAGGTCGAGCGATAGGCTTGGTACGCGGTGGAGGGTCAAGCAATGCGCGAGCGGCTCGTTCGGCCAATTCTTGCTGATGTTTGTCGTCCGTCTGAGGTGTGCTGTGACCTGGCAGACTGGTATCAAGCACGCCGAAATGTGCGTTGGGGATGTCTTGAATGTCTTGTTCTACATCCTCTTCCCAGTCCATTTCTTCGGGACCCGGCTGAACCATGGGCGGTGGAATGTTGGTGTTCCACGCCGGCGGAGAAGAAGCCATGAAGTCTGCCATTGCAGTGTTCTCATCGTCATCCATGGTCAGGGCTGAATCATCAGCACGAGAAATGATCTGGTACTCACAATCTTTCAGGATCCGTCGATGGTCCCTGACCAGTTGATACGCCACCTTGACCTGATTATCACCATCCTTCTGAAGCGCATCCCAAACCATGGCTTCGGTATACGTTGTTATCTTCTCCAACAGCGCTGAGACAATTTCCGGATCAATGATGCCGAGGTCCTCTGAGAACACCAGACCCTTCTCCTCTGCCACACGTTTCGGATCCGCCTCGCCTTCGTTGATCAACAACAAGGTTTGCATATCGTCCATGGGCAGAGTCGGCCAGCGATCCAGTTCCGGCAGTGGATTGAGATATCGAGGGAGATTATGTTGGAAGAAGGGCATGGAGCGAATCTCACTGATAGTCGCCCTCTTGAGGGGATCGACCGTTAGCATCCGCCTCAGCAGGTGCCGAGCTTCATCTGAGACATGGCTTGGAACGTGGAATTGACCGCCTCGGATATCAGCTCAAATTCGGTGGACCCGCTCACTTTCAATCTTCTTAAACAACATGGGAATGTTCTCGTCGTCGAATGGAAGCTTGCCGCAGAGCAGTACATACATGATGACCCCTGCACTCCAGACGTCGATCTCAGGTCCAGAGTAGAGTCTGTCGTCAGCAAGGGGAAGAGCTACTAGGAACTCACTTTCCAGAGATGACTTCCGGTGCGGCGTAGTTTGGACTTCCGCATGAAGTCTTGAGAAAGTCTCCATCCGTCATCAGGTTTGACAGTCCGAAGTCGCCGATTTTGATATTGTTCCGAGCGTCGAGAAAGAGGCTAGGATGTCAGTACGCGGACCGGCTAGTTGGCTCACTTTTCAGGCTTCAGATCACGATGAACGATATGATGTCGGTGACAGTATTCTATAGCACCGATCATCTGCTGGAAGAACCGTCTTGCTTCGTCCTCAGCCATCTGGTATATTAGCCCAAAACCCCCTCCACGGAACCTACTCCTCCTTTGCCCTTGTCCACAATGTACGTGAACAGCTCTTCACCGGCATACTCCATGACCATGACTACATCAGTCGGGGTGGTAATGACTTCGTATCTGATCCGATCAGGTCCAGTCCTCTTTGTGCGGGGCTCACAGCTTGATGATATGAGGATGCCTCAGGACTTTGAGATACTGGATTTCTCTCTTCACCCTCGCATTCATATCTGGCGTAGTGATCTTGGCTCGGTTGATAAATTTGAGCGCTACTTCGTGACTGGTCACCATGTGTGTAGCGACTGAGCTCATTGATCAGTCTAGATTCTCGTTGGCTATCCATGACTCACGCTTGACTTTGCCAAATGACCCCGTGCCGAGAGTCTTGCCCATCTGATACAGACCTATCCTCTGCTTTTGCCGCGGCCTATCTCCATGATGGGACGATGATCCACTCGCTCGAGCTTTTGTACCTCCTGGCAACGGAGGTGCTGGTCTCGTCGCCATTGTGAAGCGAAAGGTCGGATGGCTTGTGTGCTCTGTGATTCCCAGACGTGGATTGAAATGGGAGGATTGTATGTGAGGCCAAAATCCCCGGCGACGTGGGGTGAGTGCACTGGCGTGTGTCAAGTTGGGAAAATTACTCAAAGTGGCAAAAAAGTTCAGATCATTGAGGGTCTCCCCTCCCCCCTTTGCTCTCCTCGTCGTCCTCCTCCTTCTGTCTGCTATAACCCTCTCTCAATTGCCATTTCGGCACGACCTGGACTCTTTCAGTGCGACCTTCCTTCTCCTACGTCTCTACGACCACGACCTCGCCTCGACCTCCTGACACCATGGGCAACACTCCCTCTGCTCAAGCGTCACCAGCTCGAGCGACAGGAGGAAACGGACAGAAAGCAATCTCTCCTCAACTAGGTCAATCAGATACCGTCCCGAATCCCAATCGACCCAATCTACGCTTACCTCTTCCTCAACGAACGAGTCAAATATCTACACCGAATGATTCGAATCCTGCTTCACCGTCCGGTGGTGCCAGAGGGAATTCGCCTAGACGGCGTAAATCTCTCGAACTACCGGATCTCAACAAGCTGAGCTTTACCCCTGCTGTCCCTGCGGCTCCTGTCCATACTATGGCCACAGCTACGGGCCCCACATCCCAGGGTAAGCGTGTAGAGCCAGATGGAGGATCTCCATCTCGTCGTTGGAAAATGGGTCTGGGTCCTCGGAAATCCGGTCTAGGAGCCATGACCAGGATTGACGCATCACCACGCGCTGTCTCTGGATCAAAGGACGACTCTTATTTTCCCAATGATGCAGACCGGGGGCGCACTCGTGCAGTCGAGCCTATAGCTATCCCTGGTCGTAAAGAAATGTCTCAATCACCAGGTGGGACTCCACCCAAACCTCCTCCTCCGACCGTCGCCCCCTCCCCGCCCACACATCGTCCAATGGACCCCCTCGCGCCAACAGAGGAAGGAGAAGCTGACGGATCGGTTTCTGTACCTGTGCGCTGGGAGGGAAGCGGAAAGCAAGTCTCAGTGATTTGCGATTTTGCAGACAACTGGAAGAAGCGGATTAAGCTCAACAAAGTGTAAGTGATTTTTCCCCCCGTTCATGACTGATCTTTCAGTGATGGGGTATTTGAAACCATTTTACGTGTTCCACCGGGACAGTATCGACTGAAATTTCTGGTGGACGACTCCTGGCGATGCTCCAAAAACATCCCCACAGCTACAGATAATGACGGAACTTTGGTCAACTGGCTCGAGGTTGAAGCCCCAAAGACTGAAGACGAATCCAGAGCAGAATGGGCCATGGACTCGAAGCCACCAGCGCCAAAGCACGAAGATAGTGAGTATTGCATTGACTCCCTTGGCTGACCTTATTCAGTCGATGACTCGCAATGGACATCTACGATCCCAGCTCCTCTCTTCCTCTATCAATACTTGGAGGAATTACCCTCTACTATGAGCGCAGAACAATGGTCTCAACACTACCGTGATGTTCCCCATCTTACGGCCGTACCTCAGCCGCCTATGCTTCCCAGAGTCCTCGAGAAAGTCATCGTCAATTCTGATGCGAGGAAACAATTGTCAGACGAGGTGTTGCCTGGATCCGCGACACCTGCTGGTACAGATGATAATTCCATCTTGGCCATTCCTAATCATGTCATCCTGAATCACCTCACGGCGAGTGCCATCAAGCATGGCACACTGGGTGTGGGCACCACGACGAGGTACAGGAAAAAAGTGAGCGTGAACCTCCAGCGGATGTACTGACCTCCAGTTTATCACGACAATGTATTTCAAGCCCACACTTCAGGATCTCATGGAAGGCAACCCTGGCGTGCAGAATGTACCAGAGAGATCAGAGACCACTACTGAAGCTTGATAAGACTTTGGCACGCATAGAAAGCCGTAGAGAGTGTAGAGTGTATCCCATGTTGTAGCCTATACGAATGTGACATGAATTTTATACGTCCACCGGCGACCCCGGTGGAATTCACTGAAAACGCGAATCGCTCATTCTCTACCTCTCTTCTACATCCTGCGAAACATCATGAGTCCCCGTTCTCGGGGCATGGTTGTCCTCGCCTTTCTCCTATCCTTCCTCTTTCCTGTGCTTGCCATCCAAGCCAACGTTGCTGGTATAGTGGACTGGCACAAACCGCTGATTGGCGAGCCTCATCTCGGACCCACCCCTCCGGGAATATACGATACTTCAAAGGGAAGGCGTGTTGTCTCTCTGACCAAGAAGAACGTGCTCGCTTGCATAGATGCAAAGACGGGAGATATAGGTGGGCTGAAAGGCTGCCAGAACATGACCTGACCTAATAGCCTGGAGACACCTCTTTGACGAGAAGGATCCAGTGGTGTCATACCACGTCCACGGGGATGGTGAGTGAGGATATCGGAATTGTATGCTGATCTGCAGATGTCATTCTGCTCTCTGGGTCCGGAGGAGCCACTGCCCGATCCATATCTATGGAAACTGGTCGTGTCACCTGGGAGAAGACACTATTGCCCGAATCTGTTGCTCAGTTGACCGTCCCTGTGCACCTGGGTACAGATGTTGGGTTTTCAGATGACAGCGTCCTGGTCCTGTCCAATGGTCGCCGGATTACACGACTGGCCATCAAATCTGGGAACCAACTCTGGAGTCTGGAAGCACCAGGCGTAGGCGATACCATCCTATTCAAGCAGTTGCTGGTTTCTGGTCCAACTGTCCATATCCTCGCTCTCTCATCGGGCTTTTCAAAAACATCATTGACCACCTTATCGCTCTCCCTCGAGACCTCTGAGCCTCGAGGAGACCTCATTCACGTCCCGTCTATTATCTCAAATCCCTCGCAAGCTCTTTTGGCGGCAGCTTCCACACCTGGTTCCGCTCAAGTCGTTTGGGCCGAACATGGACGAATAAGAACAGCAGAAGTGGACACGCATGGAACTCTGGGCAAGACTAAGGATCTCATGCCAGGTCAAGGGCACGTCTATGATCGAATCCTCGAAGTCGATGGACGACACCAGGGATACATTCTCGGACAGAAGGAGAATATGGCCGTCCAGATCATCAGGGTCAAAGATGGTGCGCAGATCATTGACGAGTTCGACTCCTCGGTGAGATTCATGATTCTTGCGATTCCGGCTGACTAGCGCAGCATCATTCTGCGGACAAGTCGGACTCTGTCTACGCTGCCTCGAGCCTCAAAGACTCGCTCACGTTTAGCCGAGTGTATTGGACCTTCAACATGAACGTGAGTTCTGATGCCTAAGTCTCGTTGACAGTCGTAGGCCGGAGTCGCACAGACGTACACGCTTCAAGGTACTACATCTATATCCACCGCATTCACCTTTTCGTTCGACACAGCCAGTCATGGCGTACTTCAAGGCGTGAGTCACAATCGGCTGTCGCGAGCTAAAGGTCAGCTGGCCATCGCTCCCACAATCGGTCCAAAACAAATGCCTCAGATCCTGCTCAGTACTTCCAGCGGCGCATCGCTTTTGGTCGAGCAAGAAGCTACGCGGTGGATAAGGGAAGAGAGTCTCGCAGATCTCGCTGCCGTCCGTTTCGTCACTTTGGGCGAACCCGCCGTTGAGCAAGTCGGGCATTTGTTGACAGAGGAAACGTTTGTCCATCGACTCGGTCGACACATTTTCGAGCTCAAAGTGAGTGCTCACTCCATGCTCCGCACTGAGCAGTCCAGGATCTTCCAGGTTTTACGCTCCGCCTTGTCAAGCGAATGATGGGCAAGCAGACCACGGCTTTGATCCCGATGCAGACGGCCAGTTTGCATCGCGATCAATTTGGATTCCAACAGGTCCTCATAGCCGTCACTCGTTCAGGCAAAGTGTTCGCTCTCGACAGCTCAAACGGATACGTTCTCTGGACTACGAACCTCGGCACGTTCTCGTCGGAGGGTTCCAATCTCCATGTCGAGGACATGTGGGTGGTAAGGGAAGTCGGGGAGGGCGTCAATCCCACTTTGGCGGTCATTGCGACTCGAGAGGCCGCCGTGAGTTATCGTGTATCCAGTGGAAGCTGATGGGCAGGACGTTGTCGGGTACCATATCGACGCTTTCACCGGTCACGTTTCGGGAGACGAGGACGATCTCACTCATGTGCCCAAGGGGAAGACGCTCTTTCAAGGGCACCTGAAAGCCGCCTTTATCACTCGGCACGAACACTGTGGTACCAACAACAAGGTCATCGCCGTGGTAGACTCGTCGGATACCGTGGGTTCCGGAAAAGGGATCCAGCTGACATTCAGGTCTACTTATTCCCGGCATGCAAAAAGGTCGCAAGGGCGCTGGCAAACGACACCATGACCTACACGAGTCTGACCAAAGGTCTTGGTACACAGACATTGACAGGTTACAAAATCGGCCAAGCTGTTGATCTGCTCCTTTCGTCCGCCCCTCAATGGTCTTATCGCTTCTCTGATGGCGAAGTCCTCGGTTCAATTGCGCCCGCAGGATTCGACTCCATCGCATCCTTTGGTCGTGTCCTGGGCGACAAGTCGACCTTTTACAAGTACCTCAACCCGCATCTCGTAGTCATGACCAGTACGCACCCGCTCAAGCAGACTGGCTCCGTCACGGTGCTTGACAGTGTGACTGGCCGTACTGTGTATACGGCCACCATGGATAATGTGGACTCTGCCAGAGGGGTCATCGCCACCATGAGCGAGAACTGGCTAGTCTTTACATGGTTGGAGACCGGTGTGGGTTACCGAATGACTTCGGTAGAATTATACGAGGACGGGAACAAGGGGCAAACGTGAGTGGGCCTACTTGATCTTTCCTGACCATCAAGGCCGGGAACGTCTTCATATGCGCAGACACAGGACCTCAAAGTCATCTCTCAATCATTCATCGCACCCTCTGGAGTCAGACAAATGGTGATGACTCGGTCGAAGTTCGGAATTACCATGAAAGAGCTTGTCTGTGAGTTTGGAATGAGGAATGCCTGCTGAGACGCAGACGTGAATGATCGCGGACAAGTCGCTCATATCGCCCGACGGGTGCTTGATCCACGACGACCGACTGGGAAACCCACTTCAAGCGACAAGGAGGAGATGTTGATCCCGTTCGATCCTATGATCCCTCCTGATCCAAAACGTGTCATCTCGCATAATAACCAGGTAGGCATCGGATGCGCGTGACAAGGGGTGCGATTTGGCTAATTGATTATGTAGGTCCTCGGCGCTACTTGCTTGACTTCATCGCCTGCTCATGTCGAATCGACGTCACTGCTGTTCGCGCACGGCCTCGACTTGTTCTTTACTCGGGGTCTCACCCCTTCTGGCTCCTTTGACATTCTCTCGGACGCATTCAATAAGCCTCAACTGGTGTTCACGCTGCTGACTTTGTTAATGGCCATCCGGGTCAGTCAACCCATAATCAAAGGTAGACTACTGAAAGCCAAGTGGAATTGAGGAGTTCCATAAGAAGCGCAGAAGACGGCAAAAAATGCATGACATGAACATTTACTCCACATTGCGAATGATCATTCGGACTGTATCGAGAATCGATTGTAGTATATCGTCGAACCTATTCGATTCGCCTCGTGCTTCTTTCTCACCCTCGGCCAGGAGGAGTGGAACGTCGAGCACTTCAATCTCGAGCTCGTAGGACAGTTGAGGCGGTCCGTTTTCTTGCTGAGTAAGAGTCAGAGATGTCCGCGCGGGACTCTGACCCACTCTCATTGTCACAACGGTCAAATCGATCCGACAGAATTGATGTTGATAGCATGCCCTATCCTTCTCTCTGACATGTAACGGCTGACCAGAAGGTACTTCGGGGACTGAAACCCCCTTTCAGCCTTTTGTGCCCGTCGAGCCTAATCTTTCAACTCACAAGGCTCTTCGGTACTGACACTGACTCGCCAATCAAACAGCTCATTGGGAGAATGGACATTCAGGTCCCCTATTCGATGCTTTACGATACATCCACCGGGCAACAGGTTGCCAGCACGATCCCTCGACACGCGTAATTTGTGTCCTCGTTGACCTCCATAAAACGAATCACTATGCTGTTCTCTGAAGAACTTGATCGGCGCTGGAGATTGTTGAGAGGATTGAAAGGCTGAATTGAGCAAGCCATTCAGGTTCTGGTTCATCCGCTGGAGCACGCCTTAGCGAAGAGGAAAATGGAGAGGCGGTTGAGGAACATACCTTGTGCATTGTGGATGCAAAGTTACCGACTGGATAGTCTGGCTGTAAGACTGGGAAAGTCAGCGACAGGAAGGATTTAAAGTCAGATCGGCTCACTGATTTCAGTCCTCGTTGGAAGCTTTATACGTTGTGGACCGGCTGGTGAATGTAGGGTTCCTAACTTGATCTCAATCTACGTTTGGTCAGTATGTTTTGAATAAGCGTATCGTTTGACCTCACCTCTACATGCTCTCGTCCTCTGGTACACTCCATGATCCACTCGCCGACTTTCTTGGTGAACTCATTCCTAGGGGCAATCCCAAAGATGGAGGGTATGATAGGCATATCTGACAGATTGCGTTGGGATGGACGATGAGACGGATGATGAGGATGTCCATTGCTCTCCCCACGCTGTCTCTTGCGACTTGGCCCCGCCTGGTCCACCTCGTCATAGGAAGAGTGATGTTCTTCCTCGTGCGATGGTCCTGCGTCATATTCCTCCTCATCCTGAGAGCTACTCATGTTTTGATAGTCGGGCCAAGGGATACTTGGTGAAGAAACAGGTGAGGCGTAGCGGGGAGATCGATTCACGTTCCCAGGAGGGGTAGGCAGACTAGTATAGTGAGGAGGTCGCTCGTGCAAAGGCGTATAGGACATGAGTTTAGGGGGGAAGGAGCACAGGTCAAACGGAAAAGAGACCTCGAGAAGATCAAACGCGTAATTTCAAGGTCCCGACCATTTTCGAGTGTGGAGGTCGTCCAGATATGATTGCGTCCCTTCGGGATTGATCATTCTAACCTCGCTTCTGAGGCGATGACTGAAGACTCGGAGATCCGCAGACGACTCAAGATGGCCCCTAAAGGAGAGAAAGATCCGTTGCTCGATGCGATCAAGCCTGCGACGCCTCGTCAGGCGAGACCTCCTCGTCATATTCGACACCGTCAAGCTGGGAGATCATTACACCTATCTCTGACTCTGGGGATCCTGGCATTGGTCGTGCTCTATGCTAGGCAGAACAGATCATCATTGAATACCTACAACTACGGAGGGAAGAAGCTTCCGATGAAGTACGCTGTCTGCTCTAGAGAAGGCAAGAAGATCTACACTGTGCCTGAGGAATCGGGTGTAGGTCCGGTAGAATGTGTCGTCGTGCAGGGCAAATACGTAGTAGATACGGGCAGCATGGGTGAGTCCGTTAGCTTGTAAAGACTTGCTGATGAGAAGCACATGTCCGTCGCAAGTGGACAGAACCGCAGAGCCAGGCGACATGGCAGTGGACGTCAAAAATGAAAGTCTTCTATCTCCCTGAAGGACACACCATGACGCCAGTACGTGCATCTTCACCCAGCTCGAAACTAAACGGCAGGGTCTGATCGATTCACATGGGCATCCGCTACAATATGGACTGAGTCGTCAACTCCAATTGACAGGCTCGACGTCTATACCAGAGATCGTTGAGCGGGTAGAGGATTACGTACGAAGTAGCAACTTGCCGCCTGGTACATGGATCGAGGGTCTTGGCTGGGATCAAAATATCTGGCCGGTCAAGGAGTTTCCGACAGCCGTGAGGGACCTTGAGTATGGATCGAGATTACTGACGATTGCTAGACTGATCTCGATACACCTCTTTTGAAAGATAAACCCATCATCTTGTCCAGGGTGGACGTTCACGCCATCTGGGTATCCCATGCCGTACTTGCGCAACTTGGCCCCTTACCAGACACCGTCGAAGGTGGCAAGATTGTCCGGGGCGCGTCAGGGGAACCCACTGGAGTCTTTGTGAGTCTCGCGGCGTCAAGATCCAGAAGACTGACTCGTCAGATCGACAACGCCATGGATCTCGTTATGGCTAAGAAACCGCCATACACGGAAGCTCAGTTATCCATGTCCATCGAGAGAATGATGGATGACGCACTTGCAAAGGGGATGACGGGCGTCCACGATGCCATGCTATCTCAGAATTATGTCCCGGTATTCGAGAAGTACGTGACGAGCCCTAATCTCAAGACCCTTACCCTGCAGATGGGCCAAAGAAGGCAAACTCCGAATGCGTTTTTACTCCATGGTGAGTCTCCCGGGTCGGCCTGCTCCAAAGCTGAGCGGCCAAGCTACGATGCACAGATCGCGATGCATATTGTGGCGACGCAATCCATCGAATCTACGACGCCCATGACGGTCGATTTACCATGCAGTCCGTCAAGCTCTTTGCAGACGGCGCGTTGGGATCTCGTGGTGCCGCGCTGCTCGAAGATTATTCAGATTCGCCAGGATGGAAAGGGTTCCTCTTGTCTCCAGAAGAGACGTGGGGACCGTTGATCAAGGCCTGGTATGATGGCGTAAGTGGACTGGTATGAACCTCACTTCTGTGAACCTCGCTCAAACCTGTCCAGGGCTGGCAAGTTGTGAGTAAGGAGGATATACCGCTCTGAAAGGACAGAACGTCCATACGATTGGCGATAAAGCGAATCACGTCGTGGTGAACGCTATAGAGGCTGCATTGCAAGGCAAGGATGCAGCTAGACAATTCCGTTTGGAACATGCTCAAATCATGGCTCTCGATGATCTCAACCGGGCCGCCAAGCTCGGAGGTGGGTCAAGGCTATCATGGGTGTCGCTTACCCGGTAGTCATCGCTAGCTATCAGCCAACGCACGCCACGAGTGATGTGAGCCTCATTCTATCAGTTCCGGCCTTATCCATACAGATGAAATATGCCGAAGATCGACTGGGCCCTGAACGAATCAAAGGAGCTTACGCTTGGAAGACGTATCTGAAGTGAGTCGCTGCACTACCCGACTCTATTGACTTTCTCAGGGCTGGCGGCAGGATCGCCCTAGGCTCTGATTTCCCAGTGGAATCTATCGATCCCTTGAAAGGCTTCTACGCGGCTGTGACGCGGTTGGACGAAGATGGGACATCTCCCCACGGACTGAATGGCTGGTACGCAAGTGAAAAACTGTCAAGAGAAGAGGCTCTCAGAGGGTTCACAATCGATGGCAAGTCGATGACGACAAGGGGGTCCACATTGACAAGTTTTACAGGAGCCTACGCATCGTTCTCCAACTGTACTGGATCCTTGGTCTCCGGGAAACGCTTTGACGCTGTGATTTGGGATGATGACCTCTTGGAGGTTGATCAGGGAGAGATGTTGGAAGTGCAAGTCAAGGCGACGTTTCTCGATGGGCAGTTGGCCTATGGGTCGATAAAGGGGTAGCCGAAAATGCATACAACATGATATCTCGAGGGTCAGTCATGCCAATTTGGGCAGACTCACCATTGAGACTGATCCAACACACAAGTCATTCCCCCTTCATGCCTTACTTTTACCCTTGCCCTTGCCTCTGTTGGCTGAATCAGTAGCGGCAAGCAACCCATTGGAGACTTTGAAAACTTACGCCTCGAGCTCCCCTTGATTTCGCATGATGGTCAATTTACCTGCACTCGCAACATTGATCATTTGCTTTTCGATAGAAGCATTGATCTTAGTTGAGAGTTGCTAAGAGAGAGAGAGAGAAAGGTTCGCGTCAGCGTTGAATGGGGACCAAACCCGAAGACCCTGTCCCTCTTACCTTTTGTTGTTGTTTCTCTTTCACCTTTTGAGCATTCTTCGGTGCGATGTCCCTCCTGCCCTTCTTGGTCTTGCCTGTGTTCTTCCTCCCTCCAGAAGGAGCCTTGGCTTTGAGTCCCTTGGAGGAGCCTTGTGCCATGTCTCGAAAGAAGGTCTCTCACGAAGCGAACAGGGCTTCACCGACGAGGGATGGTTGTTGTTGGTATTGCAGGAGGGCGGCAAAAAGTTTTCCACACCCAGAAATCAAAATTACAACCCAAAGAAAAAAAAGCTCAGTAGATCACAATCCATCGTCTTTGGAGGGGAAAAGTCTGATAATCAATACTTACTGATCTACAACGACAACGACGACAATCATGTCCAGCAGTCAATCCAGCGTAGCTCATCTCAAATCCTTGCTTGGCGTCCACCCAGGCTTCCCAAAAGAGGTGAGTCGATTGACATCATCTCCCGCGACTGTGTTGCCTTTGTCTCGCGCTGACCTTGACCTTTTATTTTACCCCCAAGGGCATCACCTTTCTGGATATTTTCCCTCTACTGAGATCCCCCATTGCCTTCGAGACGCTCATCACCCACTTCACTCATCATATTCTCGAGGCTCATGCCGGATCCGCACCGGACGTTATCGTTGGTCTGGACGCCAGAGGGTTCCTTCTCGGACCTATCATTGCACTGAGACTTGGAGCCGCTTTCGTCCCCGTCAGAAAGAGCGGCAAGTTGCCAGGAGAGAACTTCAGAGCGACTTATGCGAAAGAGTATGGGGAGGATGTCTTCGAAATGGCAAAGGATGCTATCAAACCGGGTCAAAAAGTCATCGTGATTGAGTGAGTGTCAGGAAGCGCGCGCAGCGCAGCGCACCGTAGGCAGCGAAGGCCGAGCAACGGCTTCGCCAGCTACGAGGCCTTGAAATCGCACTGCTTGAGGTCGTCTCGTGCTGTTTTTGCGTCCGGCCTTATGTCTGACGCTCCGCCTCAGCGACCTCATCGCCACTGGTGGATCTGCTGCTGCAGCTGGAGAGCTCATCAAGCAGTCCGGTGGCAAGACTCTCGAATACCTCTTCATTGTCTCTCTGCCATTCCTCAACGGAGATAAGAAGCTCGACGCCCCATCTTACGCCATGATAGAGGCCGAGGACTAGGCTGAGGGTGTGGAAAAAAAGATATAGAGGATATAGACATGCATCTTGTTGTGCTTTTTACTTGGTCGTCGTGTGGTGGTCATTTGGTGCTTTTCGTCAGGATGGTTGTATGATACAGGTTCTGCCCTTTGGTGGCCACTGGGCAATCGCGTAGCGATCACAGGTGAAGTATGCTGATGTACGGTCTTGGCTGAGGGGAGCGGAACCGGCGAGGGGCAGCTGCGTCAAGCCAGAGATGAGCGTCCAGTAAATCTTCTTTGACGGGTCCAGCCGTACCTGTGCCCCGCATGTCCCCTGCGGAGCGATCAGCGCTCATGCTCAATTTATACTCTAACCCACCTGCGTCTTTCGAGTCCGCGGTATCATGATCACGGTGGGGATGAGTAGATCTCCGCTCCCTCTGCCTATCATCCTGGTCTCTTCTCTGACCGGATCCCTCAAACACCTGTGCTTGCTGCCAATTGTCCTGCCCCGCGGATGCCGCGTATTCAGCATGCAACAGATTCTCCAAATTCGCAAAACTAGCATCACGTTCGCCGCCTTCTTCTGTCCTTGGAGATGGTCGGTTCTGCAGCTCGACGTAATCTCGCCTGATCTCGGCTAGCTCCATCATTCGCCTTCTCGATCGTTGCAGGCTTGCCCGGAGCTCAGTGTCCAAATGATTCAGTTGATCGATATTCAACGGTGAATCCACTTCGTTGGACCTCTGCAACGGGCCGCGAGAAGAAGGGGCACTCTGTCGGCTGTTCGCGGTTGATGAAGTCGAGCTCGTCTCTGTACGAGAGGACGTGGCTACCGTCGCAGCAGCAGTGGGAGAATAGGCAGCTCGATGTCGGTGGGAAAAGGCCTCTCGATCAGCATATGAACGGTGACTTTCCCAATCCTCTGATCGATTCGCTATACTTGCTGGGTTTCGGGATCTGACAATATCCTGCGCCAGAGACCTGAGGTGTTCGCGCTCCTCTCGCTGGATGGCTCGGATTTCATCGTCGATGCGCAATGAACCAGGTTGAGACTGCTCAAATACCCTAATGGGCTGTCGATGCGGTGGTCCTTGCCAGACGGCATGAACCTCGAAATACCTCTCGTTTGGTTCTAAGAGAGGCCTTCTACGGCGCCAGGAGCCTTGGTCCGAGTCTGTATTGGAGGATGAGGCTCCCCTCGCCGACAGAGGTAGGTGGCTCATCCTCGATTCGACTCGCATCCCTCTCGATGTGAGCGAGTCGGGGGCTAACAGTACATCTTGCCATCGAGGAGCCGTCGATGTACTTGGCGAGACCTCCGGGTAGTGGACGTTGGGACGAATTTCGTCGTCCCTGGCGGATTCGGAAGCGAGGTTGAGATCAGTTGATGAGCGTGCTCCGAGCGCATCGGAAAGGAGGTCAAAGGTCGACTCAGTGGTCTCAACGAGGATACCCGCGGGGTCTACGAGAGACGAAGGATCCGCCATCTCTCCTCGCATCGCAGGTTCGTAGCTCGAGCTCATGACATCCGGTAGCGGGATGTGTCTCGCGGCGAGCGGAGATTCCGATCCCAGTGATTCTAGCGTCTGAGACTCCGGTGAGAAAGCGCGACTCAGCAGGTGATCCGGCGTGATCGTAGAGGCTGGGGACAAGGGAGCCGATCGAACGTAAATGGGTGTTGGGGGTGGTTGACGGAGATTGGTCGGTGGCATGCCCTGTCGACGAGGATGTATATCCATAGAAGAGAGACGTTCCGCCAAAGCAATACCATTATCCAGTCGAGTCGCTCGTCGTAATTCACCCTGCTGTCTCGCATTACGGTATTCTCTTCTGGCTCCTCTGTCCCTTGCCAACGTAGCCAAAGCAGCTGCTGAGGAAGCCGTCCCAAGATTGACCGTATCCGTTCTTAACTCTGTCCTCAGTGCTGAGATTCTGGCGTAGGTATTGGTTTCCGTCTGTCGAGGTCTTTCCCTCGGCGTAGCGGGTACTCCATCAGGATGATAGGTCGATTCAATGGGTGGAGGGTTGACTGAAGAGGCTGGGAGGGGAACAGATTGAGAGGCTCTGTCGAGGAGAGCGGTAATCTCTTGCATGGTGATGGGTCGAGAGAGTGATGACACATCCGCCCGGATCGATGAAGAGGTTTGATGCGCGGGCATTGAAGGGGATGGCGGAGACGACGTCGACGGTCGTCCAGAGGCATGAGAGGAATGTATGGCCCTTCGTCTCCGAGAGCTTGGAACGATGGCACCGGACTGGGGATGAGCTGTCTACAGACAAAGTCAGTAAGTCTTGCACAGGTATAGAAGGGCTTGACCTACATCCTCTAGGTCGAGTCTACCCATTCCTAAATCACCCATGTCTCCTGCAAAAGCTCTTTCGAGCTCTCCTGCTTGAGCTCTGAGCCTCTCTACAGCTTGACTCAATTGCTCTACTCGATCAGCGAGAGAGTCGCGGAGCTCTTCCAAGGATCGCAGGAGAGCACGAGTGTTTTGCGTGTCGGGAACATAACGGTCTGATCGGGACGGTCCTGGCGGCGGCGGCGGTGCCGACGATGGAGGCATAGTCCACTACAGTATGAGGATGTCGTATCTCAAAACTCGATGCTAGCGTTATGGAGAGTGTCCCTGCCAATCGAGTCTCTGAGAGTTACAACTGTAAGACTTGATGCAACCCCTTTCAGATAGCCCTTGATCAAGAGACCTGAAATGTTTCACCGCCTTTTCTAGATAGAGCGGCAACGACGACGGATCACATAAACATTGGAGTGACCAAGAAGAGTTGCGTCCTTTTAGGATATGCTGGTGAAAGGTGGTAGCTTCAAGCACAGAGAGCGGGTTTATCAGATTCTGCCGTCGTATCCAGACCACGAGAAGCCCAAGATCGTTGCTTCTTCGAATCCTAGGTGGACGGTGATCCAAACATATTCAAAACGTCACCACACCACGAGCCGGGTTTCACCGAATACACGGAAACTCTTGGAAATCCTGACCGAGGGTCTCGTCGCGAGCCTCAAGATGATATGGATGATACATCGCCGAAATAGCATACAACGACTGGTTTCCGCAGTTGATATCCCTAGAACAGTCCTCCGAATCGCCGACCCTTTGATTTCTTCTTCTTCTCCTTCTCTATCATTTCCTCCTCCGAGCTCTGTGTGAAATCCTCAAGATCTCCCAATGCCGACCTTTGCACGTCATTCCGTGTGGTCTGTGATTTCCGAATGGACACACTGCCGAACATGTGATTTGATGGAAGCTGAGAGTAGAGGAGTGGAGAGTAGTCTCGATGTAAATCCGGCGCAGGGTCTTGAGCTGAAGCGCTCGACGAGCTGGATGCGGTGCCGCTCAGCGATCGCGATGAGGTGGTGGATGTTGGTCTACTGCCACATGACGAGCAGGCATTATGCGAGTCATTGGACGTAAAGCTCTCCGTAGAGAGGTGTCGAGGAAGGTACGGTCGTTGATCAACGAGGAAAGGGTGAGACGACATGATGTGTGAGAGCAGGCCGATTTCGCTGTGAGGTTGGGACTATATTGGTTTCGGGTTTGACTCTGATCGGATGGTTAGATCAGGATCCCATCTCCATCCTTGCTTATATCTCTCTCCTGAGGGCGTCAACATCTCTTCACTTTGACGAGGCGTCAGTACCTCCTCATAGTCGTTAGCTCGTCAAGTCGGACTGGCAATGCATTGTACGCCTCCCGATGAGATGTTGAAGTGATTCGAGCTCGACGGATCAGGACAATAGAGTGGGTGTGTTTGAAACATCTCTGGATTCCATCATCGACTCAATTACACGAATGTGAGCAGATCGGAAAGGGAGACAGCGACCTGTCGCGTCGTTAAGGTGTTCCCTCCATTGTTCTCATCAAGCGACTATTGGAATGCAGACGACAGACGGTCGCCATCTTGTTGACTAGCCTTCCGTTCTGATACGGTCAGAAAACGCCACATCATTCGACGTACAATACAGGTCTCAAATTTCGCCCAGCCCCATCCATCCTCTTGCCTCCGACATTCATACCCTATTCGGCGCTCGATGCAACTCCTCAACGACCATGGCAGACACAGATATGTAGCTAGCTGATCAAGGACCTAAGGGATGTTGGTCTTCGCCCGCCTCATCCAGTCCGCTTTTTGGAATCTCACGTCGCTCATCAAATCTGACGCCTTAGCTCTCTATCCATATCCACCCAACCCTCTCCATACACTCCACACTTTCCCCAGTTCTACTGCCCTCTCGCCCCGCTCACTGGGCTTCTACTACACCCAAGCGCATTGCCTAGAACCTTCTCTCCAAAACATATCTACAGAAGGCTTCTTACTAGTCGTTCAAATTGGAATATCAAACGTTTTATAGGCCAGACAACCTTTTTCCTCCTCCGTTCGAGTCCCACAAGACAAGGACGGGTGGAAAAGACGCTGGTCCGTCCACCCTTGATGTGTCGTTTACATCGCACATTGAGGACTATACGGTCCAGACATTCATTCTGTAAATGTACTTGTCATGACGTGTATGCAGCGAGCTCCTCTGAAGACAAAATTGGATCATGCACAATGTAGATTGATCCAACATTATTAAGCTATGTACAGCTAGACAAATCTCTAGGACAATGGTCACCCTTAAGTCCCTTTGAGATGGTGCTCTGACGTGCCAAGCAGCGCCACCATGGTTTCGATGAACCATTCTCTCTTCTTGATGTAATGGACTACCACTGTTCCTCCCCTTTCATCGGCGTCGTCGAGAAATCTAGACGATCGACTTGGTCGCATGTCGAATAAGGTTGAAACTTTTTCAGTGTTCGATTTGACCCTCCATTCAGACTCTGGGACGGAAGCCGGACCTTGAGGATAGTCGCGCAATTTGGACAATGGGGACCCTTCAACAAGCGATTCAACATTCTGTTCAGCCGTCTTGATCCCTCTCAGAGGACGGAACGGGACCCCAAATTTGGACACCGTCGAGTACGCGTCGGCCAGAAGCCCACCGCGAAGCAGAGTCGTCTCGGTATCCAACCCCGTTGACTGCTCTTCTCTCGTCTTGGCGATTTCCGAAGGAAATAAGAAGCCGTGTGAGTAGACTGTTCCAGCTCGAGGGTGATCGTAGATTCCGCATTTTTCCGATACCCAAACAATGTTCTCCTTCTGGGGGTGTACTGTCATCCAGCGGCTGACCAGCTTATCCTCCTTGCCGTGGGTCATCTGTCGAAGGGGAGGGAACGAAGCGACGTATTCGGCGAGATCGAGTGAGAGGGCATAACATTGACCACCCATAAATTTGTTCTTCACGAGGTCTGATCATCGTCAGCAGTAGTTCAGCCAGGTCCTTTAATAAACTCACAACCCCAATATGCCATTTTTCTAGGTATCACTCGTAGTCGCCTTTCGAGCTCTCCAAGCATGATGAACGAGTCATCGTCTGCCTTGACGATATAATCTGGTCTGCGCTCGCCCTTTTGCACTGGCTTGGGACGAGCAGCAACGTCGCTCTGGCTCGCAGGAACAGGAAGATCGTATGTCGCAAAGTCGTAATCGTCGACCATGGCGTGCTCAGCAGCCCATGTGAAGTAGGCGTGAGTCTTTCCTTGGTTCATATTTTCGGGAATATCCAAGATGACAATGTCATTGAAGGCTGCGGACAGGTCAGCGTGGTGTGACCCCAATCGCTCATCACACTCACCTTCCATTTCGAGCTCGACCGCCTTTCGATGCCGGTGAGACGGTCGACCCATAATGAACCTAAGTCTCACGCTTTTACTGCCCACTTTTCGACTCCGAGCATGACTCGCGTAGCTCATGCGGATCATATTCCGCCTAGCGACGGCCGCGTCGTATGTGAAGACGCCGACAAAGACGCCCACTGGAGGTGTGTCGGAGAGTGCGCTCTGGATTTCGCCAGCACGAGGAGCTGTTGACTGACCTGGAAACGGCCAAGCGGACATGTCAGATGTCAGTGGCTTCAAAGTGAGCGTGTCGGAAGAGCCAAAGGGGAAGAGGCTACGATGTGCATCGGTTGATCCGTGCGGAGGAAGGTGAGAGTGGTCGAGGTAAGTGGGAGGGGGAAGGGGGTGCTCCGATGAACCAGGTCCGAAAGATTCTCCTAGTGGATCACGGGTGTGTTGGAGAGAGTAGAGGGTTGGGTAGTCAGAGGAGCAGTACGCTCGCCAGGGAAGCGCTTGCTTGTCTGGCTCGAGAATGTACTTGAGTAGGATGGTCATGGAGACTGCGAAGCAGCCGAAGAAGAAGAGGAAGGAGACCTTGAGAAGAGAACGGTCAGTCGCATGCTCTTGGTCTCGCCAAACATTCCACTCACGATGCCCCAGGGGGTAGTTGGGACATAGGCCATTGTCCGTGTGAACCATTTTGGGTCATCTGCTCTCGACAAGGGACTCGAGAAGTCGCTCATCAATCGTTCCCTCTCTTTTACTCTGGTTCCGGTGCGTGATCCAGTGCCGGTGAATCCGAGGGCGTTCAAAGCCCTTCTCCATCGTTTCGGACGACCCGATGGTATTCTCAACGGTGGAGGCCTAGAACGATGGTTGGTGATTTTTGGAGAGACCAGACTGGACTCGACGCCACTTGTGAACCATGATGGAGCATGATTACGCTGATAGGTCGGTAGAAATTCATCTTCATCGACTGATTCAGGATCTGAGCGTGTCACGGTAGACGTGGAAGTTCGAGGACTAGACGGACCGGCGAGAGCGTTGTACTCTGCTTCCATGTCGAGCATGGACGCACGGGCGGATGGGAGTGGAGAGTTTCGTCGAGAGAGGGGCGGTGAACCACCTGGTGTACCGGGAACTGAGACGGGGAGGATGTGATGTGGATCTCTCACGAGAGGCATGAGCGCGGTTGTAGCGGATAAGAAGACGTCAATGCTTGGATTTTTGATACGCGTTGGCGAGGTGTAGCCGGAAGAGCTTGCTTGATGAATATTATTTGCGCTCATGGAGCGACCCGTCATGTCCAGGGTCAAGTGTCGCCTTCGAGGTGTACTGACGCCACTGTTGCTAACGGTCGCTCCACCCGCCAGATCCTGCAAGGGAACAGAAGACGTGAGGGTGCGACGGAGTGGAGGAGTGGAAGGACAAGACGGCCCCGCGTCGGAGGTAAAGTCCGAGACGACCACCAACCCCCGACGCGGTGAGTCGTCAGATGAGAATGTTGGGGACGTGATGGTGATGGTGGTGTGGTGAAGTAGTAGTGATGATGATGATGATGATGATGATGATGATGATGGTCGTCTAGTCTAGGTATGGGCGCGCGACCCGTTTATGACCTAAAACACGCCCAACCACCCCAACCCGCACTCGAGACAAAGGAGACGAGTGTGGCTGCGGATTGTCTGAATTCCAAGAGGGTGGGTGTGGTCCCAAGGGCGCAAGTAGTCGTGGATGCCGCTGTGTGATTGTAAAATGGTGGCAGTGAGAGCGATGGTGACGATGATGACGATCACTGCTGGGGATATACCCTGTCGCAGACGTTGTCCAAAGTTGAGTCTTGTGGAGTCAGAGTGCTTGAATTGTCTCTCAATCCACAGATGAGATCTCTCTTCTCTCCTCATAAAAATGGAGCGCTGGTGCTAAGGATTTTTTTTAAAAAACAAGGGGGTCGTCCGCAGCAGCAGCGACACCACGTGGAGTTGTCAACAGTGCGGCTGCGGATGGGGTATGGGAGGGGCGGGTGGTTTGAGGTGAGGTGAGGGCTTGATGAGTATGGAGGAGATGTTGATGAGTTGCAAAGAAGGTGTGATGTCAAGATGAACATGGGGTGCTGCTGCTGCTGCTGCTGCTGCTGCTCACTGCTCACTGCATTTGCTGCTGCTGTTCTCTGACTGCGGTATGACCGGGCATGCAGCTTTAGCCTTGTACGGCTGCTTGGCTTTCTTCTGCGCCTCCCCCAAAATGTTCAACTCCGCAGCAAGCAATTTTTTCGAACTACTCCCCCATTCGGGTATTTTAGATTCCGCCAAGTGTGACGTAACATAGCGGGGTGGGGAATCCAAATCACGTGATACCCTTTTGATTCATCGATCCCAAAAACTGCCCGTCACTCGCCGAAATGTCGAAACGAAGGTCCACCTCGAAGAAACTGCAAGGTACCCAATCTCATACCATGAGAATCCGGGTATCTCTCAAAGATCCACCGTTCTCACCTCCGTCCAAGATCCTCGTCCTGATCCCGGCGAATGTACAGACCATCTCACACCTCAAGAGACATCTCTGGAGCTCGTTGAGTTCACTGCAATCTGTTGTGGATTCATGGAGAGATCTCAAGCTGGAGATTGAAGGTTTCGAGTTGCTGGGTGGGAGCGGAGTAGAGCTTATCTTGGAATCGGACGTGGTCGAGTGAGTTCCAATCATACGAGTCATGGTCAATCAAGGAACGCGCCGATTCTGATTCCGTCTCGGTCTCCGCAGAGTTGGCATTCGACCCGAGTGCTCGACGCGTGCTTCGAATGCCACACAGTCAGTGAAGAAGAGAAAGAAGCGACGAACGGTATCGCTGGAAGCTCATCGAGCCGTCAAGAAGCCCAAAAGGGAGGAGAGCCTGTCCAAGTTGCTTGCTCAACAAGCATCGGAGCATCAACTAAACGGGACGTCAGCAAATACGCAACGAGGATTTGACAACGCCGACTCTGACACCGAGTCCAGCGACACCTCTTCAGCTTCGTCATCATCATCATCATCATCATCATCATCATCATCATCATCATCACCATCATCCTCATCCTCATCCTCAACTTCATTCTCCTCGTCTGAATCCTCATCTTCTGGATCCTCATCCTCATCCTCATCCTCGGCCGGTTCCTCGTCCACTTCTTCCCCCGAGCCCGCGACTCGACCCGACAAATCCCTCTCAAACCCCTTTCCCGTCCTTTTGAAATCTTTACACGTACCGCAGCATGTCCCGCCCGGACAAGGCAAGCCAGAGACGAGAAATCGTAATGCGAGACGGAGGCAAGCGAGACAGTATCGCAAACAAGAGGCGGAGGCGAGCGAGATGGCAACAAAGACAATACATTCCGTGCCGGATGCCTCTCTCGTCCAGAGCGTGCCATCTACATCTATGGTGCTATCATCGCGTGCTCCCGATGCCTTGAACGCTCCTTCGTCCGGCAGCACCAAACTGCCGAATGCCAATCGGAACAAAAAGAGAGGATTCTTCAAAGAGATGGAATCGCTCAGAGGCGTCCGGACAACATTTGACGACGATCAAGGCGGCAGCTCTTCATTTGTCGGAACGCGGGATTCAGCTCCGAGCGAGCCAATACAGACCCACGAGGCGTTCATACCAGATGGAACCATCCTGGCCCCCAAGTCCACTCCCTCGAGTTCTTCTCGACGGTACATCCGACCGCCATCTGAGATGGTTGACCTGCCCAGCAATGTCATAGTCACATCGGTCGAATACAGTGCTCAGCGTAGCCCGGCATCACTGACGCCCAATGGCAAGTATCGAGGCGCAGCGTTCGGTCATTCGGCGATCCCTACATCAGTCCAACCGTCTCCAGCTCCTGAGGCAGCCACTGCGGCTCCGTGCGCCCAAGCTGCCACTGACGATGCATCCCGCGCGTCTACTTCGCATGGTCATACCTCGCCCTCACGCACGAGTCATACCGACTTTACACCCGACGAGTTCTCGGCCATTTGGGAGCAAATTGAATGGCATGCATTCGACAAACTCGAATCGATCGTGGCAAGGTCGACCTACGACGACCTGAGAGGACAATATCTGGCGCGCATGGTGAGTCTGCTTCGGGAGGTCCCCGGATCTGACATTCTGTAGGAGCTCGTCCTGATTGGGTTCAGTCCCGAATTGGGCATGAGACTGTATCGAGTTGTCGAGATTACACCTCTGAAGAGCGTCCTCTCGCCCGTACCACGTTGGTGGGAAGAAGAGGAGCAAGACGAGGACATCGAAGTCAGTCGAGAGGAATTTTTGGCGCCATCGAACGAGTTCCGGACGGATTTCAGGATCGTCGGGCCTTTGGAGGGATATTTGAGATAAGCAGATCAAGGCACGCCGCCTTCTCGATGTCAAATAACGAACTACACGAGGAACAAAGCGATGACCATATCACGTAGCATGACCATGCATCCATCATCTTGTTGTTCCCCTGACGCGTTGTACCAGCCTCTGGATAGGGTTCAAAGCGAATCTCGCAAAGGCAGGGGCGAGTCCTATCGAAGCGGCGATACGGAGTGGCAAGAGGGCCTGAGCATTGAGAGTCAGCCAATAGTTACAAGTCCTGTCGCCAAAAGTCCTGAGAATCGACTCTGACCGACCTTGACAGCGACATATGCAGCGATAGCGCTGGCCACTTTCTCTGCGACCATAGGAGATCCTGCATCCAATACCACTGATAAGTCTTCAGGCATAGGTGTAGGGTCCTTCGAGTCCTCCTTTGACGTCTCTTTCGACGTCTTACTGTACCCCAGTATACCGTATCGCTTTCCGACTTTCTCTACCCTCTTTGAACCTTCTTCCATCCACTTCTCCACCGTCTTCCTCCAATCCCACGTAGGATCTCCTCCCCCTTGCTTGCCCTCCACCCCTGACGGTCTTTGCCCTTGTGACACCGACGCTAGCCAGCCTACTATGCCTGCTCCTAGACCGAGAGCTTGAAAGATCCACCAAAATAGGAAGAGCGGTAAGATGGCCGTCAGTTCATGTAGGATCAAAAATGAGATGGCTAATGAGGGTAGTGGTGTACCGGTCCGTTGGGACAGATCGTGTAATCTGGGAAGGTAACGTTGCAATAGGGACGAGGAGGTGGGTGTTGAGTTGACAGCAGCGGCGTCCACTATGGGTATCTTTGACGTAGTCCTCTCATCTTTCCTCAAAGATCGAACTTGGTCCTGCGTGAGCGGTGATTTAGGATGGGTTGATGGGGCTCTTGACCGTGGATCCTTAGCGGTGGTCGAATGTGCGCGAATCGCGGCATCGCGGCGAAGCCCAACGGCGAAAAGAGGCTCATATGTATGTCTCGAGGCGGCTTGTTTGCTTGACTCAGCAATGGCATGCGCCATACCCCGGAGCAACATGTCTCCGGCGGTACTATTGAAAGACAACAAAAACATCATCCTCGTGCTCGTGTCGTCCTTCGGACTTTTTGCATTTCCGGTATTCCCGGCATCCGTGATGCTGTCACAGACTATGCGGGTTTCTATGAACAACCATAGACAGTAGAAGGTGTGCTTCACTAATATACAAGCATGCAATATGGTACAGGTCGTCTATCTTGTGGTATCCTTTGAGTGGACAGTGAAGGCGTCTCATCGTCGATGGGTCGTGTCGTTCGTAAGTGTTAGAAAGGGTGCGGTCTATTCCGCGACTACCTCGGCAGGCAACTTAGCACCCGAAATCTGTAAAAGAATCAGCACGATGCTTGACGTGAGGCGTCAAGACCCACAATGCATTGTTTCAGCCAGCCAAAGTTACACAGCTTTCCACTCGATTTCCATAGCTCCGGTATGATCTGCCCTGGACATCTCGACTCGATGAGGACAATATCGTATGAGGACAAGTTGACGATGGTGGAAGTTGAGACGATGGATTTTAGGTTTGAGGCGCCCATCGCACTCAAGCAGAATGGAACGAGCTCCTGAAAAGGTGTCAGTCATCTCCTCCCCTCATCAATACGGTGCCTTGCTCACCCGCACAGTTGAAAGAATACTGGAGTCACCCGGTGGTACCAAGAATAAGAACTCCATTCCCTTGAATGGCTGACGAAGGCTTCGAGCAATCGCACTCGACCAGTCAGCCCCACCCCAATTAGGGTCAACTAGCTGAGAACAGCGATGGTTGAAAATCTTCGAAGGACCGGGAGAGATGAGATAAGCTCGCCAATCGACATCCTGGTATGAGTCAGCTAGATGCGTCAAGTTCAACTCACCCTCTCAATGGCGTCTTCGATGAAAGCAGATGCGAGGCACGGGATGCCAGAGGCTAAGGCA